AATTTCACGCCAAAGCTCCAGCATAATATGTATGGACATTATGTTTCATACTTTTTTGCAACTAATCAGCGTGGTCTAGACTTTGTCTCTGGGACAGCGAACGAAAGCATAGAAACTATCATCTATTCGATACATGAGATTTATCGAAATAAGTCTACGCAGACCGCCATCTATAACCATAATCGGTTGGAGCTGCGGGAGTTGCCTAAAAGCACAAAACAGCTGTCCATGGTTGGCCATCTTTGGTCGGACGGCTGGAAACAGCATGTTTAGTTCGTTCAATGGTGAGTAGACCACATCTACTATACCGCCACAATCGGCAGCCTCTAGCGATCACACTGGTAACTGGGCTATCAAACGCGAACCGAGATCTTTGCAGTGCCAACCGATAATTGCTATATACTTTCGCAGTAGTTGATTCTGGTAATAGATGGTGCTTTGCGCTATCTTATTTCGATATAATAAGTGTTTCCACGCAGTCTCCTTGGAATTTGACCCTATTCCTGCCATGCTGGTTATGCTTCTGTCAGATGTGAGAAAATTCTCTGACGTTGGAAATCTACAGAGTTCTCTTTCAATGTTAAAATTTCACATACGGTCTTTTTTTCAATGCAGCAAAAAAAACCACGGAAATATGCAAAATGAACCTAAACAACCAATTTCAGTTATGGAAAATGCAAGTCTGTTTAGGTTACAAGCAGGCAAGCACCTTATTCAGTGCTTAGCAGTGGAAAAAAATCACTTGAGCTAAACGCTGTTGACTTTTGGGATATAAAAATCCATCGAAATGATGAACGATTCAAGTATTTATTCAAACAGCTTTCTATGCGCTAAAAGCCGATGCAAGAATTAAAGTGCAACTCAGAAGTCCACTTATCTGATTTAGATGTCTGAATTGTACAACACCTGCAAATATTGCCATTAATCTTTTGCTCACGAGCGGTACATCGAAGTAGGTCTTAGATTTTATACAATGGATGAATCTGCATTGTGTTTGAGAAAAACGTACATAGGTATTGCAGCACAGATCGTAGTGTTTCATGGTATTAACTTCTTATACACATTTATGGTTATTCTGGTACGGATCAAGTGAAAGACACTATAGATAGATAGCGTCTCAAATTTTCACTATGTAGTGATGTTTTGGCAAAAAGGGTACAAAACACTAAAAGCTGTATTTCTAACCTGCACATCAAGGTTATTACGTAAAAAAAAATATAACGGCAAAAGAACTATAAAATGTCAACTTTATTGACTAAGTATTCTAGTGTGGAAACAGTTCATTCCGCGCTTGCTACAAGTGAGTATGAAATGAACGACAGCTAGTTCTAAGTTGACGTCTTGTTGAAAAACCTTGTTATCCCGTATAAACTGTGTGCTCAGTTGGTAGCTATGAGCCCCCTCAGGGTGAGGTTCTTTGTATTTTGATTTCGGATGCAATGGTTATTTGAGCGCCACCTAGTTTCCAAAAACTAGGAAATGAAATTAATAACAAGTGTCACTGCTGGGATTCTGGGTTAAAAAAAGATACCAACTCACTCAAGGTACACAGACATTTATTGAACAAAAAAATAAACAAATTTAAGGAGAAGTCCTGGAGGACAGGCTAACAAGGATTAATTTATGTATTACCCCCCCTCCCCTAGCTAAATGGGTATCCAAAAAAAACTAAAATCAAAAAAAATTGGCTATCTCCTCAACTTTTTGAAGAAAAGCTATAAAACTAAGTCCAGAACTACCCCAAAATTTTAAATCCCATTTCCAAACAGGAACTGGCTTAACAGTCTAATTAAATAAATGAGTATTAACCAGTTGAATTTTACCAGTATTACGTGGTGGTGTCGATGCGGCTGTTTGATGCATTAAATTGTTGGGTTCAAAGTTTGGATCTAGAGGTTCATCTACACGAGCGACAAAAGTTTTACAAAGATTGTCATATTCTACAGTTAAATTTGATAATTCTAGCAAAATTGCAGCTTATTTATTCTTAGTTTCCGAGCTATCTGGAATTCTTTCTATTCTAGCAGTTAAATGAGCGATTTTAGTCTCGATCTTTTTAACAGATTTGCCTGCTCCAGAGTAAGAGGAAATTAAGTTTTCTAACTCAATAACTTTTTTATCACATTCCCCCAAATACATCCTCTGGTTTCTCTATAATAAGTCTAAAAAACCTTAAAATTAATAAACCAGTTAGCCAGGTATACCAAAAAAACTAAATGCCTTAGTATCAGATGAAATACAATCTCCAGTTACCCCAGAAAACCAACAATCAAAACCTTTACCAAAATGATCCAAAACTAAAATGCATCAAAAACCAAAATAGCAGTGGACGCCATGTTATCCCGAATAACTGTGTGCTCAGTTGGTAGCTATGAGCCCCCTCAGGGTGAGGTTCTTTGTATTTTGATTTCGGATGCAATGGTTATTTGAGCGCCACCTAGTACCCAAAAACTAGGAAATGGATTTAATAACAAGTGTCACTGTTGATATTCTGGCGTTGAAAGAAGATACCAACTTACTCAAGGTACACTATACTAAAAACTATAATTAAAAAAAACTTGGCTATCTCTGAACGGCTACCGTTAGTAGGAAGTCCCAGGTGTTACTCTAAAGCCAGAAGGTAAAACGGGAGGATAGAACTGGAGGGTACAACCCTCTAACAATGAGGGTTCACCAAAAATGATAGAACTGCTCCTCCCAGACGTGAGTCTCACTCAAACTCGCCTTGGACTAACCCCCTCCGTTCGATGGTTGAGTTATCTGCACGGTTAAATCTCCAAAAGGGTAAGAAAAAGGCTCCGGCACTAAGGACCACCAAGCGGTCGAGTTCTAACAAAACTACCCCACCATCCTTTGAATCCGCAACTCAGCGTGTGAACTATTCACAGGATCGGCCAGTGTGCCGCAGACAAATTTCTCCACCAGAGCACCGGAAATAGCACCAAGTCACCTTCAGCTCTCGTATTTACGGTCGACAGAAATTATAAAAAATGAACTCCAACGAGATGGAGAGTAGAGTACGATTTTCTACCACAAAATTACCAGACTGAGGTGTTTTGTTATAAAAATGATATTCGATGTTTTTAAGAACGGCTATAAAATTATTATCGTAAATAAGAAAAACCTTGTAATAATTTACTTTATCCAGATGTAGCTAATTTTTAGTCGACCATAAAAAAACTGTAACAACCTAGTGATAGATTTAGAAGTTACACATGATCAAGAGATTTTAATATAAAAAATCATCTGGCCTTGCTTGACTTTGCCCAGGCTGCTATAAGAGGTGCAACATAGACCTATGAGAGCAGACAGATACATGCAAACATTCAAAACAAAAATGTATGGATTCCGAGCTATAGACAGAGTGAATACAGTAGACTCGGTGAATTGAGTATATTATACTCACTACTCAGTAGCCTCGGCTTTTATCTTACGTCTTTGTTCCGATTTTGTTGTGTTGCAATATATGAGCACCTATATTTCCGACATTATTCCTATGATGCTACAAGCCTCTCTTGTACACATACATTTTTGTATTACCTACTTAAGATTAGAAACTTGATTTTTAGAATTATTTCTCCCTATAACATGTTAGTAACATCAGTTAAATGTGTAAATGTCCATGGGCCTGCTGACAGAGCTCACGATTTTTTGCCATAATCAATGCAATGCATATACACTGTATATACGTACATGATATTGAAGTTTTCAAAAAGGCCTGACAAGCTATTTTTCTTCTAGGAAGTCTCCGACAATAATTGGCCCCTAAAATATATCCTGAACCCGCCCCTGTGTGTGTCAAGGCTGACTACGATCTACGGTACTGCCTAGAAGTCATGCAATTTTCTGAGAAGCAGGCTTCAAGGAAGCTTTAGCATCTCAACTTTTTCGTATGTATGTGTATCAAAGAATCTTTAAAAAGATGCGAGGTATGTAATTAGTATGATAGAAAAACCATATGACGATAACAGCCGATAAAGTAATGAATCATATCCGTCGCATATACCGCCTAACAGAACGTATAAGCATCAGCCCGGGTAGCTCAGTCGGTAGAGCATTGGACTTTTAATCCAAGGGTCCAGGGTTCAAGTCCCTGCTCGGGCGGCATTTTTTGTTTTTTTTTTCTTTATATGGATACATTCTCACGTTTACCCACGTAGATAACGTAACCACGCATAGTAGGTAGAAAATTCACATACAATATGTGCTTTCTCATTTCCCAAATACGGACGACTTGCAGCCAGACATAAGGAACTACTGCGTGCGATTGCAGATATCTGCGCTCTGGTTTTATTTTTTTGTCGATCTCATTTAGTGCGTACGGCCCTAGCTTTCGCTTTCATCGGATTCTGTAGAAAGATGCTTGGTAACGAGGTACCGGTGCGATCAAAAAGTATTGAGCAGGCTGTATCATTGTACCAAACCGCGTCGCACCCTAATCAGACTTCCATGGTTCCATGGCATGGCAAGATATAGTATAGAAATAGTAATTTGTCTCAAAGAAAACGTAGGTCACGTCATGATAGTCTTGGTTTGCACAGTTTGAACACCATTTCAATTTGTACTTTGATAAAAATCCGCTATGGCGACCGAAACGTTAGTAAAGAGTAATTTATACATGATGTGTTTTGTTTTGGGCAGACAAAACATGGAGTTCTTGTGACAGGTTTAGCCAGTGGCGTATATGATGGGAGTTTTTGTCCAGATCACACACTTGCAAGAGAGTTTAAGTTACTCATAGGAAAGCCTAAAATGTGCAATACACATCTGGGATTTCGGCTCTGAGCGCGAGCTTCTTACCTAATTCTTTGTTAATTCAGAATGCGAGTAGCCCGAACCATATTTAGGGTAAAATTCAACCGACATTCTTGCTGCATTCCACCGACAAGTCTGTCGAGATACAGAGAAAAGGCTTACTGAGGAATCAACGTATGTTTCAACTCGTAACATTGTCCGTAGATCAATATATTCAGGTAGGGAGTTATCAATAAAAGACAGGATTACTATAAAAATATATTCAAATGAAAATTTAAGAACAGCCTAATGAACATACTCGACAGTGGCCTTGAATCCGCTGGTGGGATCCGCCGTATACCTGACGATCCTAACAAGTCCATCAGATTGCAAAACCCTGTATTCGCCTAGCACCGAATCTCCATTTCGAGTTTCGGCGTGGGAATTCTGACTGTCTCCGTCGTGGACGCCGTATGTGTATTTGTAGTCGGGTTTCGCCTGAAAAGCCAAAGATAAATAGAAAACCACCAATCAAACTGAATAGGTTAACATATACATGTTAACAAATTAGTGCTCTACGACTAAATTCAGTAACGAATTTTTTAACGAAATTTGGTTTCAAATTATGAACAAAATTTTGTATCGTGACAGAGGTCCTTACGGAAGTAGAATAAGCTAATAGACAGTGAAGGGGCTGGTTCGTTTCCTTTCTGATTCTTTAATGTTTCTTTGATAGAAATGTTGCAACCCGGGTAATTTTCTTGATCAAGAGCAGAAGAAACAGTGCGTGAGTCTCACCACCGTTCATCACCCTCGTCTATAAAAAACATAAGTGTTTCATATTATTTTTCAGAAAATGGATGCATGGATAAACTTGTCATAAGAAGATGTTAATAATAATTGTTTTCCAGTCACTTTTTTCGGTTATAAATCTACAATCAAATTTGCTTTTGCGTTCACCCTATGCATGTACAAATAACGACCAGGCGCATACTTTGGGAATTTCGAATCGGTATATTACATGTTTTGTTCAAAGAGCCAGATATGATTTTCCGGCTGTAATAGTCTAATATTCCTAAGCTAAAACTACCGTATTTTGGAAATGCTAATGAGGTTTTTGTATACCTCAATGTACCCCTAATAACCCTGCACGACGACAGATCGATCCACTGTACGGTTTCTCCGGACCGATTGGTCAAAATTTGAAAGAAATCAAACGAGCAAAATATTTGTATCAAAACATCATGTTACCTGGTTGAAAATGGAAAAATAATTTTTCTTCTTTAGTTGTCACTATTGGATACCTGTAATATCTTAAGATTGATTCCAGTTTTCGAAAACACTCTTAAATCCTCTGTGCGATCACTAGTTACCGAGATATCAGTGGTTGATGACAAAAGAATGCTTTTTCATTCAGATATGTCCGCGCAAAATGACTGTATCGAGATTTTAAAAACATAAACGAGCTATCCGATCCATATGATTGCCCATTAGAAAAAAAATGTTCAAGCCCGTGGACTAAAAAGGAGGCAAAAATTTTGTAAAAAATTTGTCATGCGCTATCTGTAAAAAATGCATGAGAACCGTTGCTCCTAAAATATTTCAGCAAAAAAGACTGAAAACTATAATCTTCAATCTTCAAAGTGTTTTTTAAAGTACAGATACGACCATTTTTTCCCGAAATACAGCCTCTCAAAAATCACCGATTTATTTAAGTACTTAGTGTATGTATGCGACCGTCTTAAATAAGCGGAAGTGAATATTGATTGATAAACTTAAAAGATGCCGATAAAACATACCACATAATCAACGGCTTTCCCACGCAATCCAGGTACAATCACTTTTTTCACCTGACCACTAACTGGTCCCGAGAACCTGAAGTAGGAGTACCTATCATCTAGCGGCCTGCCACTGGCGGATTTGAGGTGTAATGATGGCAGGGCTAAATAGTCTGACTGCAATCTTTGAGCACTGGGGCTGTTGTACTTGCTCTGCCTGGTTGCTATGTGTTGTTCAGATTTAGTCAGCTGGTGTGACGTCATAAAGTAAAATACCTGGAATAATAATTATTTATATATCTAGGGCAGTAGCAGCAGCAACACTGCGGTGAGCGATCTGTTCGAGAACGATCTCAATTATTTTGAACGGGTTAAATACGCAATGCGCGGCGACAGTCCGCTCAGTTTAAAACTGAACGGCACAAAGTCCAGCGGTTGGGTTAGAGTTGGCCTGCAATTAAAAATATTATGAGCAGTAGTAACAAGATGAAGACATACTACTTCCATTCGGAATGGGAAGAATAATATTTATTTACAGAAGTTAAAGGTAAAAATGTATGTTTGTTATGTAATACATCTGTTTCCATTCCTAAAAAAGGGAATATCGAGATGCACTATGAAACTGTACATTCGAATTTTAGAAAATCATTCCCATTACATTCTGCAACCAGAACGGAGATATTGAAACAATTAAAAAATTGAACAACAAACAATGTTTTTAAAAACAATTGACAAAATTAAGGCTGCAACTGAAGCATCATACCGGGGTTCTCAGATAATTACGCAAAAGAAGAAACTTTTTGGAGACGGGGAAATGATAAAACAGACGTTTTTAGAAGCAGCAGTTTCATTTTTACCAACTTAAGAAAAAAGACGAGATACTGTCTGCGATAAAATCTATGCAACTTTCTGCTAATACAGTGATGAAACCAGTAGAAGTAATGAGCAATGATATAGTTTTACTGTTAAGAAATGACTTCGATAACTGTGCTTATTTTTCACTGCAGCTGGATGAATTCACAGATGTCGTTGACACCTCTCAGATGGCCGTGTTCGTCAGGGTGGTTTTTAGTGATTTTAAGATTGAAGAAGATCTTTTGAAGTTTATTCCACTAAAAGGACACACTACTGGGCAAGACTTGTTTTCTTCTTTTAAAAATACTATTTCTTCTGAGAAAATTCCATTATCGAAAATGGTAGGCTTGACAACCGATGGCGCTCCAGCTATGGTGGAAGATAATGGATGTAGTTATGAAGTACGTATTAGTTATTAGTGTATTTAAGTTTATTAGTATGTATTAGTTGGCTTACAATGCTCTAGGGTTTAAATAGGCCGTTTATTGTCCATGATGTGAAATTCGGGCTCATTGTACGAAAAAATGATATATTCGACCGGTAAGTCAAGAATTAGTGGCCTTTGAACATCAAAAAATTAATTAATCATTATACGTATATCACCGGGTGATGGTCTTGCCATAGCCAATAACAATAAATGAATACATTCAGTTCTCATTAAATATATTGGGCGCTAAAAGTTACTTTATGACCATAGGGCGTAAGATAGCCCTCTACAATAAAAAGTGGAACTTAACTCCTAGTCGTATATAGAGTATGTATTCTTCGGAATTATAGAGTTTTAAATATTCTACAGTTCGGAATTTTATTTCCGTCTACAAAGAATTGCTACATTCAGGATAAATTCTAGTCATGCGGTACTTAGAAAATGAACTACAGATACGTATTAGGTAAAATTGGAATTCTTCCGACATCCTTATGAGACCCACGTAAGAACCACTTGCCCCTAGTGGTTTTCCCTCTAGGTTTGAGGATCACATCTTTGGAGAGCAGTGTTACATATTATGAACCAATCATTAGACGTTGTAAAGGGTAAGAAAATATAATTGGAATGTTACGTAGTGTTAAGTAGTGTACCGTAGGTAGACAAATAGGAAGTGGATGCGCAACCAATGATGTGGTTGAATCAATTTCACGACTCGTGCTTTGATCATTTAGGATATAATGTGTTATGTTTGCCAGCGCTTACCGATTGTTCACCATTTTGTTCTTTTTCTATGACTTGCTCTGGTATTGGTTTTGAAAACCAAATTGTAAATATAAGGAGGATTACGTAACTGTTAGTTACTTCGCTTGGACATAATTAGAAGAAAGATGTGCAGCTGCAGGTGGCTTAATTTTGGAAATTGCCCCTCGAGTATACCAATGGAGAAGGGAATCATTTATATTTTCAGCTTATATTTTAAGCTTCGTAGAAACTATATTCTGCTAAAATGCTACCTATAAAATAGATTTTCAGCATTCAAAATTCCGAAATTTTTGCAATTGAGATGTGGAATCATGGGCTTCTTTTGAAAGAAAATTTCCCACACAAGTATTATTAGCAAAAACATCAATATCTTCACCAATTGCAAACAGATACACGTAATACTGACTCTCTGAGTGTTACAAATTCACACAAAAGCAGTACTAGATCGCCACTTGGCGACAATATAACTGTTGCCTGTGTAAAGGGCCACTAAAAATCTAAGGGTAATATAACGGCAGATCCACAAATATAATTGTAATGAAGGTTAAAAATCGTACAGTTTGAATTGGGTAGATTTTGTACATAAACAAAATAAACTTAACCTAGCAGCTGGAAGTAGGGACAAATCTCATTCGATGGATTGGGATAAGGGGGGAGAAATCTCTCAAATAGTTTTGTTGAAAGAAATGAATCTGAGAGTGTGTGTAAAACGAATGAAGCATATGCTAGCTAAAGGTTAAAACATATATACCTCTAAACCACTGCAAAAGTACAGACCGTACAGTTTATACTAATTACATAATATTAATATAAAAATATTTTTATGTAGTCATTATATAAATTACTCCGTTGCGTTTTGTCAGAGATATCAAGCATTCTGCTTCTATCAACCAAGCAAGCACTATATGAACTGTACAGTCTGTACTTTTACAGTGTGTTTTAGTTGTACGGCTTTCAACCCGCTGTGATATTGTTTGACCATTAAATTTCTTAAGATGGTTTAGATTAAAATAAACCGAAACGACAAATTGATCGCAAAACCATAAAAACAAAGATGTCCTGTCAATTTTGCAACGTTTCCCGCTGATGTGCACGTCTGCACTACTTGCGCACCTTTTACTATTAGTATGACTTAATTGATTGATGAATTACCAGGTAAAGGAAGGAGGATATTCAACTAGGTTGCTCTTCCATACATTCCCCGGATTAAAATACAGTGTGCAGTGACAAATTAACTTATTAACACTAACAAAAATTAGTGCACTGTGAACACCACAAACGCAATGAAAACAGAGTGGCTTTGACTTTTTACGGAACGTGCTTGATGATGTAATACGCTCTCTACTTTTATTAAAGGGTACCGCTGAGCAGTGAAGTGCATTTTTCTATGTCACGTTGTGTTCCTCTATGCTCACTGTGGAAATTATTGCAAAATGTTTCGCACTATGTGCATTACTCGTGCAGCGAGTTTGCGGTGCACGAAGAAGTATTAAGTCACAACGCTAAAAGGTTCTTCTAACTTTTACCTCGTGCTTTTACACCTGTATTAACTGACAGCAAGAAAATATGACAAGTCACCTAGATCATTCAAATGGGTTTCTAAAGACCTAATAAATAAAAATTTTGCAATGTTTCTGTTCCTGTACGATTGCACTTTCCTTGATATTGCTCTTTGACCCTTTTTGCCGACCCCGTTGTGCCAACACTGTACTACTTCACATGTTTGTCTTACTGGTATTTGATTATTGAATAAACTAGCTCCAACAATGTGATGTGCCTATTTGATCTTACACCGATCTGTTGCGTGCTTGTATAAGCAAACACCACATCCATGATTCGAAATGTTGCTTTCATGACCGGGATTCGAACCCGCGAGCCTTCAAGCCAATGTGCTAGCAGCTCGACGCCCTACCCAGTCTCTTCTTGCCCCACTCCGAAATGTACCAGTGAATGCCAATGGAAAATGCTATTAGAATCGTATTACCATATTTTCTAATCGATTAGGGTCGCTGATAATCCAGACCTGAGAATGATTCCTAATTACCCTTAATTCAATGCACAGTACAGAATAGAGGACTTGACTCAAATACTGCTTAGCTATTCAAGCTTTTTATATAATATCGAAACAGGTATACCTGCATAATTTAAGCATCACAAAAAACTAAAATCACTTTGATGGACAATATGAAGTGAAAGCTTGAGACACTTTAGGTATGATCGTGACAAATCATAATCACCTGAAGAGTTAGACGCTATAGTTATTTCTGTAACAATGTTACACAAGTGCGCCGGTTTGAAAGACCATAAAATTCAAAGCATTTAATTCTTTAAATGTGTAGGAATTAATGGTGTGTGACCTTTTTTTTCTTGTTGCAGTGTGTCGCATGCCGCATTTTTGCAAACACCGGTGAATTCTTGCTTCACAATAAAAAGATAGCGTCTAACCACTGTACTGAGTTGGTCTGACTATACTGGCTTTCTTGCATGTTCAGATGCATCTTGCTAGAAGATGGACCAAGGTGTTCCAGAATCTCGACACCCTGCCAACAATAGAGCAGTCATACCGGCGACTTCTTGAGATTAACAGTTCAAATGAGAAGCAAATCACCTCATTAGAACAAGCCTAGGGCAGTGATGATAGCCCGCAGGTGTGGTAATATTCAGACCGTACGTTAAGGAATTGTCATCGGTCAGTCGTAGGTACTGCCCTCTCCTGAAGTATATGGACAGTATAGTCGATGCAGCACCCCAGCCGTGTGAACTGAACTTCAGTCTGGGTCTTGAACAAAATAACGAAAAACGAACTTGCTATCCCTAAAAAGATATCCCAGCTTTTTTCCGGCAGCTACTGCGATTGACGGGTTTTCTTCTGACAAATATATTTCCGAATTGCAGACAAGCCGGAACAAATAGCTTATTGGTAAAGCTCGGTTATATTTGTTAATCTACAGCACTTACTGTACCTTAGAACCATTAAGACTCAAGCACAGAGACAAAACTGATCTTTGGGGAGTACCAGTGTTGACATTGGGGATAAAGAAGTGAACCGGTCAATTACGCTGAGTATCTCACGACTGTGGAGCAAGTAAGCTAGCTGCGAAGTGAAGACCTTTGTAATATCAAGTGGTATAACGTAGGCCTCTCCAACTTACTGAAATAAAATCACTCCGCAGCTGTATAACGTAAAGCTAGAAGGTCACCAGTTGATCTACGATGTCGGAAACCTGTCCGCCTATACCACAATGATATCGGTATTACAGAGACAATGGTCGAATATTTTATTCTGGTTACAGAAAGCAGAGCTATATGCCTGTAGTTGTTAATTTTCAAATTCAAGTATTTAAAGTTGGATATTTTTCATAGGTTTCAATTAACTTTAAAATACTATTCAAATGATAACGTGGTCGACTATTTTTAATTTTAGAATATGCATTAATTGAATAAAGTGGTTTAATATGAGTTATACATATCCTACTTCTAAATTATATACTCATAGTTTGGTGATTTACTATATTTTGATAGCGGTGAAATTATTAATTCTCATAGCCCATTTCCAACTAATACAAAAATGTGAATTTCGGACAATGGCTCAAGAACAATTTGTGAACGCAACCCTAAAACTAGCACAATTGAATCAAATTTATGACTTCCGCCAAACATTCCAAATTGCAATCGCTCTTTCCAGTCTTCTGAGAAATGCTGGAGCTATCATATCTAATCAGACATGAAAGGACGAGACCAAGCTCCGATGCACATTTACTTCACACGATTGAAGGTCATGTCATATTATTGATGTCTGACGACTCCGGTACCAGCCTTAAAATCTGAAAGTTACTTCCCTCCTAGTGAGGGGAACCCTTGGATCACTTTCACAAGTACATCGCATACTATACACGTTTCCACTCTAAGTTGAATTGCACTGAATCTGACAACTTTGCACAAACTCACAAGTACCCACCACCCATACTTTTTTCACTGCCCAAGTCGACTGAACTACATAACGATAACTGCGTATCGATTGGGTACTCACAAATATAAGGAGATTTCTCATTGTGTTTTTTTTTTCAATAAGCAGACTTTAAAACAATCCAGCTTCTACCGACATGCACCGACTAACTCTTTATGGTCAGTTCCCACCCTTTATATAAAATTCGTAACAAATATAAACCACGAAACGGATAAGAATTGTCAGCGTTTCGAAAGCGTTCGTAAGAAATGTGTTCAAAAAAGCGAAAAATACCATAATCGATCGGACAGATCGGTGCAGCGGCATGTTATCTAAGAGATCAATGTAGATTCAAGGAGTGTATGATAGTTTGTGGTATAGGAAGAAGGCGAATCCGTTTGTTTTTGTGGTTTCTGCCACCGCAGGTTGACACCTGAGTTAACGCGTCTTTTACCTCATTGACTAACATGTTGATACCGATATCTTCTTGACGTATTTGATTACCATTGGATTCATTATTATACCTATACCTATACGCAAGGTAGACCGAAGCAACATTCTTACTTCCTGTGCCTATTGTGAGAAAGTATGGCAATCCCGAATTGTTTCGAAAATAATATATGTTGGGGCCTTGGTGACATGCCCCTAGTTCCCATAAAGATGGAATAGAGGTAGTTGAAGTATTGTCATGAAAAGGAGAAACCACCTACTGGAGTTGATTTTTACTTAAAAAGAAACTCACGCCAAATGTGTTACAACGTGCAGTTAAGTATACTGAAAGATCTCTCCCTAAATAATTATTATTAGAGCCATCGAGCACACCAGTTAGCGTGTATAAAAGAAAACTGTAAAATTAAACACCTACTCTCTTGCTCGTTCATGAAAAATGGTAAAGAACCGGTGATTTATTCTTGCCTATTATTATACGTATCATAAAACAATCAAAATTTTATATTTTAAATTAGCGCCTACCATAAGTTAACAGGCATAAGCGAGGAAGAAAACGACTAAAAGACGGAAAATGTAAAGGATAAAAATTTACAGCTGTGAATGTTACACCCATCACTACAAGAATGTAGTGCCATCTATGAATGAACATGTTAAGCGCCAAGATATAAAGAAATCTGCAATGACAGCTCTTGACAGCTTACAGAATTTGTGAATGAAAAAATGAATGTTTTGTAGGATGAAAGTACTAATATTGTGTAGGAGTTTCGAATTGAATAAAGAACTCGGAATGTTCTATTTACAAATCGGAAAATAGTTAAATGGTGAAGGTAAACGTGAACGAAGGATACGTCAATTAAAGCTGCGTTAAATATGTGATGTGAAATGTTACAGGGGCTTCATTCAGAAAGGTAGGAAGTTTGCTGACTCGAACTGTTAGGTTATACATTTTCCTCGATTTGTATGCTATATGGGTACTCAAACATATCTGTTTTCACCTCACGTCGGAGATAAAACGTTTGAATTAAATAATAATTTTATTATTCTATATGCATTATAGAATTTAAATTGCAAATGTAGATACAAGTACCGATAGGTATATTTTTACAAACATTCACTTATAGGCATCGATATTTCGATATCAACGCGTTGATATTTCTTTATAGGATTTACAAGTAACTGTGTGATTTACGCAACACGAGTGATGTATTTTCACCAATATCCAAACCACACACTGTCCAGGAGCTATGAAAACATCACATCACCATCCCAGGAAAATGGCAAGTACCTGTGACCTAGAGATTTGGAAACACAGTAAATGGAGGACTATTGACCAATAGTATAACTCGAAACATTCCAATAGAGTGCCATTTAATCACAATTAATATATTTAGCCAAAGTTAATAGTATTATTGTAAATATGTGTGATGACTCAAAACCCCTACTGGGGGGCAACAAGTTATCAAGTATAAGAGTCAGAAAGAAGACAAGTTGGGTGCTGAAAGCTTCTACATTGAGGAAGTGTGTTATTGCAGTGACATTCTTCTCTGTGGTCTTAATCTTCATCTATTCTAGACAGACAAGATCTCCATACTTCACCAAGTAAGTTTTTTTTTACTTTTTATTTGTTCCTTTATTGAACTGGATTTCAAAACTCTGTTGCTTGTTCAAAGCAAGTTAAAAAAGCTATCACTGCCAGAACCATATGTAACTTTTTTATTACACAATATTTAAAGAAACTAAATGAGGCTTCTGTAAAAAATAGCAACAGTAACAAGAAATCTGTTCTATAGCAAGTAAAAAATTAAACACTAGTGTAAGAACTAGTCAGGTTTATTATTTAACTCAAATGAGTTACTACCTGTTTATGCATAGTTTGAAATTTGACATTCTCCAATACAAGAAGCAAAAGCAATATAGCAATGCAGTATGCCACAGTCAAATATTTATATAGGGTGTTACTTAATGATAGGCTGTAAATATATTGTTTTCTTGAACTAAATTGTAAAAGACAAACTCTTCATATTAACATGTGTCTTGGAAAATATGGCTTCCAAGATTCAGGGTCAAAGATTGAGAAAGTGGTTTTTGACAAAGGAAAAATAATAGCAAACTGTAGAAGAAGAATATATTGATAACAACAAAACCACATTCCCTAACAACAATCAATGCTGATTGAATCTTTTTCCATTTCTTATTTTTATTTTATTTTTTCTCAAAAGCAAGAAGAGAAACCAAGAGACAAAAAAATTGTATTGGCAGCTTAATCTGAAAAAAAATTTTTTTTTTAAGTGAGCGGCATACATTTTTATGTCAATATCATTTGTGAGACTGCCCCTGACGCACCACTGGAATTCATAATTGTCTTTTATTTATTGCAATGAACAATACAAAATTCATTATAATTGGCACGAGGATCTTTGAGATATTAATAGAAAGACCATTTTTTAAAACTTTGAGTCTATCTTGAAAACCAGACTTTTTAGGGCACTTTTTCTGTGAGTGCTTCTTGTTAAATTCAGATCAGGAATGTGACCTAGTAATTATTGTTCATCATTACCCCTGTATTCCTTTGGAAGTATATAAAAGCAGTTTCACTTCCCTCCTAAAAGTTTATTGCATCAAGTTCTTGCATTGGATTCTTCAATTGTCCAGTTCATTGATTGTGTCCTGCAAGTTAGAATTTGCAAGTCTTTGTGTCAGATTTTGCTAATGATAAAAATAAAATAATATAATTTGAATGCTTGCTACCTTAGGGACAACCAGCCAAGCAAGTGGCTATAATCAATAGGTCCTCTTTGTGTAGTGTAAACAAATATGTTTAAATTGGGAGCATTAGTCTGAGGTTTGACTGATATGCTATTTATCTAGCCATTCCTATATTTATAAAATCCAAGATAACACAATTGTTATCCAAATATGTAAACTCATAAATCAGAGCTATATACAACAATAGTTTTAAAAATCTAACATCATACATCAGAGTAGAATTTATAAACTGGTAACCTTGTCAAATGTTTCACTGTGTCAAATATTGGAGAACAAATTGCACTTGAAAATAAATAAATTTATTTGTAGTTGATTTAATCAAATACATCTAAGCTAACCCTGATGAACCCAGAAAAAATGTTTACTGTAATTTGCCATAAAACAAAATCTTATACTTTTATTTTTAGTAGCAGATTCATGCTTCATTACATATCTCTTAAAAGTTCTTATTTACTCTACCAGCATTAATTGAATAAGCTTGATTTTGACCGTCAGATAAGATAAAACAGATTTTTACATTTTTGTGTTTGGTGTTCCAAACAACTTGCAAGATGTGCAAAGAAGTTTTTACCATCATCCATTCCTTGAGTAGTATATAATGTTGCATCTAAACCCACCCTAATCCTAAAAAAGTATGTTCCGGACCCCGCTCGAGCGATCGACTATCATGGGCTAAACTGAAGAAATTATCGGTTAGTAAATGCACTGTAAATGTATTAGTAAAAGATAATACTAAGTACCCCAACTTGTATGCCACACAATTCATCCATTTAGAAATAAAAAGTGCATTTAAACCATTAGATATTTAATTAGTAACAGTTCACTATGCTCCAAGAGATTCATTTTTTATAAACCTCTTATGTGATAAGATTTGTGAAAAATATACAGTTTCTCTAAAATGTTGACATTCATATAAATTGTTCTGAAATTTATCTCACATGAAATGGAAGTTCAAAACATCTAACAAACTCAGTCTTCTGTGACTCAAACTACTTGGCACTAAATTTTGAGGTGCCAAATAAGGCGTCCATTCTTTTTTCTTTCTTCCTCTACTAATGTGCTGAAAATAAATTCACCATGAAAGATTGTTTCATAGTTCCCAAATTAGCACATGCTTTTTTATCATACCTTTAATTTTTTTTTTTAAAATGATCGAGAATCTTGGCAACTTGCAAATATGGAAATGGTTAATAAACTTCTTTGATCCATTGCCTTTTTCAACTTTTGATTCCTTCAGTGGAACAATCTTCAAAAACCATGAAGTTTTCTTATGATATATGTGATATCGGATGCTTTGTCATAGCACCTATTGCTACTAAAGTATTTAAACACACGCAAATCCAACACATTTTTAACGTGAACTGAGTAGCTTGATGAAATATTTTAAGAATTATAAAGTTTTGTCTTTCTTAAAGGTAGATAATTTATTATTTTGCCTTTAGCTTATGCGTCCTCTCCTACAGTAGCAGCTGAGGAAATTAGGTGGAATATTGACTTGATAGGAATATATAATGTAAAGGTTGTCTCAGAAGTCGAAGTCAAACCGGAAACAGGAGATAGGCCAAGTCATAGTAGTTATCAGAAAAATATAAAAACTCGAAGTCGTGTACTTTTCAAATTATAGGCTTTAAAAACTCGAAAAAATCTACACCCTGTGATGACCTTTTAGTTCCCATTACTACAAATTTCAATTTTTCTCAAACGTAGTGACGTAATTGGTGGATGTATTTATAAAATTCCCAATAAATGTTCAAACTACCTTCTTTCAGCAACAATGGTAGCTTGAAATATTTAACATGATCGGGTTATCAAACGGGCGAATCTTCCATTATTAAAAATTCAACTGCTTCCGTTATTTTGTCGTGTAGCTTAGCTAAATTTTCGTTTGGCGTAAGACAGTAAAAAAATCGAATGGATCTGGTCAGGTGAACAGGCTGACCACGAAATTGTATCAGACCGTCGTGTACATCCGCTCGGATATTCCGCATCAAGATATTCTCTATCCCTAACTGAACGGACGTAGTACGCCAGGCAGCCGTCTTGCTGATACAACATGCCTATGTAAATGCTTAGTGGCCAATAAATTTGGTAAATGATTTTGTAAAAAATCTATATAAATTTCGTCATTCAAGAACTCTGGCAGCTCAAAGGGTACTACGATTCTCGGTAGGCTGTACTTTTGGGCACTCCCCTGCTTACTTCTGTTAGTCGTACTGAAGTACTCGGGTCTTCTTCGACTACTTGTAATACGAAGTCCTCGTAAACAAAGGAAATTATTCCTTCACTATATGCTTGATTTGAGAAACATCCATCTGAGAGTAAGCGGCGCACATTCACAAAAACTCGGTGACCGAGATGACGTGCAGCATTTGGGTACCTCTCACGGTAAAGCCTAGCTGCAGCACTAGCATTGCATGTACATTCCCCATAAGTGAGATGCATGTTGGCGTATTCCTGTACGGCGTACACAGGCATGGTGGCACCACACAATCATGAATTAATAAATGTGGCGTGACTATCTGTCTTGCTGTCACTACATAGACTGACACTGTCCGTCACTCCGTCTAAGAAAAACTTGAAATTAGTAGGAATGGGACCCAAACGATAATCACAAGGTGTGATTTTTTCCGATTTTTTTTTTCGTCGTCTCTAATTTTTTGAATATGTGCAATGAATGGCACAGTAAGCGGTTACGATTCGGTTCAGTTCCATTTTCTCGTGAAACGGTAATTTTGATCTGGTATGCTCTGTTCAGAAGTACCCAACTAACAATTATCACTCCTATTAGAGTTGCAAGAATGATTATACAGTATTCATTACACAGCATTGTATACTGTAAGAACATTGGCAAAACCCTCTTAGAACAGCTATACAAGCGGAATGGGCACACCTAATAGGACACTTCGGTCATTTACGAGGTTGTATAAGGGTTGCAGGTAACAGTTATACAACAAAAGTGTAAGCCTGTTGCAGCCGCTATAGGGCATTTGCGTCAGTGCAAGATTCAGTTTTTGTCAACTATACAACTATTCTGTTACGTGATTCTACGTTATTGCAACCAAAATATTTCTTATGTATTGTATAGACGAAGTGAAGAATATATAACTAACACATTACAGTCATCTTGTTTACTTACTTATCGGCCATTGTGAATTTCATACACAGGTATATGATAAACTTCTACACTGTGATATAGGGCTATTGAATTACTTGCGCAGCAAATTTTATTGTGATTATCGGACAAAGTAGTTACGCAATGTCTATAGGCTTCGCATTTGATTCATATTTTAATAATGATCAAAAGTATGTCTAGATTTTTAAGATGGAAAACTGAACTTATCTGAGTTAAACCTTCCACTAATCATATATTTAGACACAATTACACTAATGTTTATCACTTTATATCTGTAATTTCGAACTGAAACATAATCATTTAATACTAAGTAGAGAATTAAATGTTTGCCCAATATGGCGGGTGGTTATGAATAATCATGGCATCGTCCATGTTGTCTTTGGTTTATTAGAATATTTTGGTGTTGTCTGCAGGTGTTATTCAACAATTTGACAAATATCTGAAATGAAATACCGACAGAGTCGAATGATTTACCCAGAATTTGTACCAGATCTATATCTTCTGTTTGAATAGTTGATAAAACCTTTTGAACCAATATGCATGCGTTGTTTGTCTTGAAACATTGGTTATGGCATTTTAACAAAAATATGACAGCAGAGAGTTAGGTTATGGTGAAGTTGTATACCAACATATTTAGCCTTTAACAGTTACTAAATACTAAACAACAATTGTATAAGTGCTTCTGTTGGAAGCAATTTGTTGGCTAAAGTAGTAAATTCCACAGCAAAACAACAAGGCTGGGGTTGGTTTTATAAACGTTACAATGGATGCCACAACACAACCATTTTGACTAACGTGCAAATATGCCGTATAAAATAGTTGTATAAACGTTTATGCAACAGTTAAAAATTTGCCCTATAAGGTGTTGGATAACTATGCTATAAGAATATCTTAAACACCTCATTTTAGAGCAAATATGTTGCAGAAAGCAAATTTGTATTCCACACAACATTAAGCCAGCATTTTGGTGTTCAGGCAACAACAATAGGGAGCTTTTATGGCTGAACGGTTCTTTTACCAAAAGCTTATACCACTACTTTACTAGTTGGGTAGTAGGATGGTTTGTGTAACACGTGACGAGTATTAAAAAACAGTGATTGGTAAAACTCTTTCATTGTCTGAGTTTTCTCGTCTTTGTCATAAATAACTTTGTATCAAAATTAGTATAAAATCTGAGTCAGAGTTATAGCGGATTACTGGGCAGTCGGAAAAACAAACTTTATAACACCCCAAAATGAAACTTTCATAAATGAAAATTGAATTTATCAAACACTTATGCTCAAAAAGTCTTCACCGAATTCCGAGTATGGAAACTAAAAAATTAATAAATTACAGCAATTTTGTTATTTAATACCAGTATGTTCGCAAATGAATTAATGATTAGTCATTTTATAATCATTACAACATTGTGTCGTATATGCACTTCCATGTGACTAACAGAATGCAGTTGACATTTAGATTTATGACCATATTTCGATCAAACAGTTACTGTATTAAATTATAAGATATCAACAGATGTTGGAACAAGAACGAGTGAGCCAAATTCCAATGTTTGTTTAGATAAAGTTAAGTATATTTAGGTTGCGCATTTAGTTTAGAATTTGTTGCTGGGATTTTATACACTCAACGTTGATTCTCATTCAAGCGTTGGTATTCATTTATTAATTTTAGATAGTTTTATATGAAAATGTTACAAATCGATGGCGTTTGCAAAAATAACTTAAATCATCATACTTTTTTTGATATTTTAGTCAAGTGAAGGAATAGCTCCATGAGCTACACTTTTATAATGTAATCATTATCAATAAAGACGTTTATTATCTGCGTATAAAAAATAACATATTTTTTTATTCTAGTTGCCTCAATATGATCAAAGGTTTTCAATAGGTTTTGAATAAGTTGTTTATTGCTTTTCTGTGAAATATTGATCGTGGAAACATTTTCCGACAAATTTATCTTGAGTCGTGCAAACAATATACCTCACCTGAACAGACCACCCTGATCTTGCCAAGTGATACTCAAAAATAGTGGTTTAACCTACTGTTGTAATCAACAATATTGTAACAGACATTCAATTGTGTTTGCAAACAGTATATACAAGCAGAGCTTCCTCATTAGGCTCGAATTTCTTTCATCAGGCATACAAAAATAGCTAAGTTTCTATTTGCGTGAGCTTGTGGCTGTATCTATAGCAAAACTATATGTCAGCCATTTATGCGACGTTAAACAAACACCAGTGCGCGTAATTCAAATATCGCGTTCCTATTAGATAGCGGGCCATAAATGCCTGGGCGTGGTAGCGACAAGCGAACAGAGGCAACGCTTTGAGTGCTCATATTTGCTTTGACGATATGAATACATTAAAGTACAGTATACGGCGTGGCTATATAGGGTGTTCCCTAAGCGAATGTCAATATTTAAGGGGTCGATTCCTGGGATCCTTCGAAAAAGAGAACTTCATATGAACGTCTTAACTCTTGAGATAGAATATAGAAAGTCAGAGGCGTGCCACTTTCCTAAAGGGTTTTTAGCGAAAAAAACACGTTGAAATAACTTATGTTACCAACCTTAGTAGCCAGTACTGCGACATCATCGACCTAGGTTTCTCTGAACACCTAGCACAGTTATAGACGTGAAAAAAAGAGTATTTTTCTGTCAGTCTTTATAACACAGTGTGCAGGCGCTATGTGAATTCTGACTCTATAAGGGAGTTTAAGAAAATATATTTGTCCGACCCTATTGAAATTACAACTGAAACATCAATTCAAGATGTTCCTTAAATTCTTTGACAACTTTAAATGGAGTTTTCATGTCACGCATCCGAAAAAGAACATCCTTCGAAAATCTGTCACCAAAAACGTAGTTCGCTTCCCCAATCCTTATTAAATGATCTGCGGAAATCTTCGCAACATTAATTATCTTCGAAGGCTGTTTGGGGCCATAAAAATAAGCTTCAAACAAGATTTCTACCCCAAGCTAGTGAATCATTCAGAAACTAGTGAATATGCATTTGAATAAAAAAAACAATTCTACTTCTTGGTCACTTGAGATAGATTACAAAGGAGGCACCAATAGTAAAATGTGAATGAGTTTATTCACTTTTTTACCACTTCTGTTGAAACGCTTTTATCAGAAGAAGCAAATATTCAAATTTGTCTAAATACACTCCCATGCACTTTGAACAGCAGTGTTTAAAAAACATAAGAATTCAACTGGTATTAATGACATCCTAATTCGTTTGGTGAAGAATTGCGCTGGGAAATTATCGTGCGATTTAGCATTATTGTCGGTGCTCTCTGCCATTTCCCCAAACAGCTGAAACTGTCAAAATCACATCCCTTTTCTGAAAGAGCAAAAAATTACTTGCAGAAAATTATACAGGCATAGTTTCCCTATCTTGCTTTTTCACAATAAATAAATTCACTATTGCCAGATACACTAAAATACACGAATTCATTGCTAATATTCAAGAACAACTTAAGAAACATTCTGGTCTAGAAATACCTGTATATATCTCAATTTATAAATGTTTTCATATATATCTTAATCACTTACATGTATTTTGTAACATTTTATGGTTTTTGTCCATGTTTCATTTCTCCTGCTCTTTTTTGATCAAACGTTATTATCGAGTTACTTGTATGTCTTGATGGAACACTTTTTAACCTGCCTGAGTGCACTCGACGAAGTTGGTATGTATTATTACATCATATGGCTAAAAATCTATAGTTTTCTCTGACTTGTGTGGTTTTTGAAATGACCGTCGGTTTATATGTCCTTTGAAATACCTGTTTTGTTTTGAACATTTTTATACAGATAATTAGTGTGATATGTCTCTGTCATTCAGCTTCATCTACCGTAATGTACGCCCGCAGCCCAACATTCGTTGCGGCGTGATGAACAGTCCCAGGATCATCCAAAATCATGACCACAAGACTGACGCCCGTCTGCGCAGCTACCCAAAAGTGCTTGTGTTCGTTGAAACTATGTACTCGAAGCTCGGAAGAGACATTGCAGAACTACTGGTGCACACTAGGATTAAGTAAGTATACACAATAACGACAGCATGGGTATTCCAGAGGAATCAATGATCTTGAATGCCTCGATCAGGCCCCCTCATAATCATGACAATCGCAATCAACGCTCGGCGAGTGCTGTCAAATTCCTAGCCCGTAGACGTTGTTCATATGGCAAATGTCGAATCTCTGGTGGAATTCGCGTTATTTTACGTTGCAATCTTTCCAGTAGTTCGATGTTTTTGGCAAAATAGGGACTCCATACGATGTGTGCATGTTCAAGTTTTGGTCGAATGTACTTCTGGTATAACTTTTCTATTATTGCAAGAGAGTGGTTTTTCAATCAAATATATCAGTGAGTGGCCTTTTTCAATTTTGTTGGTAGTGTGTGTACTTCACATTGTAAATTATGTGCTATTATAACTCTTAGGTCTTTCTGGTACTGCACATTTTCCATTTCTACCTGCCCTATACTGTATTTTATATTAGGATTTATCTTCCCAATATGAACTGTTGTGCACTTTACTGCATTGATTGACATTTGCCATTTCTCAGACCATTCCTCGATGGCGAGTATTTCGTATTTAATGTCGACCTCTTGTAATGCAGGGTTTCTGAATAGCTTGCTATCATCTGCATATACTGGAATGTTTGTTTTTATATCCACTAGATCTGACATGTGAACAAGGAATAGAAGAGGTACAAGTACAGTGCCTTGTGGAACACCACCCAGAGCTGTGTGTGTGGATCACTTAGAATCTCATTTATTCTTACTTGGAAGGCTGTCAGTAAGAAATGCCTCTATCCAATCTAAAAGCTTAAATCGTACACGAAAATGCTGAACCTTAAAAATCAAATGTTTTTTTGTAATTAAGACATTCCTTCGTCATCCATAGCTGTCCATTGTTGTAAAACAGATAGCAGGTTGGTAATCGCAGATCTTCCATTTAAAAAGCCATGCTGCGTATATGGTATGACCTTATTTTGAAGTAAGAATTGTGTGAGTTCCCGCGTTATCATTTTTTCTGAGTTTACAAGGATTACAAGAAAGACTTATAGGTCTATATTTTTTGTATATATATTCAATTTTTTCTATCGGTGTCCGTATTTTATGCCTAAGTCAAAAGGTGATGGAACAGAGAGAGAGAAAATGTTGTTTGTCTCATCTAGACTTGTCAATACGCATTTCTTGTTACTTTCAGGTACAAAATCGAAGTAACTGGAAAAAGTGTCCCAGTCTTGACGAATTTAGACAAGGGTCGTTATGGCGTTATCGTGTTCGAAAATTTCACCAAGTACCTTAATATGGATAACTGGAACAGAGAATTGTTGGACAAATATTGCAGAGAGTACTCCGTGGGCGTTATAGGATTCGTGCCATCAGAAGAGGAGACTTATGCTGGGGCTCAACTAAAAGGGTTTCCTTTATTCATACATTCTAACTTGAAGCTAAAAGTACGTATTTCCAAGTAAATAACACACTTCAACATCTTTTGAATATCCCATTTCCACACTGTCATATAATAAATTATTATAGTTAAATAATTGATTAAAATTATAATTTCTTTTATAGAATGCAGCACTAAATGCAGCATCTCAAATACTAAGATTGACTAGGGCAGGAGAAACTGTATGGGGCGAGTTGCCAGGCAACGACTGGACTATATTTCAGGCAAATCATTCGACTTACGAACCTTTAGAATGGGCTACAAGAAATGATTTTATCCAAAGGAACGAATGTAAGTTTTTCTGTCCCGTCTCCATATTTTTTATTATCTCTTTCTGTAGATTTTTCTACCTTATCGTCATAGTTAATATTTTCTTTTTATTATTATAACATTTCTTTATATTATTATAACATTTTCTTCTAAGTGCTTTCCAACTATCAAGTTAACTGAATTCCCAAGTCTAATATTTTTATGTACACTTTCTTTAATTTTTTTGTTTTATTTAAAATTATCAGTCATATCTGATAATTTCTCACTAGCTGGCGTTCGGACTCCACCGCTGACCACCGTGATTCAAGACCATGGCCTTTTTGACAACATTCAACGAGTGATTTTCGGTTCCGGCCTACGTTTTTGGTTGCACAGACTTTTATTCCTTGACAGTCTCAGCTACCTGAGTCATGGACAACTGAGCTTATCGCTGGAAAGAAAGTTTCTGGTGGACATTGATGATATTTTTGTAGGAGAGGTAAGAAATTTATCACGATTTCACTTATGATGGACCTTTATCACCGAACGCAACCACAACCCGACGGCAACCCGATAATGCACAATACAAACCCTCACATCAAAGTGACGAATTACCCAATGGTTTCAGTTCATGAAAGATGACGTCTGTAGAAGTCTGTGGCATTTCATTTTGATTGTACTCTGGTAAAGTATTGATAATCGGGTAAAAGTGCTCCTCCATCGGGTTTTTGTGTCTTTTGAAATGATTCAGGTGGAGTGACAGTATGTAGAACCTTCAGCAGATGTTTCTCTGCGCAGGAGTTTCTTTTTTGTCAGTAAAAAAATACTGCACATCTTGGTTGGCCTAGTTAGAGTTTGCTTGTGGAATACGTTACTAACGCGATTTTTCTTTCGGCCAGGGATTTTAAGAACCAAAATAGTGTATTTATATTCCACATTCTGAATAAGTATACAGTTCTTTTCAGAATTCAATTATTTGTTAAACGGAACAAGATAGCAAGCTGAAATTGGGTATGATGACATTGGCGCATATTTTAACGTACAAATAACTTGAGAATTTCAACATGGCAATGTTTTAAAGTGGAAATCGGAGGTCATGTGATACCTTGTTTTGAAGCTCTTTGTCAATACCTTATAACACTAGAATCTATCTTTTAAAATGGGAGACTCATCAACTAATTATCAAAACGTTATAGTATGCTATCTCTATCTTCTTTAAAAAGGGAGTATCTGAGCGTACAATAATAATGGGATATTCAGTTTAAAAATATTCGACAGATAATGACAATTTTTTCATATGTAATGTTCCATATCTTATTGCATATAAGGAATTTTGAAATGAGGTATCAAATTTCAGGTTGCTAGCTTGATAAATGGGGGCTTTTTAAAAATCACTCCACAACGTGAACGTAGCAGATAGTCCAAATCGAGCTAAAGTTGGATTACCGTCGGATGCTTTTGCTAAGAACACTGCCTTAGGATATCTTGGATATAGGTAAAAATATATATAAACTCAATGTTCATATTGCTTTATTTCCGACAGAGTGGTACAAGAATGAGACCAGACGATGTCAAAGCTCTCATAGCCACACAAGAGAGGCTAGCTAGTATGGTTCCAGGATTCAAATTCAACTTAGGTATGTTGGGTTTCTTGAGCAATTTCCTTTTATCTTTTGACTATTGTAAGTGCAAAATTACACTTTCTTAGGCTTTTCTGGCAAGTATTTCCATCATGGCAACAGTGAGGAGGACAGCGGCGATGATCTGGTACTCGAAAATGTGGATAAATTCACGTGGTTTTCGCATATGTGGAATCACCAGCAACCTCATCTATATGACAACTTGACCTTGCTTATGGAGGATATGCAGTTGAACAGGAATTTTGCTAAGGAGAAAGGCATCCCTGTCGACTCTGGGTAAACGCAATATGCTGCTTTTAAATTATTTTGAGTTTTTCCGCTTAATTATATGGGAGGAGTACAAATACTTAGACTATATGTTTATGAACTTTTCTCTTCATTCTAGTATTTTCAAAATGACGTGTTATGTCGTGTTCAATAAATGAGGTAAATGTGTTTTTCTCAAATAGGTATTCAGTGTCTCCTCACCACTCTGGAGTATATCCAGTCCATGAGATTCTCTACACAGCGTGGAAAAAAGTTTGGAACATCAGAGTGACATCTACTGAGGAATACCCGCATTTAAGACCAGCACGGTTGAGGAGAGGTTTCATTCACAGGTTATTATTTTCATTTTTTATGAATTGCTCTAAGGCCTATCAAAATAGTGAATTCAACTGGTCACAAATTTAGAAATATTAGGACTAACTTTATTAAGTTTATCATATTTTTCAGAAACATCATGGTATTGCCCAGGCAAACTTGTGGTCTATTCACGCATACAATGATGATAGACAGATATCCTGGGGGTAGAGAGAAGTTGGACGAGTCTATCCAGGGTGGTGAATTGTTCCAAACCATCGTGTACAATCCGGTAAGATCTACCTCACTCTTCCACTACAAAAGAAAATGACTAATAACAGTTATTTTTAGATAAACATCTTCATGACCCACATGTCAAACTATGGAAATGACAGATTGGGGCTGTACACTTTCGAGTCGGTTATCAAGTTCATACAATGCTGGACCAACATTAAGTTGTCTACAGCGCCACCCTTGCAGTTAGCCGAAAACTATTTCAAATTGTATCCCGGGGAATCGGATCCTGTTTGGGGAGTAAGTAATTCCATGTATTTGAGGTTAAGTGTAAGAGTAGCCATTTGGCTAAACTTCGCCTCACTGATGTATGCTGATTAATAAAGACATTTATTATTATTATTATTACTTATTACTTTGGTCAATGTATTCTCATTATCTAATAATCTGCATTTGTAAAATGTCAATGAAATGAGATATTACCTCCAGCACACGTCTATTATTTAACTGTTTCAATTGTATGTTTCTTCTATTTTTACATTTTTTCTTCCAGAATCCGTGTGATGATCACCGACACCAGAAAATATGGTCTCGCAACAAATCATGTGACTCCTTACCAAAATTTTTGGTAATAGGTCCTCAAAAGACAGGGACAACTGCTCTCTATACATTTCTTTCTCTCCATCCCACTATAGCCAGTAATCTGCCCAGCCCAACTACCTTTGAAGAAATCCAATTTTTCAATGCTCACAATTACCTCAGAGGTCTGGACTGGTAAGTTAATATCTAATTAGTACTTAGAGATATATTTGAAAAAAAACGCACTGTCTTACCCATCTTCTGAGGAAGAATTATGAAATTCGTAGAAAAACGTTTTTCATTAGTATTGACTATTTTAAATTCTCTCTCAAAATTAAGTTCCATTGAATTTTTTGAATAATAATATTTATTATCCATCTTGACATGAAAGTACATGTATTAGATTAGTCAAAAATAAATACCTATAAACTAATAAATTCATTGACGGCGTAAAAGCATTTGTCAAGTCGAAAATGTTTCAAGCGTTTTTTAAAGCTGATAACGGACTGACTGCACTTGATATCTTCGGGAAGCCTTTCAAAAATTCTAGGTCCCAACACATTTGGTGACTTTCTAGAAGAATTCTGGTAGGGTCAGTATAAGATATTTCTTAAGTAAGTCTCTACAGCTATGCCTGGAGTCTACACCTGCCATACATCTTAAAACCTTTTTCTGACTTACAAACACGTACTGAGGTGATGATGAGCAGCTCCAGAAGCACAGTTCGTATCTCAATCTAGACTAAATTTGAGCATAATATTAGTTGATGCTCAGTTCTCAAGTTTTTCATGATAAATGACTGTGAATTCATTCTTGAAATTACATTGTCACAGTGTATTCTAAAACAAAGGTTGTCGTCAAAGTGAATCCCTAAGAACTTTACTTGATGTTCTAACTGTATGTTTGTATCTTTAATTTGAAGATCTTATGGACTAAGCTTTTTTTGAGCATGGTGGAACCTCAATGCTGAAGTTTTATCCGAACTGAGATACAGATGGTGCCTCGAGAACCACTCATCTAAAACAATCAACAAAGTATTACACTTACATATAACAGACGTCAGGCAGTGATACAGACGTGTCAACTGCATATAGGCAGCAGCGGTGGCCGCAGTAGTAGACTCTTCGGTCTCCTGATCAGTCGCCGTGCGCTGTACGGGTTCGAATCCCGTCCCAAGAGAATTTTTTCTCTTGGCTATGGATGTTGTGATTGTCCGTAGGTGGTAGACGGTCTCTGACTGTCGCACGCAGAGGTACCACCCGGCGGATCTCGTAGGCCGGGCCAGAATGTGTGCATGTTGCATGCACACGTGTTTCCTCACCAGAGTCCGTGTGGCGGTCCCCCTTTCCCCTGTATCCCCCTATAGCCCCACGGTACCCCATGAGTGTTTAGGCCTTAGGCCTTCGTGGTAGTTGGAGTATAAAAAAAAGTTAACTTTACTTCACCAAAACATTTATCTATATCATTGATATAGATGCTAAATAAAATTGGTCCTAAAATGGATCCTTGTGGCACACCCTTGTTGACAGTGGTTGATGAGGATTTCACTTGCACAAACTCCTATTTTCGACATCGGAAATGTAAAGAGCAGAAAATTTTACGTTGAATTATGTCTGTCCATGACCTTCATGCGTTTTTGAGGATGTCTAGAAAGTAGGGAAAGGACAAAATATCTCGAAAAATACGTTTCCTAGAGAAAAATTTTGTAGAGTAAAGATGCAGTGATTGAAAAGATTCATCCCTAGGTGATTTTGAACGTGACCGTGACTATGACCTGCAAGGTCATTTAAAGATCGGGTGAATTTAAAAAAAACCTCGAGGATTTAAAAAAGCGAAGTAACTATTGCATTACTTTGAATATTGCATTTCTTTTTTCGAAACCAATCTCCTTTACACTAATGTGAAACAAATGACCTATACAGGGGTGCTAGCGACCCAAAACATGAATTTAAGTGAACAAAAAGTAGTGAGAAATATTGAATTTATACTCAAAAAAGTCAGTTAATTTTCTGAGAAATAGAATATATTAATGCCAAATTTTAACGGATAATGTAAATAGGAATATATGTGAAAAAAAAAACGAGAATAACTCTTTGTTACTGTTTTACTGAGGTAAGCAATAATTATTCATATGTATGCATACATTAAGATCGAATGCATAAGATGCATAGAAGAGGTATAAAAATGTAACAATTTCTTGTAAATGCAGGAGACGTAATTATATCTATTAAGTATTCTTGCCCAATTGAATGAATCTTACTTTTTGGCGAACTTTTAGAAAGTCGAAATTTGATATAGTTATTATAGATGAGTATTTATATGCAATGATTGATTAATTTAACGTTCACCATATTGGATTAGAATGACGTCACTTTGTTCATTGTGTTTCTTTCATCAGTCGCTTAATATGGACTATGAAAATTATAAATCGCTGTTTTGCTGCGGTCGCCATATTGGATCTAGAATAACGTCACGTTGCTTACTGTATCTCTCTCAAGCCCTTCCAGCCGATAACCATATCATAGCGGTAACTATAGAAATTATAAACGTCATCTTGCGGCGGTCGACATATTTGATTTGAAATTACCTTTGCTTATTGTGTTTCTCCCAAACCCCATCATCTGATGTCATATTATACGGGTGACTATGGAAATAATAAATTCAGTTTCAGGATTTGTTCCACACATGTATACTAACGAATTAACATACTAACAGTTACTTCTGTACAAGGCTTGTAAAAACTGCCACTGTTAATGCAATTTATATTGAAATCGCAGCTCAAATTAATCCAGGAGAAAATGAAAACAGTTCAGGGTAAATTCGTATTTTCTGTTTCTCTAAAAATAATCTGAATTGCCAAGCTAAGTAACATTTTATTGGTTACCTAAATGCGCATCTATGCCTTCATAAATGATTTTGTATTGCATTGCTTTTTGTTTATCCCTAATGCAGATATACATATATAGTGCTTTTAGCAAAGCTGAACTAAAATTCAACGTAGATTTCAACTATCCCTTGTAATTTCTCGTGTAATACATATTGTCTCAGCTTGTGGAGAACCTTGTATATGAACAACTTTGTCATAGTTAGTTTTTATAAAAAAATATTTCATTAGATTTCGTGGGGCTTGAGAGAATTTAGACAGCTCGTTTGAAAACGTTCATAAACTAAAGTATGTACAGCGAGAGCGGAAACAGTGAGAAAAGTGAATATTTTCAATGAAAAGTGAGTAAAAGTGAGGTGGATCGAAAAAAGAGAAAAAGTGAGTCGCCTATACTTTTTCACTAGTTGCACACGAGCGAGCTACTTTATTAAAAACCATGCTACCTTTATATTAGCAAAAATGATATAGTTTATGAAAAGATTTTTGAGCTATTCTACAAAACCCTCTAAAGCTTCTTTATCTTCCGCACCTATGGAGGGTTTTTAATTCTTTACCTTACGTTTTTTTTTTCAGGTATATGGACTTTTTTCCGGTCGACTCCAACACCTCAACGACCAGGTACTACTTCGAGAAGAGTGCCACCTATTTCGATGGAGAACTTGTACCAAAACGAGTGCACGCTTTACTTCCGCGCGCTAGACTAGTCACAATTCTGGTGTCGCCAGCGAAACGCGCTTATTCTTGGTACCAACACGTCAAAGCTAGAGGGGATGTGGTGGCGAATAACTATAGTTTCCATCAAGTTGTCACTGCTAGCGATACGGCTCCGAAAGCCTTGAGGGATTTGAGGAACAGGTAAACAACATTTTCATGCAAGCGTCGAGCATCAAAAGGGGTCACGTGGTCAGTCATCTAACTAAAGAGACACAGTCAAAGTCTCATACTAGAGAGTTTTTCGGACTATGCAATCTCAGATATACTCTTTAAATTGGTAACACATACATATTGTCTCACCTTTTCAAGGCATACACAACCACTTCACCATAGGTTAAAAATCTGAAGTCAAATGTGGTTCGGCTTTTTTTATACTTTGAAAAAATCTCTCTGTAAGTCTTCTATAATTGTATAGAATAATTATTTGAAATCACCTTTACTATATTATTTAACATTACAGATGTCTAAATCCAGGAAAATACGCCCAACATTTGGAAAGATGGATGACGTATTTTCCGCCCCAGTCCATTCATATAATCGACGGCGAAGAACTGAAGAACAACCCTGTGGAAGTGATGAATGAATTGCAGAAATTCTTGAAGATTACTCCATTCTTCAATTACACTGAGCACCTGAGGCAAGTCATTCATTTAAGCTTTCGGATTTCTAATTTTATACTAAATATTTTATGTCTTAAAATCCTTATTATAAATTATTTTCAGACAGGTGACTAACATATCCTCCTATTGGTTTGAGGACAAATACACACGTTGTCATGTATTTCTTTGTAACTTAGCTCATCTATTTTTGCCTATATCTTTTATATCCTTCCTATAATTTGTTGGAAAATGTTACAGTTATTTATAAAGAACCATTAAAATGATTTCCTTTGTTCAGTGGTGAATTGTTTAATAATAACGAACACAGACATGTATACCTGCTACTCTCCAAAATGCTGGTAAAAACTCAATATTTTGTCCAAAAAGCGACGAGATATACGGATTAAATTATTGAAGAGGGGTCTCTTGATAGAAAAACCAAAATTTGCAAGCATTTGAAATAAGATACCGAAAGCGCCATCTATCAGACCAGAATCGACAACTGTTAAGGATCTCAGTTCACGTTCATTAGCCCAGTCACCACGTGATCGCTATATGGCTGATTAAACGTGAACTGAGATCGCTAACAGTTAAAACTAATAGCAGCTATGCGCTCTCCGCAGTTGTCGATTCTGTTGTGATAGATGGCGCGTTGCGCTATCTTATTTCGATATACCATACCTCCGGATTGAGGATAGTTACGATGCTTTTGTTCGTTGTCCCAGAGACGAGAAACCAGGCCTATACGATGCTGATGAGAAGCCAAGAAGCACGAAACAGCTGTCCATGGCTGTATGTTGATTGGCCGGATGAAGTTTAGTGGTATTTTGAATTGAGGCGAAGTGTAGTCATATGGTTACTGATCAACAGTAATTTGCGACTGTCAAATTATAGAATATTACTCACTTGCTGATGACTGTATATGCATCCTAGATATACCACAAATGTCAGTAATTTGTCTAGGAGTCTAAGTAAACAAAAAATGTACTGAATGTAATCTTCCATGTCTTTCCATCTCATTTACTATTCCCCTATAAAGTATTGTGAAATTCCATATTTTCACTGGTTATAAATCAAGAACATCCTTATCAATCTTTATTTTTTACCGTTACCATTTATTAAATACCTAGAACAAGTTCTTGTATAACTTGGTTGTTCTACTATCAAGAAACCCGTCTTCAATGATTTAGTACATACATCTCGTCGCTCTTTGGGCAAAATATTGAGTACCAGCATTTTTGGAGAATGGCATTAAACAACAGGGAGGCCAGGCTGTGATGATATATGAAAATGATCTGTTGTTGTTAACTGCAACACTTTCGTGTGCCCCTCTATGAAGTGTGCCGAATCCTTTTCAATAGAATGTTAAAAAGCTAAACAATACAAAGATGTTGAAGAATTGCGTGCGAAGTGTAGAGTCAATCTACTTGACTGGAATTTTTATTTCAGATTTGATCCGAAAAAGGGGTTCTACTGCCAAGTAATCAAAGGTGATCATACGAAATGCCTTGGGCGTAGCAAGGGCAGACACTACCCGCCCATGGAAGAGAAGTCCCTAAAGCATTTGCAACGGTACTACCTGAGTCACAATACGGCTCTGGTGAAATTGTTCAAGAAGATTGGGATTCGTGTGATTCCTAACTGGCTCAAAGAGGATCTCTCGGATAAGAATGATAAAGACGATTGAAAAAACTGTTAGGTAAATGTGAAAAAATGCTCATTTCATTTTGTTGTTTTTTTGAAGTTTTTTTTTGTGAAACAGGTTGGATGCGACATTATCAAGTGTTGCATTAAATGTTTTTTTCCTCTATTTTCCGAGTTAAGTTAATACATTGCATGGTTTGTATTCGATATACGGGGGTTGATTCCTATGCTCCGCTAGTGATTTTTTTGCGGATGCTCATTTGAAGATGATGGTTTACAAAATATTAAGTTATAAATGTCAAACTGTTTTGACATTATTTGAGACAAGGATTTCAGTAGAGGTGAGAAATTATATCTTGTGACCATCAATGTGGTGGTGGTTCACATGCAATGCTAATGATCTACTGAAAAATTAAAAAATGCATGATTTGATATTGCAATACAGACATGACGGAGACATTATGTAAACTCAATCTTAAAATTGGGAGATGCTCTTAATAAGGAACGTCGTGCTCCCGGCCATACCTTTTGCATTCGTAAGGCTGCGCTCTGCCAGACAGGCTTCAAGTTTATGCACTTCATTTGCCAGTCCTGGCCCCCCAATAATCACATTTCCAAAATTAAAACGACATAATATACAGTATAGGACTGTTTTTCAAGAGTCAGACAAAATTATAATCAGGAGGCCACTGAAATGCTGGAGCACTGGTTAATCAAGAGCAATGCTACGAAGGTTACAAAAAAATCTACCTAGCTATGAAACGGAGGTACGTACGATTGACTGTCAAAAAATCCGTCGACGGCTGCTTCATCTGAGTCAAAACGCCAGCCTCGGAAGATTTTTTTTTCATAATCTAAGTAGATAATAGTCAAATGGTCCGAACTATAGAGAGATGGTCTATCTCAACGAAACTGCATTCATGCAAAGTTGATGTAATTTTGACAGCCTTAAGCACGGTCCCATTGTCATGCAGCTGAAACACTGTTCTGGTTGATTGCATTACGTAAATTCTTCAGCGTGTACGCATAGACGTCCGCATTTATTGTTGTCCCATTCATTGAGAAGGATGCCCTTGTTGTCTCAAAAAACTGTCATAAATTTTCTGACAAAGGGTTGCTTCCGTACCTTTTTGGGGGGTGGAGACCCTTTATGAATCCACTGCTTGGATTCTGTTTTTGTCTCAGGATCCCAATGATACACCTAGTCTCGTCGCACATCACAATTTTTGCCGAAAATTCAGAATCCTTGGTCAAAGTTTCCAAATGACTTTCAGAAATTTCCGACCTGCGCAATTTTTGTTCTCTCTATAGTCGTGGAACCTACCTGACTGACACCTTACTCATATTCAAATTGTCGTGCAAGATGATTATTATGCTTGGTTCCAATATATTCAATGTCATACTAATGTCGAGACCTTCGATAACCATGGCTTCAACGTTTTTAACAATTTCATCATTTGTTGCTGTTTTGGGTGTTCCACTTCTAGGATCGTATTCTCTAGATTCACGCCCCCGTCGAAACTTTTTCGACCGAAATTTCATAGTGTAATATGGTGCATCATCCCCATAGACGGCAACTATTCTCTCAAGAATTGTTTTCGGCTGATGGTTCTTTGTCAGGAATTTTATGACATTGTCATACTCTACGCTACTCATTTTTCCTCACAATTCACTTTGTATATTCAAATTTATAGTATAGTTAGAACATATGCCACTATTTGACATATTATGTTTGTGGGTTTCAATTGTTTTTTCATAGCTAAGTAGATTTCCTTTCTAGCGTCCCTCGTATTAGGATAGATTAAGTAGAAAAATGACTCGCGAAGTGTAGCTTTATTGCATGGAAATCAGGAGAGTGCTAGAAAATAGAGATGAGGAACCGTCGTGTTTTTACGTTAAACACAAAGTTAAACATCGTATCATGATTCATCTTATTTTCCTGTTGTTCACTAAAAAAATACAGCTACATATATTTTGTTTGCGCTTGCCCTTGAAGTATCGTCATTTCACAAGGTTTGTAAGTGAAGAAAAGCAAACTTTTCTGTATTCATCTATGCATAATCATTTGATTCTCATTTGAGTGAACATTTGTGATTAATAAAAAGTTGAATGATTAATACTGAACAATGCAAGTACAAAGAATCGCTGGATAAATAAATACTTCGTTATCACCGCATCCTCTTTTAGTTTTAGTTTGCCATATTCGCTCGTACTTAGACACTAGTTTTTAAGTTATTTATTCGATCCATATATTAATTGTGATATTTTAAATGTAAATCATTGTATATACCTGTATATTTCTCGCTCATTTGTTGTATGTTCACACGAATTTAGTTGGTAACGTGACATATCAAGTGTATTTTTCGCAATTGAGTATAGATGCGACGTTTCAGAATGGAATTGTTAAAATAATTGATAGAGATCCAAGTTATAAGGTGTTTTCTTAAGATCCTGTAATAAAAATGAACATAGTCTTAATTTATCTTGAGCATTTTTAAAAATCTTCATTAAAATATTTTCGAATACACGTTGTACGTATGTAACCCGATTTCGGCAGAATACGCAGTGTTTTTTTTAAATTCGCTATGAACGGCAGCTGTATAAAGCGAAGGTGTCTAAATTCATCTGTCAAAAATCTCACATATAAAATCGATTTATAAACTCTGACGATGTTGTACCGTAACACTGCCGCTGGCAGTTAAAATCAGTTTATAAACTTGCTAACGTTACGGCGCGTAACGTATAACCTAGCCCAAAGTTGCTTAATTTTTCACGTATTTGAAAACTGCAGGGTCTTCATCACTTATAACACACGTTTCCTGATAATTCATATTATCATTTAAATAAACTAGAAAAATGAAATGCGAAAGGCTTTCGCGCCCATCATCCAATGTTATTTGGTTGGTTTTTTGTAGTTAGGCCGTCGTGAAATATTTTTACTTGACGTTTCGCCAGCTCGAGTGGATGGCATCTTCATAAGATGTTCACAGTTCGGAGTCTTGTGAGCTACTGACATCTCCGCAGTCTTAGCTCATACACAGAGTACTGCCAGAGGCGACACTCTGTCTAAAGTCAGGTTCTATCAACGCCAACTTGAGTTCTATGCATGTGGTGGGATTCCTGTTGCTGTGACATTTAGGTGTTATCCGTGGAATGTTTTGACACGTGACCACAAAACAGTTTTATCAATATAAATCAATTATCTGGCCTAAATGCATTTGGGGAAATAATAAACACAAATTTCTTCATTCTGTAGCTTGACATATGACGTCCATGACGTCAGGCTAATAACGCGTAACAACCCCTAGGAAAAAATCCTCCTGACGCTAAAGAACATAAGCGGGAAATGTGGTAAGCAGTTGGGGACACGAAGATCGAAGGGACCGACAGCTGGTGTCGCATTTATATAATACATATGTGGCTCATATTTATGTGTGCCTTGGATTAGTGATGGAAAATTCTCGAGAACAAAAAAATTGAGAATATTCTCGAGAATATTCTCAATAATGAGAATTTTCTGATAACGACCTACTAGAAGTAGTAAAACCTACACAAAATCTAAGATTTTATTGAACATTAACAAAAACAAAATATAATAACTTATGTTCCATCTTTGGAGATAAATAAAAAAATATTCTCGTTATTTCAAAAACATAAAAAACAAAGTAAAAAGTTGAACAGACTTAAACAAAATGAAGTTAAGAAAATGAGTCAGAAAAAATTTCCAGGTCACAGTTTTCATTCTCTGACGCCTCCGACTCATCACCATCGTCAGACTCCAATATCATTCTCACTGCCTCTATTTTTTCAAGACTCTCCTTCGACTGGCAGTACGAAGTAGGAGGGTTCTCTTCTTCATATTTGGACCGTTTGGACATCGCTGATACCTTGTCCTGGTCCAATAGTTTTAAATTATGAGCTATGGAAGTAACTTTACCGGCTCGCTCAGCTGTCAGTCGGTTTCTTTTTGAAGAGTGTATGAAACCATATGTACTGAAACTTCTTTCGGTAGCCGCGCTAGTCGCAGGCATTCCCAGAATTTGAACCGCTAATTTACTTAGTTTTGTTCCAAAACAGGTTCCTTTCCACCAAATTTCCGGCTCTAAAGTATCGATGGACCTTAGAACGTACGGTTTTGCAAATAATCCTTCTTTAGATCTGTAATACGCCAATTCTGCCATTATACTTGCTGCGTCTTCTGGGTATTGTGGGTTAGCCATATTATCAATAAACTCGGTACCATGAATTTGCTCCTCATTGGTCAAATGAACACCATTAAAACGAGGGTCTAATATATTAGCTGCCAAATGTATTGGGTTTATGACAATACGCTTTCTTTTTACTAAAAATTCCTGTAAATTTTGCTCTTCTTGCTTTGTAAGGGGACTTGAAGGTAACACTGTTTGAAAATGTTTTTCCAAACTATAGAAACATTCTACTACTTGACTTAGTTTTGGCTTGTCTGACTCTAGTTTGGTTATTTATTCAACAATGGGGTTAATTAAATTGAACAGTTTTAACACTCTTACCCAAAATACAGCTTCATCTAAAACTAATCTTTCTACTTGCTTACTCAATATAGTATCCACAGTTTCACAAACTGCTAAAGCTTTAAGGGCATATTTGGTATCAAGCAGACTTTTCAAGCTGTGGGTAATTGATCCCCATCGAGTTTTGACGGGTAACTTTAGCGATATTGGTACAGATGTCCCCTTTTTTTCAGTCTGGATCTTTTTGAAAGTGGCTAGTAAAAGATGAGAATTATTAATTTCCTTAACGATACTTTTAACATCGTCCTCTATCGAAGCCATAGTTCGCATTTTTGAGATGTCTCCTATTAATAAGTTAAGTGTGTTGGCGACCCAACCGTAAACAGATATATGTTTATATTTTTCGTGAATATTGTTCCTGGCTTTCACCATTGCACTGGCGTGGTCCGTCACTAGAGCACTAAATTTTTCTGGTCCTATTTCTGTTAGTACCTCTTCTATTTTTTCGGCCATGTACTCTGCAGTATGTCGATTTGTGTCAGTAGTGAAAGTTTTGAAGAAAATAGGTGTGGGAGTGGTGATAATAAAGTTAATAATGGATTCGTTTCTCCTGTTGCTCCAACCATCGCACTGCAGGCCTAAAGCATTGGCTTCACTTATTTTAATTTGTATGTTGGCTGCGATGCTTTCATATTCTGTATCTAGAAGTTGATTAGACAAATAATATCGTGAGGGCATTTTAAAGGTTGGCCTTAATGTTTGAAAGAATAACTGCCAATGTTTATTTTTCAAGATTGCAAATGGTGTTCCAGAAGCATAAACTGCTCTTGCAAATAGTTGATCCAACTTTGCTTGCTACTCTTTATTTGAAAAATCCATAAATCTGCGTAATGTGGAACGAGAGTTTGCTGAGTTACCGCCAAAGCTACCTGATATGCTGGCAGCTTTTGTTAAAGTTTCCTCCTCTTCACACTGATCTGAAAAAAATGTTTTATTTTGACTTGATTGAATTTAAAACTTAAGCAAAAAATATCCTTCCACTGTCCATGTAATAAAGCATACATTTCTAAATTATCCCGGAATATATCCTTTATAGTTAACTCACTATCTATGTTAAAATAAAATTTCTGTTCCATCAGTAACACACAAGCCCGAACACAACAAACTTATACCCCTTGAAGTAGCCTTCTTTTCAATATATCCTCCATATACATACCTTTCAAAGATGAAGCTGCAGTACTCGACGGAGATGATACATTTTCTGATCCTACTATTTTAAAGTCTCTCTTAATATTACTGGGACATTTTAAGCACTTCAACAAGTGTTTAGTCATCCTTGTAGCATTTTTTACTTATTCACTAGCACAAAATTTGCAGGTACGTATATAAACTACTTTTCCTTCAAGTTTTTTCAAGTCAAAATGATTCCACACATTACTTTTTGGTTTGGTTATTTTCCTATCACTCATGATTTTGACGATTTACGTGTTCAACAAACGAAAAATAATTCTAATACTGTCGTTCGGTTGCGATGCTTGCAGGTTATGACAGGAAGAAATACAAATAAACACCTCTAGGATTCCGGGATTCCCCACGCGGTCCGTTTGGCTCGCTAAAAGTAGGTTTCCGACGGTAACGCCCAGCCGGGTAAGGCCGCGTGTACACCATACTGCTAAAAGCATTTTGAGAAAATTACCGGCGAGAATTTTCTCCACGAGAATATTCTCGTTCTCCAGAATATATGTTTTGAGAATATTCTCGCTCACATCACTACCTCGGATGATGGGGAGAGCTCTTCGGGAATCATCGACTGACGTCGCGATCGGGATGACTCGGCTGTTGTTTTGCCATTTGGATGACGCCATCTTTGTGTTTTTTAATACTGGTAACCAGGTTTTGTGTACTTTCAGTGATTCCTCTGTTTTTTTTAAGTTGTCCGTGTGTTAGTATATCTCTACAATCTTGCATGGTATGCTGGTGTGTTAGCAATGACCTGGGCTATTAAATTTGAAGAAGCCCAGGTCATTAGAGTAGCTCACAGGACTCCGAACTGTGAACATCTTCTGAAGATGCCAACTATGTTGGCAAAACGAATATTTTACAACTGCCTAATTACCCAAAAACCAACCATATTTGGTTTGTTATTACAAACTAGATAAAGATTAGCTAACATTCTCAAAGGAAGCCATGTAGCCTTGTCGATTACAAAAGGAAAACAAAACATATGTCACGTTAAACAGAGCGAAAAGCATGCGGAAAAACCAGCTATCGCAACAAACACGTGATTTGCAGGCTCCCTTTCATTGTATGAATGGGGAACGGAAAAACTACCTCAAGTCTAGCGTCAGCCTTGCGGCCGAACGTTGCGGAATTCCTGTTTATAAACAGTTTAAAATCAAGCGCATGAATCAAGTTCTGCGTTACGGCAACGGTACGGTACGTCAGAGTTTATAAATCAACCTTTCTTTAGATAATTAACGTCATTCCTCTAAACAAAGGAAATCATAATATTGAAAATGTAAACATCATTATTTTCGGTAATATAGAAATATGTTAAACAAAACACCTTGTAAGAAGCTCAATAATAATGTCTGAATAAAAAAATAAATGACTTGCGTCCATTTTATTAGACTAGTTTAATAGTAAGATGTGTAATAGCTTTATATAATTATTTATTGATACTTTTCTAAGTGTATCCGTCACATCTGTGTTTTATAAATTAGTATGCTATTCCTTGACTATATGCCAATATCTGCATTTTGGTCAGGGTGGTCAAAGCACAGGAATTTGCTATAGTATAATACTTGAATATATGCTTATCAAAATTTTCATTTTCTCAAAACATATGGCAACTGGCTCTATCAAAGAATGTTTCTTATTCCAGTTTTGGTCAATTACTCCATTGCTATCTTCTTAAGCCCTGCTTCAATAATAAAGAATCACTGAACGCTTCTATTTCAAGTAATTTTTTTATTTTCATCCTAACTCCTAACTACACTAAATTTTCTTTATTAAAATCTGGTATCTCGAAATTTGAAAAACAAACCATTTCAACTCGTTCATATTGACCAGTTTTTGTGTTCAAATGGTTTAATTTATATTTGACCATATACAATATTTCATTAGTAATAATACCAATAATCTGATTGTAAAAATAGATTATTGGTGGCAAATAAACATATCGACGGACTGAATGTATTTTAACAATTTAAGTGTCCATCGGATAAACAGGTGTTTTTCGTTATGCCATCATGATTCAGTGGATCAAAACTTGCTGAAAACTGATGCTCACTGTCTGTATAGTTTTAGTATGTTAGTGCCATCCGAAATTGTTTTAAAAAGGTCATTGCATATTTTAACTATTACTACGAGGGTTGAGCCATAAAAAGGTTCCGAGAGAGCTCCAGCCACACTGGAAGGCGCGACGCGACATACGGTAACACCGGTCCACTCTTGATTCCCTCAGCCGCTCTTCACTGAGCCGTTCATCTTGGCTCAGCAGCCGTCCGATATGGAGCCTCCCGTTTTTGATCCCGCCAAGTGCAAGATTCGTTCCATAACTCCCGTTTTGCACGCCAAAGGAACTCCATCCATGGATATTCATAGTCAGTTGCCAGAGGTTTATGGCGACAAGCGTATGTCTGTTCAACACGTCCGAAAGTGATTACATGCGATCAGTCTCTCTTTCGCTTTAGCGCTTTATCACGTGACTAGTTTCATTAATTTATCTGGTGCATGAAATATAATTGAAAACAGTGAATTAAAAATTTACATTTTTGCAGTACAGGAATGAAAAATAAAGGCTAAACTAAGGTGAAAATTATGAAACAAATTCAATAAAACGGTTTACGGTACCAAACATTTATATTTATACATACCCATGAGAAAGATTGAAAAACCGTGTAGATCATAACATTTAATAAAAACTTTACAGATATACAATATCTTGTTCTTTTTCTGTATAAAAATTAAGATAACAAATTAATATATGTTTCTGATGGATGAAAGTATTTAAAATCAATTTGTTTCAATGAACGAAAAATAAATCTAAAGCTCTAAAGAAATTTTAGTTTGAAAAGCTACAGACGCATTTAAAATCAGTAAAACTTGAATCTAAGGCCCGTATCGTCAGTCGTCCCTACAATTGTAGGGCGCGTTTATGGCCTCCTTGATTGTGATACCCCTTTCTCTCCTTCAAAAATTTCGAGATTACACTTGTCCCGTGTCAGCGTCAGTGCTCTCCTATTGTGAAGATATGTTTTCTTTTTAAATTGTAGGAAATTTCAGGCTGATAAAACATGATATAACTCAAAAGCAAGCACAATTTGATGCAAATAGGTGTTAGTGACATAACCTCAAAATAGAGTTCTGACACGGAGAAGTAGAAAACTAGGACAATCAGGAGGCCATAAAGGCGCCCTACAATTGTAGGGACGACTGACGATACCGGCCTTAAAAATTGTCTGTTAGAGCCGTTTTACACACAAGAGAATTACTCCGAAAATTATGGTCATAATTATGCCGAAAATTTTTGCTGTCGTATTACACGTAAAAGAATTCTTGTGAAAATTTTCATGGTAAAAATATAAAACCCGTTCTATATTATATGCGCGAGAATTGGCGCAGAGGGTTATTTCCGTGCATGTCAATATCAAATGTCAACGACAACAACAACAACAACATAACCTCACTTAACATTTGTGGGAGTGGTCCTGTTCGAGTCGTACGAAGGAGCGTTTATTGTTATTGTTTATTCATAATGTCGTGGAATCGGGAAGAATTTACAATGTTGTTGGAGGAGTACCAAAAATGGCCAAACCTGTACAAGGTGAAGTCACCCAATTACAAAAACAGAAATTTGCGGCGTCAGGCGCTGGATGCGATAGTCCAAGCATTGAGAAGTTTTATAATATTAACCAAGATCTCGATTTCAAAAATAAATTTAAATTATCGACGTCTGTTGTCTTTCCGATTATATTGGACGTCATACCCGTTAAGGTTATGTCCATTTGAAAATATAACTCTAATGCGCAGGCGTATCATATGAATTACTCCGAAATTTTGTTTGCTTGTGTCATACAGGTTGTAGAGAAAATCTTCAATATTTTTTCCATGCAAATTTTCAGCATAATTATGACCATAATTTTCGGAGTAATTCTCTTGTGTGTAAAACAGCTCTTATTCTTTTTTAAAAAGTGGTAATTTTAAAAAGATAATTGATGCTAGTCTATCTATGATACTTTATATTAAATTCTATATCATAATAAAGTGATAATACATAATCGATATCACAAAAAATGTTAATCAAATACTCCAAATATCGAAAAGAAAGCGCTCTAAAACTAATCCATATCGGGCGGCTGCTGAGCCAACTGTGAGAGACGTAGCGAAGCGTGGTCGGAGGGAATCCAGAGGGGGGAAACAGTAGAATGCAATGGTGTTGCCGAGTTTCGCCTTGCACCTTTCGAGACCATTATTTCTAGATCAACCCTGGTATTTGGAATTCAATACAATTTTACGTAAACATCAAATATCGTTAGACAGTTTTGGCAATCACAAATATCGCATAAACCCTATTTCACGAGTATCCATCACGGTAGAACGACAGCTGTTTTTCTAGTAATATTTAAAAATTCCACGTATCGGCAAAAGACACATCATTCTGATGGATCCGTCAATGCCAAGTAGACAGAGCCATATTTTGTTTTAGTTTTTTGTTCGCGACTGATTCATTTTGTACTTGCTAAAAGCTCTTTTATTTAGAAAAGTTCATTTGCATACAAAAAACAAAACGCTACAAACAAATTTTTATTAGATTTACATCCGATTCATTATAGCCAACGTTGCACCCTAACACAAAAATGTCACTTGCTGATCAGCTGTTCACCTCGGTAGACCTCAAAGCGTTGACGTTTAAGTCCCAAGAAGTCAAATACGTGTACGTCATTTGTGATTGCCAAAACTAACAAATGGAGTAATGTGTTGGCATCACATTTTCTTGAGTTTTGATGCACTTGTTCTTTCTTATCACTGTAAATAATTCATAAAATCATAGACGTGCCATTAAATGTACATATTAATGTCGTTATAAATGTGAAAACAAAACTAAGCTGCGTAAAAAATGAGGCAGCTATAATCTGTTACTTTTGGAGTCCATCTCTTCCAACAAACGAGCTTGAATTGCCTACTATGGCTGGATCCATTTGTTAAGAAAAATTGCTTTGTTATCGCACTTTCGAGTATTTTCTTTTTGTATATTGTTCAAAAATTGTGTAAAGTAATACGTGCAACAAGCTCAAATCAATATAATATGTATCTTCTCTTGAATGTTTGGCCGTAATTTTTAACTAGCTATGATGTCATTGTGGTGTTATAAATTTTTGTCTATAAGAACTACAACTACCATTTTCTCTCCCAATTAAATTATATAAGGTTTGTAGATGTTATATCTTGGAAGATTACTGACTGCATTTTACTAATTTTTATTGACGAAACCTGTCAAATTCTTCTATTCTATTCAAAAATTAGTTATTCAAACGCCTGTGTTTATAATAATTATTATTGTCTTTTAATTTTAGACATTTACGTTCTGTTTTCGTATATGAATTACAATTAAAAAGTTTATAATATTAAGACTAGTTTTCCATTCGCAGATTAACTTTCAAGTTATCAAATACTTTAACGAATCTAGAAGTTAATCTGGCCTGGTTAACAATTCTCTAGTTAACCCATAGGTTCTGTTCCAAAATGGCATATTGAATTTCAAGTTGAACTCTAATCTGGAAGTTAACTATTAGTTGCCCGTAACTTCCAGTTGACAGCAGTTGTAGTTAAATGGAATTGAACAACTGGACCATAAGATCCTCCTAACTACGTGTTAAGGGCAAACGTGACAATGAAATACTTTTAAATTCCAGTTTTAACATAAGATTGCAATATGGCCTATCGAAAATTTTATCAGTTTTCTTGAATAATTGTGGCAAACTTACATTTTTCATATTTTATTTTGTTTTTTATTATTCTTTAAATATGCGCATGTAGGACAAAGTTCAAATTTTTAAATATGTTTCACATTGTAAATATCTCATTATAGTTGTTTAATAAATCATAATGTGACAATAAAAATATAATCAATACAAATTTTCATTTATTTTTTTACTCTAACTACATTGATAAACGGTAATAGTCTGGTTAAATTAACTTCGCAATTAACAAATTTTATGTGCGAGGTTAATTTCACTATTTAGCTTATCAAGCTAACAAAAGTGAAAAATAATGTTGCTTCTTATTAAGTTTAAGTGGGTCAAACGAATCGAAATTGTTGAATTTTCGCCAAACTATCCCGTATGAAATTTGTGAGGCGAATGATCAGACTGCTTATATGCCTTCACCCTTCGGACGATAGATAAACTAAAAAAACAAATATTTTCCTAAAACTAAACATCACATTTTTGTGGATTATGAGTTTGCCCCAAAACGGAGGGATATGTATTAAAGGGACAAAGATGACAAACTGCACGACTCGTATGTTGTAATGCGTGGGTGTTGTACATCTTACCTTCTATGATTGAACTATGTTATAAATCAAATCCAAGCGAATAACCAAAATTTCTGTGTTATGTGCCGCGGTTATAATATGGTTCAAGATGACACACGGGTTGATGACGTCAGTTGCATGAATCGCTTGAACGCGTTGGTTTTAACCGCGGTTTTGTTGCAAGTTGTTTATTTTAGAAAAGCGCGTATATGATCTCTGATTATTTTTATTATCACTTAATAATCGGTGCTTTTTCGTCTACAACTGTATATGGAAATTTTAAATAAGAAACCTTTCATATATTCATGGGAGAAATGTTTTTTTTCAGAAAAATTTTTTTAATGATGGAACCATGGCTTTGTAGCTATGATAACTTTCAATTCTCCAAAGTTTTTCGCATGTCAAAGAAAACATTTATTGATTCAGCAGAAATGATGAAAAAAGAAATTAGCAAAACCGTATACAGGTGGACATCATCTAGTGAGTTTATATGGCCATATTTTACTATTCTTGTGGTATATGGCTACACAGGATACTTTTTTAAGCTTAGGAACTACATTTAAAGTGTCCCCAGCAACAGTAACGAGTATAACTAATACGGTGCTCCACTTTATGGTAAAACTGAAGTCAGCCTGTATCAAGTTTCCCAAAAATGAAGCTGAAGTGCAATAACAGTATCCAATACCCGGCAAAATTCTAACTTGTCACATTTCAAATAACCAGAAATATAAAACTACCCCCGCGTTGGGTAAATACCACAATTTTGGGGTGATAACTATGACATATAACAGCTGATTCATGACGTCACGGATCTTATAACCAAGCTGATAACCACACTCGCTTAAACGGATCGGTAAATACCAACCCAAAATGGTAAATACCATTTTCATTTGGTTATCCGCTTGAAATTGATTATTAATACTGATTCCTTGTAATCTCAAGGAAAGAGAATACCTATATCATATTTCACGAGTATCCATCACGCTTTGACGTCTACTGACGTGAACAGCTAATCAGCTAGTAACATTTGTGTGTTAGCAACGTTGGCTATAATGACTCGGGTGTAAATCTAGCAAACATTTGTTTGTAACGTTTTGTTTTTGTATGCAAATGAACTTTTTTAAATAAAATAGTTTTTAACAAATACAAAATGAAAATGTCGCGTACAAAAAACCAAAACAAAATATGGCTCTGACTAACTGGGGCTTGATTCTAAATGAGTTTCGACCATTGAAATGGATCGCGCCTTGTGACGATATACTTGATTCGCTATGATTTGACATCTGATTATATTGATCTTCTATATTCAAATTACCATGGAAGTGTCAAAAGTATCATAGCTAATCAAGTATATCGTCACAAGGCGCCATCGAAATCAATTTCGACGGTCGAAACTCAATTAGAATCAACCCCCGGCTACCTGGCATTCACGGATTCATCAGAATTATGTATCCTTTGCCGATACGGGGAATTTTGAAATATCACTAGATAACAAGCAGTCATTCTACCGTGATGGATTCTCGTGAAATCGGACGTACAATTTTTTATGCCGTATTATTTCTAGTTCTGTCAACTTTGAACACTGTCAGTGTATTATTGTTCTGTCACAGATTATTACTACTCTGTGTCTGTGATATGACATAACCTCATTCTCATCATAAGACAAACAGTGACAAAAAGTAACTTTAGTTTTTCTTTGCTTTTTTACACATTTGTCTGCATTAAAACGCTTCGATTTCCGAATCAATTAACACAATGTCTTCAAGGAGAAAACTGAAAATAGTATTTATTCACCCTGATCTGGGAATAGGCGGTGCAGAGAGGCTGGTACTCGATTTAGCGGGTGCACTTACCAATGAAGGGCATGAAGTGAAATTCATTACGAACCATTTCGACAAAAACCACGCATTCGACGAACTGAAGAATGGAGAGTATCCAGTAAAAGTTTACGGAGATTGGCTGCCTAGGAGCATTTGTGGATTTTGTCAAGCAATATGTGCATATGTTAGAATGATCTATCTCAGTATTGTGTACATTTTTTTCGCAAAACATTCAGAAAATGCAGATCTCTACATAACAGATCTCATACCAGTGGCGAACATTTTCCTAAAACTGGCTAATGAGAAGGTTATTTATTATTGTCACCATCCAGACCTACTAGCCAGCTCGCCAGGTGGTATACTGAAGAGATGTTATAGGAAACCAATTAATTGGCTAGAAATGAAGGCTACAGCCAAAGCAGATGTGATTCTTGTCAACAGCGAGTATACTGCATCAGTATTTAGAAGAACATTCCCAGAAATCAGTAAATCATTGAAGATACTATATCCAACAGTTGCAAATACTTACCAACAAACTGTTGAAGCCCTCACTGAAGAAAAACCTATTGAATCATTAGTACCAGCTATCAAAAGCAATGTGCTCAACAAAGTTGTATTTTTGTCTATAAATCGGTTTCATCCTGCTAAAAGACTAGAACTTTCCATTGAGGCAATGCATCATTTAAAGAACAAACTAAACAGAGAAGAATGGGAAAGAACATTCCTGATATTAGCTGGAGGCTTCGACCCCTTGTCTAAAGTAAATGCACACACATACAATGAATTACAAGCATTAACGAAATATAGAAACCTACAAGACAAAGTTATATTCTTAAAGTCACCAAGTGATACTTTAAAAGCTGAACTTCTAAAGTCTTGTACATGTTTAATTTATACTCCTGTGAATGAACATTTTGGTATCGTCCCTTTAGAGGCCATGACTGTGAAGAAACCTGTGATTGCTGTTAATAGTGGTGGGCCAAGAGAAACTGTTGAACATAATGTAACTGGATATCTATGTGAACCATTAGGAGAAAATATGGCTGAATATATGGCAAAATTTTTTAAGGAAGACACTAGGAAAATGGGACAGCAAGGAAGGAAAAGATTGGATGAGACTTTTTCATATGATATTTTTAAGAAGACTTTAAATGAAGTGATAGAAACATTATCAGAAGAAAATAAAAAGAATGATTAATATTTTATAATTTATGTCTTAAGATTATACACTATATTTAAATACATAATTACATAAATAGATGTTTTATTTTGTCCATGAAACTTTAGGTATATCAAAGTGCTCTGTCAAGCTGTCCAAATGTTGATTAAACTTTTCAACTCTTTCCTTGTGGGTTTGAGATGCCTTTTCTAATATTCTCTTTGTTTTCTAAGGAGGAAAAGCAAGAAGTTAGTCATATAGATATTTCAGAATTACAGGTGCATATTGTTTAAAATTTGACATAACAATAGTTGTTGTAGTAGGCGTGTTTGAAAAACATCAGAATTGCAATTTAGTTGGAAAGTTTGTTTAATAATTATGTGTTGAAAACATCACTCTTATACCTACCATTTTTTCCTGTTGTTGAAGGAAAGCCAACTCTGCTTTTGTTTTGGTTTGTTGTGGTCTTGGCTGTTGTTGTACCTGCTCTTCTGTCTCAACCGTTTTAACCGCTGTTTCGATCAGTTTCTTATCCTTCTTCTTTTTCTTCTTTTTGATGCCAGTGTCGCATTTCAGCTTCAGTTTTCCTTTAGCTGCTACAGCATAAGGATCTTCACCCTCTGGCATTATTCTGAAATCTCAAGAAACATAATTATGCTATTAGTAGACTTAATGTCAATCGGGATCCTTTGACGTGTTTTGTGCTGGATTACCTTCTTAATAGTGGATCCCAAAATAGTGGCAGTATTAAAATATATTTTTCAAAATCAAAACAAACAATAATCATCTAAGCCGAAATGGCATGGAACCACAAATGAGGAAAATGACATTTCAATCGTCAAATCAAAGTTTGAACCTGCGAGGTTGAAACGTCTTATGGGCGAACTGGCAACGCCAAGGTCATCCTCTCCAGGCGAAATTGAGGAAACTGTATTACCGGCAAAACGTGACGAGCTACTTGCCGGGATTCTTATCTAAATGCAAAAATATCAAATATGGCATTTGTTTTGGTTAATGGCCAGATTATCAACGCTGATGCTTTCAGAGATATTTCGTTAAAAATAAGTATAAAAAGCAACACTATAGGTAGTTGTGATGGTATACGTGAGATATATTGTGACTTACGGGAGATGCAGAAGGTCAGGAGACTTTGGCATGTCAAAGTGCAACAGGTAGGCTGTGAACCTAACATATCGGCATGACGCAAATTGCATGTCTTAATTCAGCCTCTTTATAATCCTTGTGGTTGGCACCGTCACATGAAAAATGATTTTTTTGTTTTAACTAAGACATGGCAATATCGGCAGAGTACAGTCATAAAGCTTTATAAAGCAAAATTCTGCACATCTAACCCAACAAATTAAAGGCATAGTACTGAGCGAACTAATAATTGAAAGAATTGTCAATTACATTAGTGTTTGCTGTATTGTTTCAGAATTATCAAGAAGCAATTCAATGAAGTGAGACACCTGTGTTTTGTAACACACAACATGAATTTTGAATAAATCTATCCATATTTTCATGTAATACCATTTTTAAACCATTTTCAACAGTATATGATTATTTTTTTGAAACCAAATATATTTTGTGCTTCATAATCAGTCTTGGGTTTTATTATTCTTAACCTTGTTCTTAGCAAAACTGCTGAAAGAGATATAACCCTGATTGGGGATATTTTATGAAACTAATCCTTCAATATCGGAAATATCATTTTCAGCGGATTTCACTTATGAACAACCGAAATCTCCGGTACATTCCTTATTCCAGGCGCATTCTCGGTATTCTTTCGGTAGTTCCTCCACACGATACACATACACTGAAGATATGATATTGCGCATGTGGGCGGAGCTTCGTGACGTCACCCGGAGAGTTATCGGCTCGTGGTTACCAGCGGCAGGATTGTCGTAACGTTACTGCAGTTCACGTGTATCGTGGTTAATACTATATAGTTCGATTTGTTGGTGGTTTTATGAGCTGTTCTATTAGGTATACATTCTTTATATAGCCTGTGTGGTTTATAAATTGTTAAAAATGCGGTGTGCTGTTGGGGGGGAATGTAATTCCGACAACCAGTCTAAACGGAATCCTTGCAGACATGAAGTTCTACAGAATTCCTCAAGACCCAAACCTTAGCAAAAAATGGCTAGATCTTACAAAAAGACAAAGTCAATGTAAAAAGCGCTAGGGTTTGCTCGAAGCATTTTTGTGAAAGTGCCAATAAGGTCAATTTAAAATATACCTTTTTGGGTTACACCCCTAAAAGTTACCGTGCTCTAAAAGATGATGCCACTCCTACGGAAAATTCACCCAACTCTCAATCATCACCTGAACCTTCTACATCTATTGCTGGGGAAAATCGGAAAAGTGCTTACGAAAAAAGGCAAAGGGCTCAACTTATTCAAGACATAACCAAAGACAGGTAAGTTTTAAAAAATTTTAAGTGATTGTATACTTAACAGGTTTATTTGTATGCATGTCTAATTAGTTTAACCTTATGCATGACAGGTGTGCAGAAACAGATGCAGCGGCGGGTCGTGGTCTATGATAGGTTCACAAGTGGTATAGAATAATTTTTTTTTGCCACCACCAAAATTTTTATGTAATGCGTGACGTAGAAGGCAATAAGAGTACTAAAACAAGCATCAAGGACACATTTTTTGTAATTTTTTTTTATTATACACAAGAAAATACATTTATAAAAAATACAATTTTTTTAATGAGTACAGTGTTTAAACGTAAAGTCCATTCTCCTGATTTTATTTGCAGAAAATTTATCAATAACTAACTCGTTAAAGTTTGGAATACCCGCTATACATTTTTTCTCGATAGATAGCATTGCTAGCGCTGACAGTCTTTCTTCATTCATAGAACTTCGCAAAAATGTTTGTATTCTCTTCAATGTCGAAAAGCATCTTTCACTTTCGGCCGTAGTCATTGGTATGGTAACAATTATTTGTAAAAGTGTAAAGGTGGCAGAAAATATGCTCTGAAGATTATTTTCTATAAAAAACTGTAACAAACTAATGGCACCAGTCATATTCCTGAAGTCAGGTCGCCGGTAAATTAATTCCAATTCAGTCTGGAGACGGACTTTATCTAAAAACGAATATGCTTCTACTACAGTTTCCAAATATTGCAATGGAAAATGCTTTTCAAATTGTGAAAATTTATCAGAAGAAAGAAGAATAGCTGCATTTAAATGTTTTGTAAAAGAAAATCTATCTGTTACATGTGTAATTATGGTATCACAAACTTCCTTGACTGCAACAGCTCTGCAAATATGCTGGTCTTCATTTGCACGACGTTTTTTAGTTTGAGTAGTAGTGGTATCTTCAGAAATTTCAGTTTCAATTGTTTCCTAGCAGTCTCTCTCTTTTTGGATGCAGTTTTCAAAACACTTTATGGCAGTCTGAATTTGCACTGGGTCAGTCACTGTTTTTTGTAACTGATTATATAAAATATCAGCATGTGGCAATATTCGATGAAATACAGTTAGCCAGAACACAAACTTAGAATCTTGTAGCATACGACCAATACCAGTGGCTTGATTGATGGTAACAGTTTGTTTTGAAGTAGCTTTTATTTTTTCCATGCATTCTATTAACAATTCGCGATATTCATATACTGTATTTATAGATCTGCTTTTAAAATTCCATCTTGTAACAGAAGACCTAGGAACTCTTGCACCAACAATGTTATCCAAAACTGCAACTCGTTGTGGAGAATGAGAAAAAAAAGTTGAAATATCGCTTAATTTGAAAAAAATACCCGTACTTCTTGATTTTGGCTTGTAGCTTGCAATAAAATTAAATTTAGCTGGTGGACATAACAATGAACGAAATAAGCATAAATAAAATCACGTTGAATAAGAGCTTGAACACCTCCACGACGTCCACTCATTACACTAGCGCCGTCATAACTTTGAGCTATCAGTTTCTCTGGTTTATCTAGCACTTGTATTAAATTAGTTCTCACACATTCTGAGAGACTAACTGCATCGTGGTCAGGGGGGGTAACAAAATTCCAAAAACGTTCAACTGGCCTTCCATCTGGTAGAATGTACCTAAATACTGTAGTCATTTGATAACAATTAGCTACATCCGTTGTTTCGTCAGCCATAACAGCAACAAATTCAGCTTCCAAAATTTATTTTCTTATATTTTCCTGAGCCACTTGTAATATGCAATCTAACAATTCGTTTTGAATGATTTTTGATACCCCTTTGAATACTGTCGATTTTTCAAAATGATCTTTAAGTGCTATATCTAATTCGGCAGTGAAATTTGTTAAACCTCTAAAAATACCAGGATTTGATGAACCATCTTTTTCGTCGTGACCGCGGAGGGCTAATTCAAAAGCTCCACAAAATTTTATGCAATCAATAATTTTTGAAAGCACATACCTATTCTTTCTAACTTGTTCATTTTGCTGTTGAATACTGCGCCTATATGCACTGTCCAACTGCTGCCGTATATCTACTTTTCCCAAAAGCTGCATTTCCAGTTGCGCATTGATATGGACTTGTGTGTTTTCATGTTTCTTAATTTTTTGTGCTAAATGTCCCAAGTCGGCTATTCCATTTTTTGTCCAGGCAGGCTCTGCAACCCCGTGACCAAACAACAAACAGGAAAAACAAAAAAAACGGTTTGTTGTGCTGCATCCACAAATCCAGTTATTCTTTTCATATATTTCCATTTTAAACTTTCTAATAAAATCTCTAGATTTACCCTTTGTGGTCTGAGTTAAGTTAATTTCTGGTGTAGGTCTTCCCGCATTTTTTATTTCAATTTTTTGCTCCAAACTCAATGAACTGAAGTTATGTTTCAAATATTCCACAGTGAAACCATTCATTTTAACTCAATATTTTATTAAAGTGTGCACCTTCTCCAACTAAAATTGCCATAACCCCGCTATACCCCGCAACCAGAACAGCAGGGTGAGAAACACACTAATCCCGCGTACATGATCGCATATGCGACTATTCGTCGTCATCCGCCGTCACCCGTCGGCGGCAGTCGGACCGGGCCAGACCGAATCACAAGTCGGAATCGCCCGAATCAGGCAGCGCAGCGGTAAGAGTGGTGACTCACTAGTGGAGAGCTACTAGATCTTTGATTTTATACGATTAAATATCGGGGAGGCTCAGACTTTATTTGAGAAATTATTAAATGGATGTTATACATATTTATTATTATTTATTTTGGGGGTCTGACAGCGTTGCCAGGCTAGCCAAATTTTCTGCTATGTTTACCCTTGCAGCATAGGTAGCTAAACGCGAATAATATGGTGTTAACAGTATTTACAGAAATACGTTACTTTGTGGCTATCTAAGGGTTCAGCTACTTACTGTGTAAACATGACCACTAGCAACCTGACCTGTTTGGATCTATTATAGATACCTAACGTCATGCTATATTCCCTTGTCCAAAAATTATCCGAGATTGTCTTAGAAGTTTACTATATATATATATATATATACAGTTACTATAATAAGTGAGCATGAAGTCAGATATAAGCTAGTGTAAGCGATATTCTATAAATTGAACTTTTTAAGCTACATAATATTGGTTGCTGAACACTGTTCATAGGCGGTAGGCGTTTTGAGATGGCAAATAAGAAGTCTAGATGGATTACAAATGTTTTATTCAATTAAGAGTATAATTGTTAACCACTTCAAAAATATCATTACAACTCAAATTGATATTCCTCTTTAGCTTTTTTGACATTTTAGCAAAAATATCCAGTCAGCTGGAAACACTGCAACTCAGATGAGTCAGCTGTCTAACCAGATGTACTAACCAGGCTGCAATGGTTTCAGGATAAAATTTTGTTTATATGACCTCATAGAACATATTTCAACAGTTGTCTTGTGCAGCCATGTTATCTTCACTCATAGGATATACCCCGATTATTTTTTGCTTCCAAGATCATGGGTCTGTAATTGAAAAAAATAAACTGACCCGAAAATATGCAAGCTGAAAGATATAAACACTTTAAAAAATCAGAGAGGGCAAGTGTGAAATCATTGAAATTTCATAATAGCGTATCTTCTTTATCATCATGAGTTCATTTGCATGCACCTATTACAAAAACGAAATTTTCTGGTTAAAGATAATTACCTCCATCAAAAGCTGCTAAATTAAGTTCCATATTCCACTCTTACATCTGCAGTTACACTAGAACAAAGTAAATACAATCAATAAAAACTTTAACAAACAAAAGAATCGACCATAAGATTTAAACTATCAGTATAAACGTTATCATCAATTATTTTATGACAGGGATAACTAATGTTCATCATATAAGACAAAAATATGTTAATTTCATGTTTGCTAGTGCTAAAGACTTACACAGAGTCATCCTCAAGCCAAATTAACAGCCAGTTCTAGACCTACTCTTCCTGTCGTTAGAAACTTGGAGACCTCAAGCTTCAAATTCCTGAAACATATTCTGAACTGTATAGAGGAACATATATATTTAAAAACAAATAACCTGATCAAAATAATATCAGAACAGTAAAATATTGCAGCCAATGGTAATAATCAGTGCTGATCAGACGGTAATTAATATCATCATTATATATATTTCATTTCTGTACAACAAATATATTCTGAAAAAAAAATTAAAACTAATTACCTGGCATGGCTTTGCCCTTGAAAATCCTCAACATTTTGATATGCCTGTAAAAACATAATAAATGTAAGATATGATGATTACAATATAATAAGAATTTGTTAGAGGGATATTCAGAGGACACTGTAATCACAGACATTCAGATTGACTGAGGCGAATAATATTTTATCATCATTTAAATAAAATTTTAATTACTTTTTGGGCCAAATTCTAGCTTGGCTACACAGGAAAGCTTGGAAAAAAAATATTTTGGAAGCAAGAACGAAAATGAAATTTCTGGAATATAAATAGGTTTTTATAACCTTCCTTAATTGACTACTATGTGAAATACTGCAAAGTCTTAGAATGTTACAATCATGTTTTTCAACTATAATTGTTTAACACTGATCATTTTCTATTTCAACTGTTTTCTACTGATTTGTTCTTGCAAACACAAAACCGGCTATATATATATATATATATATATATATATATATATATATATATATATATATATAAATATCCATCTGTTTGCTGTCAAATATCAACATACTAGCACAAAGGTTTCAAAAATATGCTAAAAAATCAGTCAAACCTACAAAATATCACATCTGCCACCTCTTTAGCAAAATCAACCCAAATGTACAGTAGCAGACACGAGTTTTGAAACAAATAATATAAATATTAAAGTCTACCTTTGGCTCCCTACTAGTACAAGGATCATCTTATCTTTATCAAATTCTCGGAAAACAAAAACAAGCGTTTTTTTAAATACCAGTTTTTGTAATGACAAAAGTATGGAACATTTCAGTTTTGCCGTATTTATTTGTTCTGCAATACTCTGATATTGCGTAGGGTAAATATTAACATCAGTGAGAATGGCAAAGTAAAAGAATTTTCCAAAGAAAGTGGTGTCAAAAGTGCGGACATTCCCCAAAGACTAAAAATGAACAAAGGGACGATTTCGAAAAGTATTAGTAAATCCAAGAATACGGATCAACAGCAACGCAGCCAGGTGCGGAAGACAGAAAAAGACCAATTATGTTTTGGATCACTCTATTAAACGTTTGCCCATGAAGATCCTCGTATGCCAGCCACACATATTTTCAAAAGAATTGTAGAAGATAGTGCCAAGAATCTTCCTGTCAGAACAGTGCAGACGCTTGGTGGATTTTGGACTTTTTGGTAGGTGTCCAGTTCAAAAGCCAATCATTAAACATTTCTGGGAGCATGTTAAAAGGCAAAACTTTGAAAAATAAGAACAATTTATTTGATTATGTAAAAAATATTTGGCAGAATATCTCAACAGACATCTGTAAAAAATTGGTTTCTATGAGCAGCATATGTCAGACAGTGTTGAATGCTACAAAATATTAGCTAGATAGTATTTTTTTGTAGTTATTTTATTTAATTTTGTAATAAAAAAGTTTCCATACTGTTGACGTCTCACTTTCTCTCACGTCCTAAAATAATATGAAGGCATTTTCCTCAAGACTCTGAGCAAACTATAACTATATGAAAAAAAAAATCAATAATAAAGAGTAAAAAATTAGCACACTAAAAATTACTAAGAATGTTTCCAAACTTTTGTCCACTACTGTAGTATCTATGATGGCAAAGAAAAAATTCATTGTTGTTGCAAAGCTAGAATTATACCATGATTTTGTATCACTGGTCATGTTTCTATTTTAAAGTTTATAACATTTGCATGACATCCATTATATTGTTTAAAAAAGTATTACCTGTTATTTGAAACAGTGGGTCATTCCTCAGCTTATTCTAGGATCTGTAACAAGGAGACAGCTTCAGTCTTATTTACAAACATGCATAATGCAATGTTTTAATAACAAAAGGTATCAGCGTCCAATGTATCAACACATGCTTACTAAAAAGAATATTATATCCTTTAAGGCATATAGCATATTCAGGCATATGCTTGTAAAACATCATGTAGAGAGGAGGGTAGTCTTAGCTGACTACTTAATGATAAAAAGTACTAGAATTATGAGGTGGCAACCAAACAAAGAAATTCAAACCAAAAAGTTCTTGATTCATTTGGACTTTCAAAAACCTTGCATTTAATTCTTCAGCATATACTGTAGAAAGTTTCTTCTCAGGATTCTAGTACTATTATATGAATAAATCATGTTAACACATTAAACACCCAGCAAAATTTTAGATTCCCTCCAGGCCACGCGGAAAAGTTATGTATCCAACAAATAATGTGTCTAATCTACCATCTACATTAGAAGGTATTGTAAAAGATGTTATAATAAAAAATAAAGGGTGAAATACCAAAAAATAAAATTCCAGAAGTTACTACATATTGTGTCAGTTGTGAAGGATACCCCACTTTTGCCTGTACTGTTTCAGAACAAGTCATAAATAAATGAAATATCTTATATTTTGTATCCCTATATCATAACATTTTTATTTTTATATGCATTTTCACTGGAATCTTGTTTGTTTTTGTCAAAGTTGTATAGGTTTTGCATGGAAAATAATGTGAGTAAAAAAAATTGAATAGCTCTATTTAAAACAAAAATACACCAAAAAGTCCGGGCATTGGGTATAATCCATACAAGCCACAGCAGTCCATATATAACGTTAAAATGAATTTAAACATGGACCTCTCGATGAAGTCACTGTGGAAATAAATACAAAGCGGTCCATATCGACCGCCGTGGCGTGATAGGTCTGTTGTCAAGCGGTCCCATGGGACCGCCATGGCATATAACATGTCGAGTGTACCCAAATGGATAAGCGAAAAATCGATGTAGGGAAAAATTACAGATATACCAACCTCAACTGGTCGTTTTCACCAGCTATTCATCAACCAAGAAAGGTGCACGTTCACCAAAAGCATATCACCCATTTCATATTTTCTACCTTGGCAAATACATTTCAACTACACGAATCCTAATGAGGCCCTACCACGTGGTGCGAGAACCTGAAAATATTATGAACATTCCTTCCGATGTACATTCCAGCTTAAATTATGTATAAGCTTCTAGATTTTCTTCAGATATTGAACGATAAATATAATCATAAGGGTTCATACGAACGAGACTATTTAGAATTCATCACAAGCAATTATATCAAATAACGAAATATAAAAAATACGGGTTGCTGCTGTTAAATTGACGTGTAAGATATTAAAAAATGTTGAATAATTTTATAAATGAATGAGGATGAATCCAAATAAGACAGATTGCTCACCTTTGTAAGAAAAGTTACCATGCTCTCACATCATGTTGTTCTGCGACGAAGTTCGAAAACAAAATGGATGAGGAAAAAGGAAAAGGAAAGAGCTGGCAGAAAAAACCTTGAAAGGTAGGGTGGGGCTGACCAATCAACGAGATGTTGGCTGGTCACGTGAGAATGAAGATTGAAACCACGCCCTAATTTCTGTTGTTTTTTTAGGAGTTTCGCTCTCTCATAGGCACGGAATAGAAAAAGTAGAGACAACAAAACTCATTGGACATCAGGAGGGGGGGGCGAACTGGCAACACCAAGGTCATTCTCTCCAGGCACAAAACAGGCAAAATCTAGGACACTTTCTTATCAACAGAGTTTGATTTTTGACAAACGACAGTTTGACTTTCCTTAAGGATTTTTTCGCGAGTCCACGGTGTAGCACAGTGCACTACCGGGAATCGATACTCAAATTTTCGCGAAGAACGGGAATAGAGGAAGGCGGATGTGACGTCGTTCGAATGTCAAAAAATCACATGGTAGGGGTACCCGCCTAACGTCTGTGAGGTACTAGCGGGTGACATGTCTTATGCCAATGTCATTTAAAAAATAGGCATTTCAATTGAAAATTTGTCTTCGCAGTGCCGAAAATTGAGTTAAATTATTATTATTATATAAATGGAGGAACACGTCCACCTGATTTTAAATGACGAGGGAGAAGATATAACAGGTGGGCTGAAAAGTCCGTATCGTTTCTATGAGATGGCGCCACCAGAATAAAATCCATACGCTTCTTAGCTAGTACCAACCTTCAAAAGATGCCTGTCAAAATTTGACAGCTGTCGGATCATTAGTTTTTGAGTTATCGTATCGAGAGTGACGCTACTTTTGTTATTTTTGAAAACCATGGAAAGTCAAGAGTTTCGTGTGTTAATGAAACATTATTTTTTGATGAAAAAAAGTGCCGTCGAATGCAAGAAATGGCTTGATGAGTGTTATCCGGACTCTGCCCCGGGCGAAGCAACCATTCGCAAGTGGTTTGCTAAATTTCGTATCGGTCACATGTCAACTGAAGACGACGCACGCAGTGGACGCCCAAAAGAGGTCGTTACGGACGAAAACGTGAAAAAAATCCACAAAATAATTTTGGGAGACCGCAAAATACGGTTGATTGACATAGCTGAGGCCTTAAACATATCAAAAGAACGTGTCAGTCACATCATTCATGAATATTTGGATATGCGAAAGCTCTGTGCGAAATGGGTGCCGCGCAATCTCACATTTGACCAAAAGCAACAACGCATCGACGACTCTGAGGCCTGTTTGGAGGTGATTTTGCGCAATAAAACCGATTTTTTTCGCCGATACGTCACCATGGATGAAACATGGCTCCACCACTACACACCGGAGTCAAATCGCCAGTCGGCCGAGTGGACGGCTGCATCCGAACCACCTCCGAAACGTGGAAAGACGCAACAGTCAGCAGGCAAGGTTATGGCCTCTGTTTTCTGGGACGTGCAAGGAATTATTTTCATCGACTATCTTCAAAAGGGCCAAACTATCAACAGCGACTATTATATAGTGTTACTGGAGCGTTTGAAGGCCGAAATCGCCAAGAAACGGCCACAAATGAAGAAAAAAAAAATCTTGTTTCACCAGGACAATGCGCCGTGCCACAAGTCCATGAAAACGATGTCGAAATTGCATGAATTGGGCTTCGATTTGCTCCCCCATCCACCGTATTCTCCGGACCTTGCTCCAAGCGACTATTTCCTCTTCTCAGACCTTAAGAGAATGCTCACCAGAAAAAAATTTCACAGCAACGAAGAAATCATCGCCGAAACTGAAGCCTATTTTGAGGACAAGCCGAAGGATTACTACCGGAAGGGTATCGAAAAACTTGAAGAACGTTATAATCGCTGTATAGCCCTTGAAGGCAACTATGTTGAATAATAAAAGCGAATTTTGACGAAAAAAATATTTTTTCATTGAAACGATACGGAATTTTCAGCCCACCTGTTATGAACCGCACTTCTCATATCAAATGATCGGTCTTTTTATTTCAGATTCAAACAAGGCAGCAAAGTTTATCCAGGAGCTCAAAGCGAACATTTTGGGCAACTACTCCCGGTGTAACTTGAAACTGTCAAAACTTCGTTCCAGACATAAACCCTTATACACTACGGGATCTCGCGAAAATATCTCTCTTGGGAACTTCCATTTTAGGCGTATTTTTTAATTCACTGGGAACTTGCATTTTGTTTTCAATCTGTGTTTTGATTCGGGTAAGCTACACATTAAAATTTTAATTATTGATTTAATTCCCAATCGAGAAATTATCGTCCATAATCTTCATATAATAATAACCTTTGTCATATATTTTTCAATGTAAAACACTTGTGATTGTGTACAGGAATACTTAAGATTGCATACTTTAATAAGCTTGTTTTTCTTTTGTAAATCAGTCATGTCGGGATTTGGGGTTGCCTCTTCGTACATCGCTACTTTAAAGTACTCATGCAAATATCCTTCATGCAAAAATTCTTATTTAAACATTGTTCGGAAATCTGCTTGTATATACAAAAATAAAGTATTCCATCGTTTTCCAAAGGATGAAAAAACTGTTGCTGCATGGAAGGCAGCTTGTAAGATATCTACCACTCATGAAGTTTCCAATTATTATGTTTGTGAGGATCATTTTTCAATGTTTGATCGTAATAATCCGCAGGATCCTTCACGTCTCAGATATCTTACCATACCAGTGTCCCCCAATAAAGTTTTAAATCCAAATAATAGTCATCCTACTAAACCAGGTCTCAGTTCAGTATCTAGAGTTTTATTCAATGATCCTCCTTCTGGAGAGGCTTCCACAAATCCAACCCCTTCTGAGCAAAATGAAAATTCCAGTGTTATTCTGGAAGATCAAAACATTGAAATCCGTGGAAGTGGTTCTAGAACAGAATCTGATTATTTAGATAAATATTCTTTTTTGTTAGAGAAGGGCTCTGGCATATTAACAAAATCTGGTACATCAAAGAAGGAATTGAGCTCTAAGGAATCAATTATGTATAAAGTCCACCGGAATGTTTGCTCAAGGCTATACAAATTAAAATCAATTTTCATTGTTGCTGGGCTTGACAAATGAAACTATTTCAAATTTGTTGAAGGCTGGCAAATAACAATTAGATCTTTTAAATCCCTATGGAGGGATCTTAAGGAGAAGGGCTTGAAATATCTTTGAGAAATTTAAATCAAAATTCTCTGAAAAATTTATTTGGTCAAGTAAGACAGCATGGTATCTTCAATGCAAATCCCACCTGTCATCAGTTGTTGCTGCCTTAAAAACAGTGGTTATTAATAGCACACCTTTTTCTAAAGGTAATTGTGAAATCGATTTTTGTGCTACTTTGGTCGATTTCAGTGACTTTTTGGATAAATATGACCAAAGCTATGATACAGTGCTTGATTTAGACCCTGAGATTCTAAGTGACTCTGAATGGAATTGGACAGACTCAAAATTGATAGTAATACAGGGTGGGGCAAAAGTCGCGAAGGGATTTGAAAAATTAATAACTTTTTTAAATTTTAATTTTAATTTTTTTCCCTAACACAAAACTAAAATGCAATGTTTGGAGTTTGTTTACAATTTAAGTGTGAAAGATTACATCACGCAAATGACCGCCATTTTCAGCCTCGCAAAGTGCAGCTCTTGCAAGAGCATTTTCCATTACCCGAGTCAGAATATCTGGCCCCAAAGCACTTACTTCTGCTCGAATATTATCTTTTAGTTGCTGCAGGGTTGTGGGTTTATTAATATACACTTTTCCTTTCAGATATCCCCAAAGGAAATAATCAGGGGCTGTTAAGTCCGGCGAGCGGGCGGGCCAATTGAATCCTGAATTTCTCGAAATTAAACGTTCGCCAAAAATCTGCCTTAGAAGGTGCATAGTGGCTCGAGCAGTATGCGCAGTGGCTCCATCTTGTTGGAAAGTCATCGTTTGATTGTCAGCAAGAGCTGGTCTTAAGAAATTTTGAATCATATCACGATATCGGTCGCCATCTACAGATACAGAATTCCCATCGTGGTCTTCGAAGAAGAATGGTCCAATAATTCGTTGAGACGTAACTGCGCACCATACTGTACATTTAAGCGGATGTAATTGCCTTTGATGAACCACCCTTGGGTTCTCGGTACCCCATATTCTGCAGTTCTGCTTATTTACGAAGCCATTCAAATGAAAATGGGCTTCATCGCTCATGATCAGAGAATGAATAAATTCATTATCCTCTCGAGCCATTCTTTGCAAGCGAACTGCATAAGTTAGTCGTTCTTGAAAATCTGCTGGTTTTAGTTCTTGCACTAGCTGCACTTTATATGGAAACAGATGTAAATTTCCTCTTAATATTCTGCGTAAAGACCTTTGAGACATCTGCAGCTCAGCAGAACGTCTTCGGGTTGAGGTTTCCGGATTCTCCTGAACACTCTCCTGAACGCGTTGAATGTTCCCTTCATTTCTTGCGGAACGTGGCCTTCCGCTTCGTGGGAGATCCATAACTGTGCCTTGTTGCTGAAATCGTGCCACTAAGCGTCGAATCATTGATTCAGAGGGCGAATTCCGCAAATTGAAATGACGACGATATGCTCGTTGAGTTTGAATTATTGAATGGTGATATTCAAAATAAAATTCTATAAGTTTGGTTCGTTGATTGAGGTTGTAACGCTCCATAATTAATCTCCAGGATTTATTTTACACGGTCCTGAAAAAAAAATGAAAACAAAATAAATTTAAAAAAGTTATTAATTTTTCAAATCCCTTCGTGACTTTTGCCCCACCCTGTAGCAAGGTTATTTTCTTTGGTTGTCACGGAAAAACATCTATTTGTGACGTTTAAAGAGCATGATGCGGAAAAGCGATTGAAGTATGCAAGTGAAGATTTAATTAACCTGATTGGTGTTCTGGATGAAAAGCTGTATGCATTTTTAGAGCAGCATGGTACAGAAGACCAACTGGAAGTTAAATTTAAACAGATGTATTCCTGCATCCTTCAAAATTACAGCTTTTGTCAGCAGCATGATGTGGCAAATTGAAAAAACTGCTCGGTTGGGAATTTACAAATATGTAAAGAGAAATTCTTTGAAAAGGAGAGGAGACTACTAATAGGCATATATTAACAAATAAGAAATTCAAGACAGCTAATGTTTTTTTTATGTAGTCCAGCACTCTTCATTCATTGAATTTTCTATTTACTTTCAGTAACCAAATACTACCGTGATATTATACCTTAACAATATTTTTTTTATTTCATAGTTGCAGCATCCTTGGGAGGAGCAGTTGGACGAAAAATAATTATTTATTTTGTTACTCCCTGTAATGTTAAAACTATCAGGAGCTTTTGGATTTAAGTATGAGGAATGTCTTGTTTATTTTTATCTTTGATTCCTTCTTTGAAGAAAATTTTCCTCATTTTTACACTATAAAAAATAATATTTTCTCAGATCATAATTTTATTTCAGTTATTTATTTAACTAGAGATTTATTTTTTGCTGTTTTAGTATGATGGATTAACAATAGGTAGTGCTTACTAAACACTTCCTTTGATTACTGAGGGTCCCTTTTTATCGTTTTTTGTTCTACTAATGTATGATTTGTATTTTTTTTTTTTGAAATATCACTTATTCACTTAATAATATAGAGAAAGCTTCCAATGTCTAAAAATACCTTTATATATTTTCAATGTAGTATGATGATAAATTATTACTTATTATTATTCATATATAAATATTTTATTAATTACGCATTTATTTTTTATTATCCCAAAACTGGTTACCAGCAAAACTGCTGAATCAGGTATTTCCTTTATTGAGGATAGTTTATCTATTCTCATAAAATATTTCTTCAATATGGGATATATCACTTTCAGCAGATTTTAAATTGCAAACAAACTAAACCCTCGGCATATTCCCTCCTAATCTCCCGGCGCATTCTGACAAAACGTCAACGGTGTTGCGGTTGTTTAACGTGCAGCTCCTACTTCTTCGAATGTATTTTGTGTTGGACATCAGAATTGAAAGTATTGTACTTTCGAGTAGCTGGGCGATTTGTCGGCAAAGCTGTGAACGAAAATGAGAGATGCGTGATAGGAGCAAAAACATTTTTTGGTGGCAGCAATTTATACGCTTCCAACCCAGGAATTCTACATACCTATTATACATATTCCAAAAATTTCCCCATGCATACTAGCGAACCACCTGAGCTGAAGCACCATATTGACCATATGATAATAGATCACACGCGGCGCCCTCTGGCGACGGAGGCAGAGCCGTCTAGACATCAGTGTCGCCAATAGGCGGCAGTAGCATTGAACGCGTTTAAAGTTGAATTATTAAACTATCTTCTATTTGCGCGTGTCGCACGGGTTTATGTAAAAAACCTATAAAACGTCAAAGAAAACATATAAGATGTCATCTTGCAGACTAGACAGTTTTTAGGGTGCAAACACTCATTCCACGTTTGCTCACTAGGATCGTTGTGTGCGTCCATCTATAGAGGAATAGCTCAACTACACGCATTGTTGGTTGCATATGTTTTGTGAAGCCGAGTAGTCTATAGTTTTCATCTGTGAGAAGCAAGTTGGTTGAATAGTAAGATCGCATCTGGATGATTGTGTGTATTGGTCTGCATGTGTATAAGATCAGTGATATTTGCTGTGTGAAAAAATCATTACTGAATATGCTGCCAATGAAGTATATCTATTAGCTGTGTCCGACTGCTTATTTATATGTCGTTCTTTCTGGCAGGTCATGTTCAAAACTATAAATTACTACTTTTTACGTTCTTTGTGTTTTCAAAAACTTTGAGGAGAATTACGGGAAATCACCACCGCGCCCGCGTTGTGTGTAATTACTGTTATCATGTATATGACTTGTAATTCAACATTAAACAGTGAATATAATTATTTCTTATCTCTCTCATTTTTTGAAACTACGCCATTTCCAGAATGGATAAGAAAAACTGGATGCACAACTGATTTCTAGCTTTGAATCTCAAGTAAGTGTATTTCAGATAAGAATCCAATGGAATTATCAACACCTATTATTAGCACACAAATCTTCACTATGCATAGCCGTTACCTCCAGTAATGCCATCTCTGAAGCAGATTTTCAATCAGAGCCACAAATTAATAACTGAAGCCTCATGACGTTTACGCAACACTTAAAACTACAAAACGAGTTCACAACTATCAAATTCAAGCGGATAACCAAATGGAAATGGTATTTACCATTTTGGGTTGGTATTTACCAATCCGTTCAAGCGAGTGTAGTTATCAGTTTGGTTATAAGATCCGTGACGTCACGAATCAGCTGTTATATGTCATAGTTATCACCGCAAAATTGTGGTATTTGCCCAACTCAAGAGTAGTTTTATATTTCTGGTTATTATTTGAAATATGACAAGTTAGAATTTTGCCGGGTATTGGATATTGTTATTGTACTTCCGCTGCATCTTTGAGAAAAATGATACAGGCTGACTTCAGTTGGGGACCTTATTAGTTATACTCATTACGGTTGTTGAGGACACTTTAAATGTAGTTCCTATGCTTAACAAAGTATCCTGTGTAGCCATATACCACAAGAATATGAAAATATGGCCATATAAACTGACTAGATGATATCCACCTGTATACGGTTTTGCTAATTTCTTTTTTCATCATTTCTGCTGAATCAATAAATGTTTTCTTTGACATGCGGAAAAATTTAGAAAATTGAAAGTTATCATAGCTACAAAGCCATGGTTCCATCATTAAAAAAAAAAACTGAAAAAACATTTCTCCCATGAATATTATGAAAGGTTTCTTATTTAAACTTTCCATATACAGTTGTACAGTATATTCAGATAAGAGATAGACCGGATGTAAACAAAAGGTTCGGGTGATTTTCACGCTAACGCCGCCGTCTCGACGTAAAACAGGAGCCCTCATTGGTCAATTCGCAATTAAATGCCTATGCCGAGCGGCAGAGCAGTCGTATCAAGGCAGAGTCACATTCAGGTTCAGACGTGTTACGTATGTCGTGTGCATCATTGCAATTTGATATTTCTTTGGACGTTTTCGTTTGTTATCTTATTAAGTTGTTGAGTTTGTCGTTGTTATTGTTATACCTTGTTATTGATTGTTATTGTTATCAACTGCTTGCGCAAAATGCCCAGTAGTACAGATACTGCCGATGAAGTTGTAAACTCCTGTAGTCTACCTAGGAAACGCTCTAAAATAAGACACCTGAGTGCAGAAATGAAAGAGGTCATTTTGAATATATATAAGATCGAGCGCGAGGAGAACGAGGCATCAACCATCAAAGAAATTGTTGTGAAGGTTTCTCACAAAGTTGGGGTGTGTCGCACATCAGTGTTTAATGTGTTAAGACAATACAAAAAAAAAATCACACCTTTTCTGAGCCAATGACCAGTAAACATCGCAAAAGTATTGTTAAATCATTGGATGAAGCTGATAAGCATGCGATTAGGAGGAAAGTGCATGAATTCTTCTTTAGGAATGAAATACCTACTATAGATAAAGTACTGCAGGAGGTAAATGGAGATACAACGTTGCCAAATTTCAAACGATCAACTTTCCATGCGTTACTGAAGCATTTAAATTTCAAATGGAAAAAACGGGGTCGTAATAGTTTACTACTGGATAGAGAAGAAATTGTGCTATGGACGAGGGATTATTTAACAAAAATTGGGAAATATAGAAATCAAAACAGGAAGATTTATTACCTTGATGAAACGTGGGTAAACGCAGGACACACTACAAGTAAAGTATGGGTTGATGATTCTGTAACTTCATCCAGGAGGGCCTTTCTAGATGGACTGTCCACCGGATTAAAAAATCCAGCAGGTAAATACGAGTAATAGACAACAATCGGATGTTTTTCAAACCTTGGGAACAAGGTTCTAAACATTAATTCCAGGGGGCAGATAAAACATATTACAAGTAACAAAACTTTTATAACTTTCGATAAAATGCGTGGATGTTTTATTGTCATTTTCATTTGTTAGAACTTTTTTAAGCCATGTTTTTATGTGTTTTCGATATTTCAATAATTGTTTAATATAATCTTAAAATATGTCGAATATTATAAACTTAAAAAAAGTTACTAAGTTTTATATTGTGTACCGTTCCTAATATTTCTAATCATTTTAATTCACACTTTAAGCTTTATAAAGTTATAATTTGTTAATATTAATATTTGCGCGTATTTCAGGTTCCTGATCATTCATTTTTTAAAGGTTTATAACTTTAAATTAAATTGTGAAGCGCTGAGTAATCATACGACGTTCAATATTCTTTCTTTCAATATGACTAAATAATCCCAATTATAGCAATCTGATACTCATGTCTCAATGTTTTTTCGCTGAATGTGATGAAAACATTTGAAAAAGGTTCGCTTATTGAAATAAATCTACACCAGTTAGTACATTTCTAGGTAAAGGGAAAAGGCTCATTATCTGCCATATTGGCAGTGAGGATGGATTTGTTGTTGACGGTCTGTGGTGCTTTGAGTCTAAGAAAACTGGAGATTACCACGAGGAAATGAATGGCGAATCGTTTGAACAGTGGTTTTCAAAAATTTTACCGAACTTAGAGGAAAACGCAGTAATTGTGTTGGATAATGCGCCTTATCATTCTCGAAGAATGGAGAAGGTCCCAACAACGGCTTCAAGGAAAGTTGATGTTCAAAATTGGCTCCGCTCGAAAAATATCAACTTTGAAGAAGCAATGCTGAAAGTACAATTATTAAGAATTGTCAATGATCACAAGGCGGAATATCAAAAATACGCCATTGACGAAATGGCAGCAAGTCAAAATAAAACTGTGCTCCGTTTACCTCCATACCATTGCGAGCTCAATCCCATTGAGCTCATATGGGCAGAGGTTAAAAATTATATAGCTAAGCACAATACAACTTTTAAATTTTGTGACCTCAAAGGACTTTTCAAAGAAGCACTAGAATTAATAACAGCGCAAAAATGGGAAAATTGTATTAAGCACGTGAAAGACAAAGTTGAAAAGAGAATGTGGGAACTGGACAATATTTTAGAGGAACAAGTCGAGCCATTCTTTATTGACGTTGGTGCTTCAGGCAGTAGCGATGATGAAAGCTCATCAAGCTCATCTTTCCAATAAAAGATGTCGTTCATCAAATTCGGTAAGTTATAAGTAATTATAAAGCTACTGTATTTTTTAATTAATTATTGACATTTTTGAACCCTTTTTGGCAAAACCTATTCAAGAATCTACTTTCTGACAATGTTCAACCAAGCAATTTTAAGAGATATACGATTATTTTTAATTTAGGCAAATTTAAACGCCATTTTGAGATTATATTCGACTGTATTTCACCAAACATCAGGCGGCATCCAAAGCTGGAAATCGAAGCGAAAATTTTGAAACCCTTATCTATATTTACATCATTATATATTTCTTACCCCACCCCCACATGATCCTATATCCATCACCAATCGTATACACATCGAATTGTGCTAATTTACTACAAAGTTACGCAAAGCAGCATCTACTATCTAAAATATGTACTGCGTGACTCTTAATACGTCCCTGCCGAATGTTACAGCGTTCGATGATCACGTGGTCTTGTTTATGTCCGGTCTATCTCTTATCTGAATATACTGTAGACGAAAAAGCACCGATTATTAAGTGATAATAAAAATAATCAGAGATTATATACGCGCTTTTCTAAAATAAACAACTTGCAACAAAACCGCGGTTAAAACCAACGCGTTCAAGCGATTCGTGTAACTGACGTCATCAACCCGTGTGTCATCTTGAACCATATAATAACCGCGGCACATAACACAGAAATTTTGGTTATTCGCTTGGATTTGATTAACGTGTTCATCAACTAGTGTCAACATTTTGTAGAAAAACCTACATGTCAAAAAAAAACGACATAATGTCACTTTTCAAGATACGTAATATCCCGTGCCAGACAACGAGCGCGCGTATTACTGCTTTTAACGGCTAGGGATGACTGTGGCATTGAGTGCTTGTATAATATAACCCCGTGTTGGATTATGACGGTACTGGATAGTCTTTACCGGGTAGGCTAAATCACATTGTTGGAGTATGGACTCATTGTTTGAGGTATTCAATGGTTTTTTGTTCGTTTGTTGTCAATTTTGTTCTAATAGGGACTAACTAACTTATTTATTATAATTCTTCTAAACACTGATAATAAGCAGATATTTTCAGCTCATCATTTAAGCAATGATATAATAAAAGAAGATTCCAAAAATAGAAACAATATATTTATCTTTGGTTAATCCCTACCACAGAAATAACAGTTTCTAGTATAATAAGATATGACAAACTGTAAATGCACTTCAGTTAGAAATCGTTAGATTCATTTTATATTATATCGATAAAATATATACTTGTTAAAAATATAGCACAAAAAAACTAATACTGACATCTAAAACACTACATTTACGCCCTATATAAAATATATGTCAGCACCCAGAAGAATATCCAAAGCATTATTTTTTATGTATATCTTGTTGCTCAATAATATCAAATGTGACACCATTCTCATTCAGGAGTTTGATCAATGATGTCTTAGCAAAGGCAGCCCCAGGAGTAAAGACGCCACCGCTAAAATTGTGTAATATATAATATAAAAACAAAAAATAAAAGTATCAAACTAGGCTGTACAAAACGTACATTTGGAATTTAAGTATTATAACTTACCTTCCAGGCATTTTATCCTTTTCAGTTGCAATCATCACAGCAGATCCGACCAAACATGCACACGTGGCTCCATATCCAGGATTCTTGCCCTTGACACGCCCCACAATGTACTGATCACACGGCGTTTTGTACTGATCATTTTTATCAGCCAATTTTTCTTTCCAACCTTCACCATACAGTGTCACTTGGAACCAACTCTTCTCTATCTTCTTTTCTAATGGACTTTGCTTGCTGAACATACCCAAACTGAATACTTCTGGATACTGAAATATGACATTCATATAAAAAATAACGGTAGTCCGTTCAAATATCATCTACGCCATGGCGAAATCTCCAAATGCTCGCGTATCTATTCGCCAGCAGCATATAAATGCTATAATACAGGCGTATAGAAACGGTGATCCGTGTGCTCGCGTATGTTTTGACGTGGCGTAAATTAGTTTTTTTCAGCATTCTTCAGATGTCGTAAGTAACTTACATTCAACAACAGTTTCCTTCCAAACTCGAACTTGCAAAGGATTTGGAAAATAGCTCCACAAATTCCCATCAAGATTACATGTAGCAAAGACTTGACAACAAACTGTGTGTCAACTTGGATTGGTCTTTTATTGTCTCTTTCGTAAAAATGGCGCTGAGTTCGTTTTACAACAGAACGATCAGCTCCTGGGAAGGGTAAAGACCAACCTTCTACCACTGATGGCTGATGAGGAATCACACTGAAATTGGATAGATCATTTTTCAACTATATTATTTAGCATAAATGGAAAAATATCATAACTCAGTTATATCTCCTCAGCCTGTGACTTACAAGTTCCATGCTATAACTTATTTAAGTAAACAGGTAAAGTAAGTACCTTGGCTTAAGCTTGGGTTCAAAAGTAGGCAATTTTTCTTTATATAGTTTCCTTCTCAAATCTTTGAGCTCATCCCAATGTGCTAACCCATAAACAGCAGACTCCCATGTTCCATAATTAACAGATGGGCCAGGAGTTGGTTCTCCCTCTTCCCATGCTTCAATGTATGTTACAACAGAATTCAAAACACCTGTAATGGAAGGTGATATAAAGGGAGTAGAAAATCACCATCTTTGAAAAATAAATTCTGTGTGGTGCCACTAGTTATATATTTACTATCTCACTTTCGATGTCAAAAAAGGTAAATCCTATAATCTGAAGCAACGTGACACCTAAAGATGGTCGTCGTCAGGCATATCGGGCGTTCCATTGCGAACTCGGAAACGGTAAGAGATAGTCACTTAAATGGGGGGTGATGTTGCGATTTTAGGTATCTAACTGAAGCTGGTTAGAAAGTATCGAAAGTACTTCCGGAGATAGACTAAAAAACCAAATTTTCCCAAGATCGTTTGAATTTGTCCCTGAATTTATTTGTAGTGGGTTGTTGAAATAAGTTGCACATTAACATTGTCGCTTTGTCTTCTCTACAAAATCACATATTCAAAATTTCAATATGAACAGAATTTTAAATTCTGATTTCAATAGTGGCCGGCTGCCGCTCCCAGCGACGTACGAGTATTCTCATTCTGTTGTTCAGAAATGGTATTTTACACATACTTCTGCTGCATCACAGCATAGTGTTTACTATGCCCTTACCATGCTGCCACGTCTGACGGGTTTCAGTATTGAGAAGAGGCAACTAATTGTACAGACGTGTTTGACTGACTTTTTTCTCAGAGGGTCTAGTTTGTGCTCAACATAAAAAACCTATGAACTGATAACGGTGGTACGTGGGAAGTGCAGTCAACCTACTTGACGCCATTTTTTTTTTGTAAACCGATATCGAAACATGTTCTTTTTCAATCCGGACATGGTTTTCTTACGTTTTTTGGGTCAGTCTGAACAAAACTGGCTGTTATACACTTTTCCTCTAAAGGTGCGAAATATTAATTTTCGAAAAACTAAAACTATGAAAAATGAAAATTTTAATGTCGGCAACGATCCTAAATTCCTCAGAAATACCTATTAACAAAATCCCGAAGCATTTTAGGGGGTATTGTTATTGTAAATCTTTATTTTTTAAATGTTCATAAAGCACGCTAAATGTATACTCTGCGTGAGTTGCAAAATGCATCTCTTCACAGAAGGGTTTTTAAGAACATTTTTTTGTTAAGAATGACCCAAACAAACTTTTCCAGAGAGCAAAGAACAATAATGTAAATATCTATAAAAAAATGTTCAAGCGATAAATTGTTGACATAATTTTTCGCCTGACAACATGCAGGTTAGTTCAAAAGGGACTTTTTTTAAAGAGATTATGCAAATAAAACAGAATATTATCAAACATATGCAAATATACTTCTTGGACCAAAATATAATATGCATTCAACAGTTATTTCTGATACCTTTAAAATTCTGCTCAAGAAATACAATTCCCAAATCTGTTGGGATACTATCCAAGCCACAGGCACTGACAACATACACTTCCTTTTCCTTTGCAGCATTATTGTATTCCAGCTCCATCTTTTCCATGTACTGCGGTTCTCCACTAACATCTACATGATGGGTCCCAACCTCAATACAGGCTTTGACTACTGGCTCCCCAAGAAATCTGTATGGCCCACAGCAGTTTATGACTACTTTGGTCTTCTCAGCCATTTTCTTTAGGGACTCATCATCTTTGATGTCACATTTTACAATTGGGATGTTTGACAGATCTGCTCCTTTAAATATAATTTGAAAAGAGCTATTAAAAATTGTGTAGAAGTACACCATTTTTATGTGTTCAAAAACCATTACAGATTACAGAGCTCTCTTATCTCAAACAAACTTTATTTGGCATTTTATATTATATTAGCAAAACAACCGTAAATTACAAAAAAAATAACATAAATAAGTATGCAATTCTCAATTCTGCACAAAAAAAGAGCAAGATAAAGAATGTGGCTAAAATGCATTTGCATTGAGAACTTGAGACTCATGTAAACAATCATTTAATAGAACAGTAAATCTAGAATCTTGTTAGTAAACCTTGGAGATACTGTCTTTCAATTAAAACTTTTTTACTCATTACTTTGACCTCAGTTAAAGTACAGTAAGCAAAAACAAATTCCACAGCTGTACAAGCAATAAACATTTGCTTGCTTGCTTAGATATTATATTTACCTGCATGCTTATTAGTTCAAAGAAATATAAACTAGTTATTCTTTCTTTTACTTACCAACTTTTTTACTCATTTCAGCTAGTACTTCCTTAAGTTTCTCTTCTGACCTGCCAGCAATACCCCATGACAGATTCTTTCCATCTGTTTTGGATAACTTATAAACATAAGGTATACAATACTTTCCTGTAAAGCCTGTTGCACCCAAAATCAGCAAATCAAGCCTGTTTGCCATTTTAAATCCTAAAAGGTAATGTATAGTTTAAAAATAAGCTAAGACTATTAATAAAAAAGCTAATTTAAAGAGAAAACAACATTGTATTAATTGCCATATCAGATTCATCAGTATAAATAGAACTGACTGATTTGGCTGCAAATAACAGTATGGATAGAGGTGGCAGTATCTAATAGTGTGAAGATCAAACATAACATTAGAAGAGAAAACATACAGAAGATCTAATATGTATAGATATAGTACATACAGCAAATTATAAATATATACTATAATTATTAATTTTACATAAGCAATCTAGTGAGATTACATACTTGAGGCATTTAGCATTGTACACATATACCTATATATATTATTCTTGTATCTATTAGAAATCTCTGATAGGATTTCATCCACATATAAAAAAGATAACTCATCTAAAAGATATTGATTTACTTCAATACAAAAGCAACTAATCAGTACAAAACCATCAATCATCTGAATATTTGTTTCATATGTTTCTTACCACATGCAATAATTCTATATATCAACCTTTACTCTATATAATCACAAAATAAAACTGATAAATGAACTTATTTATACATAATGTGGTAACTATTAATTTTATAGAGCTTTGTTTCTGGAGTAGCTTTCAGATACACAGTCATGGCATATAAGAGAGAGACTATAACCATTTCATTTCAAATATCTATTTCTACATGAACTATTAAGTACTACATGTTCCTATAAGATTCAAGTTGAATATAAAGTTATGCAAAAATTGTGTCTTGTTTTCCTCATCCCATATACACAAATAGACCAATTAAAAGGTATTTCAACCTGCATAATTATAATGTTATATATAGATTGTACTTGCTGTTGATTTAACTCGTGAGTATGTATGTAAACATATCAGTACATGGAGGTCAGCAATAAAGTGTAGTTGTAGTCACTATAATTGGATGATAACAAAACATCCAATAATGATCTTGGAGCATTTTATAGATAAGATTGAAGACACATTTTAGGATGTATATTTTGTAAACCCAAATAAACTATTATTTACAAAAACAGTATTTTCACAGAAATAGAATAATATGTTCTAAATGCCTGGACGATAAGTTCATTGGAATTTTTTAGGGCCTTCCTTTCAAAAACAGAATTACAAGTTATTATTATGTTGTGAGAAAATGTATTCGTAACTAAAACGTAGCCAACGTATTCAATAGGAACATAACTGCGTATAAAACAGGCCGTTCGGGCACTTACCGGTAAATAGAACACACGTCAGAGGTTCGATGAATATTCAATGAATAACAGCAAAATAAAAGGCGACGATCACGATCACCATTGAAAAAATCCGGTGCCAGACAGTTTTTGAAGGTTGTCACCACAGCAGAACACAAAATTCACGGAACATTATATTTGAGAACGGTTACTAGCCCAAAGAATTTACTAATTCGCCCAGACGTGTCCGGCGCCGCCACATTTTGTACATCGATGTTCTTTAAAACTATGCGTATTGAAGGTTTCATCACTGTTTTAAAGAGATTGAATGGATTTGCAGGCGGACGGAAAAGTGACTGAATCTATGGCCTGAAAAGTGGGATTTAACGCCCAAAAATTTCTATTCATAAGTCCCCTTTTATCGCACAGTAGTAGAAAAATGATTATTAGGAGGCCCGATATACATATATTTGGGGCTAGACTATCGCGATAACGCGAAGATTTGCATTGTCGCGACACGTCTGGCCACACTTCGCGCGCTTTAGTTGACCGCGAGACAACGAGCGGTTTGAACGTGTTTGATTGAACTTGTTAATCATGGATTGGAGTAATGAGAGGATATTAAAATTCATACAAAATTAAAAACCTGAACCAGTTTTATGGAAGCGGCAAGAGCCAAATAAAAAAACATTTGAATTACAACGCATGGGTGAGAATTGAAGCTGATTTAAGCTGGTATGTTTTGATTGAGAAACTAAAAGCAAAAATGAAATCCCTAATGGGTTATTATTAGAACGCATCTAAATAAATTTAAAAAAAGTCTGGAGCAGGCAAGGACGATATTTACCAAACCAATTTTTGTGTATAGATAACATCCACCATCGCCTTTGATTCCTGTTCTTGAACTTCTTATTTTTGTTCAGGTAATAAAGATGCGTTAAATAATTATTAGCCGCCATGTGATACAGCGTCTCTTCCATGTTTCCCGTGAAATGAATTATCGCGATGTTATAGATATATAGATTACGTGATAACGGTGGCGGTCGGTAAGAATGTCTTCCTTTGATTTACATGGGAATCTCGCAAATTTAAACACAGATTATAAAGTGTGACAACTATGCATAACCTGGGCGAATTAAGCTGACATGTTTTTTGGTTTGTTCGTTTGTTGACTTTGACAATTAGCATAAACCACACATAGAACATAACATTTCTTGGAGCTATGTGTTCTATGTTCTATGCCTCTTATTCGTCCACGTAGCTCGAGAAACTTCTAGAAGCTTGCCAGAAGTTTCTCTGTCACTCTTGTTGTCTTGTTAGCAGTTAGTACAGAAAGTGTGGTCAGTTCTGTTGTGATATTTCCCAAGTAAAGTGATAAGAAAGCGCTGTTTAATGCAAATATTCGGAGATATAAACAATCCAGCCCAGGAACCCACCACCAGGAACATGGTGTCAAAGGGGAAACGTAACAAGTATGATTTGTCTTCCTCGGAGGACGAATCATTCGAAGACCATTGTGACGATCCCGGCTACGTCCCCAACATGGATGTAAGTTCCTCTTCCGAAATAGGCGAAAAACGTGCTCCAATGTCTTCATTTCAGATCAAGAACACCATCAAAACATCGACACGAGGGCGTAAGCCGAAATGTTTCACGAAGAACGCAATGATGGCTAGAGAAAATCGCCTAAAAAAGAAACTGTACATTTCGAAATTGGAACAAGACGTTGACGTTCTCAGGAAAGAGAACAAAAATCTAACAGCTGTGGTTGACAACCAGTCGATGTTAATATCCGGTCTTAGAAAGGAGGTCAAATACTTGAAAAGTGTGATTGCCAACAGCAGTGATATTGGATGTTTGATCAGATCCATAAATCAAAGCACAGGTATGCCAGTGCGTTCTTCATTGGATAAGAAATTAAGCCACGAAAATATTCCAAGCCCTAGTCAAACTGTGACAAAACAACAGTCACACCCATGGGAAGAAAAAACAGTATACCCGTGCTACCCAACACCAGAGGATGATTCACACAGTATCAGTTCAGAGCCAAAGATCGACAACACCTTGAGCTCTGATCTATTTGATTTGGAATTTCCTATTGAAATGCCAGATGAAGAACTTTTAAAAGACCTTACTTTTGATGAAAAGTGTGTACCAATGATGGAGGAACACAACTACACCAACAGTAATGACAACAATAGCTTCACAGATGATGAGAATGTAGGTGTGTGTCTTCATGTCAACAAACATAAGGTTTCCTTAGAATTTTGCCCAACCTGCAGTGAGAATGCCTCCCAAGTATGGAATTACTAAGATGGAGAGGGATGAGATATAGGATTGGATAGTGATATGTGGTCTTGTATATGCAGTTTCAGGGAATTTTGTACCATTATGTGATAGGTATGTTTAATTTTCTGTTTGTTTTTTTCATGACTAAGGTGAGCACATGAATTATTTCTTAGAAGTGCTGTTTTAAAATAAGTGACTCCTGCAATCTGTTCATCCAAGCTGTGTCTGAAATGTTTTGAAATTGTAATTTTTTATTTTCAACTAAGAAATAGTTTATGTGCATTAAAAACATGAACAATAAATTCATAATTTCAAATTGTCTCACTATATATAATGAAAAAAATGATAAAGTTTGAAATCCTTCCATAATTATTCCAGTCACAGAATCAAAATAGAAGCCATGGCAGCACAGTCTTTGTTGGCATTTTGTGAAAAAAATCATTCTTATGTTCTCTAAAAGAAACTTGAAGACACTAATAAACTGCATATATTTTGACCTAGCTTGTTTTTAAGATCATTATACCTTCAATTGGCCATTTTTCCTTACACATAACATAGAGTTTCTCAATTTTTACAGGCGGATGGTGATAAACAATTTTATGGAGACTGAAGGAAATAGATTGGTATAATGATGTAATACACAGCTCCTTGCCAAATCCTCATTTTGAAAAAGGTGTAGTAGCCTCCAATTTTTCATATTGCGTGTATGGCTAGCTACTGGTTTTATTTTTAAAGTAGGTGTGGGTAGATGAGATCTGAGAAAATATCCATCCAAGCAGTGGTGCTCATTTGCAATGGAATTGTCCATTGCAAATGTTTTGTCAGTTAAGGGTGGTCTGGTTTTGATCACTGGATTGAACTAAACTGCCAAGAATTATTTTCAAATGTTGGAGGCAAAGTGGTGTGCTCTGAAAATAAATGAGGGTTGAGCTGCACTAACATCTACACATAATTATTTACCAGCCATTCGTCTGCAGTAGTTGTTTCTTAGTGCATTGTAGAATTCAACTTAGAGGGAGTTAAATTTACTTATCAGTGTCATACATGTTCTATGCCCTCCCTTTGGGTAGTTTGGGATGGTAGAATCGAGAATTTGAGTTGAAATCAGATGCAACTGCTGTAAGGGAGGCAATGTTTGTTATCTTGGGCACTAAAAAGCAAAAAAAATGTTTCAAAATATATACACTTAGGGTAGATTTAAAGGTGTTTAAAACAGCTGCTTTGTCAGATTTGGTATAATGGAAGGTAGTTCTTGGCAAGAAGGCAAATTAGTTTGATCTGGTGTGTGAAACTCAAAACTGACAAAGCAAATGAGTAAATTAGAAATGCAAATATGAGGCATTGGGACTAAGAGAGGCCTACGTGAACACTCCACTCTGATTCTCACTACCTCAAAATTATAGCTCCAAAAATGCAGTAACAAAGTTCCAAGAAATAGACTGGATGTTTGCCTTTTTCTTGGATCTGATATTAGTTTTTTGGAGTATGAAATCATGCTTACTATATCTTAAGTAATGTCTTAAGCTATACTATAATATATAAATGATTTTTCTTAGACTGTGAATGTAGCTTTTAAGGGTAATAAATAGGGGAGAGATTATGTGATAATTTTTTGCAAAAGTAAAATAATTTAGTTATAGGGAAGTTATTTCACCATATTGGTGAATCTTGCCAGCTAGTTAATATCTTATAAATGTGACACCTTAGAGGTCACTAATAGGCAGTTAATGATTCAAATACAGGACTAAAAAGTGTTTACAATTTATTGCAAATGATTCAAAAGTAGGTATTTTAAAATAGACTGTAATTTTGTGTTATGGAACCTAATGCTTGTGAAAGATAGCTCTCAGTTTTTGAACATATTAGGGACATATGAGTATGAGTGATTTTATGTTACAGTTAAGTCATAACTTACGTGGCAATAGGGTATTATAAGATCATCCATATTTAAAATTTACATACAATGAAGCAATTTTTCACGATTATGGAGCTTGCCCAATAGGGTTGTAAAGAGACAATATAAGACTGATTATATCCAAGTTTTTAGTAGTTTCTAGACTCGGCTTTTTCGTGTTGACACACTTAAGGTTTAATAAAACTCCCTATTGCATGAATCACCCTTTAATGTCTTATCTCATCTGTTCCTAATTCATTAAACTCAGGGAAATGATTAGCAATGTTGTCTCATTAACACTGTTTTGAGTTTTTCTGCTGGTTGACTGATTTTTATGAAAGCTACATCAAGTTTTATCAACAGAACCCATAGTTTCAGGCATCAATTTCACATTCCTAAAAAATATTTATCCCTTTAATTAAGAGATCTAATTGTCTTTAGATATACCTTTGAACAAAATATACCAATTTTGCTGAACAATGATTGAAATCATGTTTATAGAATAAACTTCACTTATGTTGATGCTGCTTTGGACATACATTTTGCAAACGACATTTTAGCATCAGTTCATTTACTTGCTCGACTTCTCTCATCTGTAAATATGTTGGCAAAGTTTCTTTTGTAAACATGTGGTTCTGAAGATTGAACAAAACTCAACCAGTAGATCTCTACTGATCATAGAGACCTCTTCATGTGTCAAGTGGCAAAGGGTCATGTGTCACTTCAGTAGCTAGCCATACTTAACTGAAGCATCTCAGGCTATTTGTAGACATTAAATTGCTTTTTACTTTACAGCTAAGGCGGCCACTTTACACGATTCAACATAGGAATAAGTATAGCATGCAGAGTTTCACTTTCAGTATCATTATAGTCATAAGTTGAAATAGTCATACATTCAATAACTCTTTTCAGGCTTGTTCGAAGACCAGCCTTATACCCTCTAAATTTTCTTATTTTTGAGTTTCAGCCTTCCCAAGGAGTCAAGAAAAAGTGGGTCGCCAGCGATAAATTATCAGATAATCTTCCGCTATATTTAATGTAAGAATACAAGGAGTGTAAGGAAAGGCCAATATATATTTTTTAATATCAATTCATTGTTTATTATATTTTTTATTTGAACATGTACATGATATTGATGTAATATATGTACTAGCAAAGGAAAATTTGCGTTTTATTTCTCATTTTAACTTTCGGATTGCACAGTGGTGCTGAAACTCCTAAAAAACTGTAAAACAAAATATGACGAATACTGTATCAATAGAGAATTTTGGCAATTACAAATACCGCATCGGTAAACGATATGTAGATAGGTAGATAGATAATTTTTTATTCATAAGCCGAGGCAAAGAACATTGTTAAAGAGAAGTATACTAGCTAGCTAAAATTAATTATAAAATAAATGTACAATTACAAAGATTTTTATAATCTAAGAATTCATGTGCCTTGATAATCATAAACAAGAACAATACATTTAATTACAACAATTTCCTATATAGTCAAGATTATCAATAAAATTATTTATAGGAGCAACAATGATACCCTGTTTTTGTGTTTATTTGTAGCATCGTCAAACAGATCTCTGTTTTTAAAAACACATAAAAGCCTCCAATATATAAAGAGAGACAACAGTCTGTTTGATTTCAAATAGGGTCCTTATGCATTTTTTTTTTTTGAATCAAAACATCCCGCGAGCTGCCCCAGAAGATTAGACCATATCTAATTCTAGAATGAGCAAACGTGTGGTATGCCGAATCAGACGCGTGAATATTTTGCTTAAATGTAAAAATAACTGATGTTTACATATACGGTATTTGGGAGCGACAAAAAACGCTATTATCATATGGAAACATTAATGTTAACCTGACTTGTTATAAGAATTTAATGACAGTGTATCAAATGAGGGTAGCGTTAACACTTACACATTGCGATATTTGTGGTTGCCAAAACTTTTAGGTCCCTATCATCTTATAATGCATAGCTTACGAGATATCACGAAAACTCACTATAAACTGTAAAACCAAATTTGCCTGACGGCTTGTGTACGCGAGAGGTGTGTATACACATATGTTAGAAAGAGAAACCGGCTGGGTAGCGAATCTCGACACCGCGTTGCCAATACATTACACCAATTTCTCGAATTAAGATGCATGTTGAAAATATGCGTTTATTCTCTATGCCCAAATAATGGTTTTATTTTGAGCGTATACATTTTTGAATTGTGTCGAATCTGTTTAGGATCGGTACTAATGGCGTTGCATTTTAGGACGAAATGAAAGGTCAGGGTCGCCACACATCTTGAACATGCCAAGGCAAGGTTTCCATCTCCATGATCATAGATGACCGATTTTAGTCAGTACCCATCTAGCGCTCATTGGCGAGTGTTGTCCTGCTTCGAAATGGTTTTTACCTGCGTACACGCAGACAGTGATAACTTGCTATATCAAGCCTGTGTGGTTGATAAATTGTTAAAAATGTGGTGTGCTGTTGTGGGATATAATTCCGACAACCAGTCTAAACGGAATCCTTGCAAAGACATGAAGTTCTACAGATTTCCTCAAGACCTAAACCTTAGCAAAAATGGCATCATGATGCTATTCCTATGGAAAATTTACCCAAGTCTCTATCATCACCTGGACCATCTACATCTGTTGATGGGGAAAAGCGGAAAAGTGCTTCCGAAAAAAGGCAAAGGGCTCAACTTATCCCCTAGAGTTTAAGTATAGAATAAGGTCATATATTTTGGGGCGTAACGAAGACGCATTCTCAGAGTATTGCTGCGTAGAGGAAGATGATACTCCGGACATTCCACTAACCGCATCATTAACGAATACACTAAATGCACCTGAAGTATCAGTTGACTATAACGAGGAAGTTTTAGTGGAAGAAATGGATGAGCTCGAGTATGATGGGCCGAAAAATTTGGCCAGCTTTGTTTGCCATAAATTGCAGGATGAGAGGTTGAAAAGTACCTCAAATGAAACTTACTCCTGGATAGATAATCTTAGTGAGAGTGGATTATCAAAACCTTCCACAGCCTTCATGAATCAAATTGAGAAGCTTAATAAGGTGTTTACTACATTCAATGGGGACGAAATAGTGACAGAAAAGCAAAATTTTATAGGCGAACTTCTGTTGAAGAGCAGCAACATTGACTGCTTTTTTAGCCTTTTATTTATTTTTCAAGTCAAGGATGTTCTTCCGAATCGTGAAAGGAAATGGAGAAAAATTGTGGCTTAGACTAAGTCATTTCCATTTATTGTTATACTGCCAGCTTACTGTAAAAAGATGATAACTCGATTTTTCTACTTTCCGAGTTGCGTACATTTTCACACTTGCAGGTAGTTAGTACTTAGAATGTTCTGTGAAATAAGGATGAATAAATGTAGTGCAGTATTAACGTCATGAGCATGTTAATCCTGCTCCACACAACATACTAAAATATAGGTAATGTAGAAAAATCATGTTTTTATAGTAAAGTGATGATACACGCTCTATTGTGGAGCTAGAAAGCCATTTTAGATATAGCCTGTGAGATAGGAATTACCAGGTTGAAATTTTTTATTTAGATAATTTTGTATAAAATGTTAATGTATCCAGTGTCACTCGTACCGCTAAGACGACACTTCATATGTGAAAATCGTTATCCATATCAACCCAAATGATAATCACCACCCGCGTGACGTCATGCATGCCTGCGGAGGAAAATCGAACAGCGGAGCATCCGGCGATCCGGCACGAGTGGAAAATTTACGTCACCTTTGAGAGAAACCACAAATCATATACACTGAAGAAGGTTTAATTCCATCCTATTCAATGGCAACAGGCTCATATGAGTTTCACCCTCTCCCTCTTGAGAGAAACATAACCCTGTTCTCAATGTGTTCATGCATAAGGTATATTATTTAATTCACCGGTTGGGGTGAACTTATGGTTGATAGCTGATGTGATGACATCATTAACCGGTTCCGTTGAATGGCGGTTAATGGAAAGACGTATTTTTAGCCTGCAGTGTATATGTTTTGTGGCCTTCAGGTTGCCGTCATATGAGAAAACCTAACCTGTTTTATCGTGAATGGATACTTGTTAATTTGGTCCGAGTAAAGATAACAGGGCCACAGAAGACAACTGTTGAAATGTATTCTACTAGACCCTAGAAGACTATCCGTAGCGTAATTTTTGCCGAAATCGTTGCGCAACACTTACAAAATGCAAATGAAGAAATGCCGCTTTGACGTTCTAAATGACTCCTTCCGTACCCCGGGATAGACATCCGTCTTGACAGATACTTTGTCATTCTTGCCACCTGGATTGCGGCGTTACCAGCTTATCGGACGATTTTGCTACCTCTGCTATTTTGATAGAATGTTATAAAAAAGTAGTTTTGAATAAAATATTGAGGAATACCAATGGAAATACATAAAATTTGAGGCGTAGCAATGTTTGCCAAAAAACTAAACAAAAGCTGTTATTTACATTTTGCGCCGCCTGGCGTCCATGCGGCGGAACGTTTATGTCTCTGAACATTTTTTAAATGCCCAGTTTTATAGGATAAAATACTTTTTGAATATGGGACTTCTTCCAACAATTGAAAAAAAACAATGTTTGTTTATATAAATATATTTATTAACTATTTGATCTTTGATCTAAAATTACATAATCTTATTAGGAGAAGTACGATTTTCATTTTACTCTACTGTTCTTAGTATCCGTCTTATACGCAGATATATTAGGCATTCATTTTGAGGAAGCTAAAAATGGACAGCTTGATAACTTGAATCCACCTTATAACTCGTTGATCATGTAGAATTACACGCAGACGCATTTTCGACGCATCACATCCCTACTCTTGTTGGATACGAGTAGGTATTTGGTGTCCATGTATCCTCCAATAACCAAAGTAAGACATTGTAGTTTTCTAAACACGGGGCTGAGATTCTAGGACTAAGGTCGTCCCTACAATTGTAGGGCGCCTTTATGGCCTCCTTGATTGTCATAGTTTTATACTTCTCCGTGTCAGCGCTCTATTTTGAGGTTATGTCACAAACACCAATTTGCATCAAATTGTGCTTGGTTTTGAGTTATATCATGCTTTAATAACCTGAAATTTCCTACAATTTAAAAGGAAAACAAATCTTCACAATAGGAGAGCTGACGCTGACACGGGACAAGTGTAATCTAGAAATTTTTGAAGGAGAGAAAGGAGTATGTAATTTTTGATCAAATAATATAAAAAATTAAAAATCCTTAATATGGATTAGCTACTTGAGTTAGAAGTATGTAAATTTATGTATGAAGTAATACATAAAGCGCAAAAGTGTAATACAAAAATATTTTTTAACAATGATATACATGATTATAGTACTTACTTGAACACATGTGTATATCACAAGCATCTAAGACATACAATAAGCTGCCATATCGAATAAAATATAACACGTATTACTGTTTTGTAAAAGATCTGGAACATTATATTCGTAAATGATATATATTGTAAAATATTAACTAAGCGGATTTAGAATTATTTTTATCATTATTATTATCAATACCAATGCTTGAAGCACTGTTTAGAGAATCGTGTATTATATACATCTGTAATACTTATTTTGTAATATATAAATCGTTCTCAAAAAAAAATTATAATAAAACATTGTATTTTTACCAATTGTTGGAAAAAAAAGTCCTGTATTCAAAAAGTATTTTATATTAAAAAACTGAGCATTAATAAAAGTATTCAGAGACATTAACGTACCGCCGCATAGACGCTAGGCGACGCAAAATGTAAATAACAGCTTTATTTAGTTTTCTGGCAAACATTGCTACGCCTCAAATTTTATATAACTCCATTGGTATCCCTCAATATTTTATCCAAAGTTTTTTTTATAACATTCTAGCAAAATAGCAGAGGTTGCAAAATTGTCCGATGAGCTGGCAGCGCCACAATCTAGGTGACAAGATCGTATGTCTATCCCGAGGTAACGATGGATAGTACGTCAGAGCTGCAGTTTTCCAATCTTCGTTGGCATTTTTCAAGCGGTGTGCAAGGATTTCGAGAACAATTTCGCTACGGATAGTCTAATAGAGTATATTTCAATAGTTGTCTTGCGTGGCCATGTTATCTTTACTCGGGCCGTTAATTTGAACTCCGTATCATTTAAAATCATTATGGTAATGTACGCAGCCGTTGGTATTGTGGTGGAACGTTTATTAAACGATTCAAGTGATGATTCGGATGTAGAAGTTATTCAGTGGAGAGAAAGAGCAAATTTTCAGACATGCATAATTCAAAATAAAATCACTTGCCTTCAGATGCTCTGATTATTTCGAATTGGGTTAAAAAATCGTTAAATTTCACGTCAATCCTATGCTGTAGCATAACTTCAATATTTTCTTCTTCCATTTTTTCACACAAAACTGTAGTTGTCAAAAAATGGTAAAATGTAGAGTATAGAATATCGTGGATCAACCGAGCCCGAACGTCGGTAGTTGCTGTTGGCACCGGTGGCAGATCCACCATCAATATAAAGACAAGTTTGATGTACAACTGGTAGTTCCAGCGGAAATTACACAAAATTGGCTAACCGGTTGCACCGGTAATATCCATGTCGTTCACACCCACATCGTTCCTTGACGGCGATGGCCTCACCAACCTTGTTTCGGAAAAAGTACAGACCGACAATGACACTGCTGCCCCAAAATTAGCCTGTAATAACTTTTTGTGATTGCAATACCACCTGACGTTGCAATAAACAGCAATGCATCGATATTACAACTGTATCTGCCTCTCTTCAACGGGATACAACTCAAATTATTAAGGAAAGTCTACACTAGCATGTAGCGCTTGCGTAAGTTTTATTTGCATTAAACTTAAACACTAAAATGCACGAAAGTTTATCTTGCAACACGGACTTGCATGCGCATTTGTTGCTTTCGCAAATAAATTCTGTTTTGACAGAAATTACTTCCACAACTTTCGCGAAAGCTCCACTTACGCTTCCTGGGTAAACCTGTTGGTTGCAGACAACTACTGCTTGTAAACAAGTGACGAGAGTGTTTGGTCGTGATGAGGAACTGCACTGACTGTCCTTTAAGCAAGTTCCCTTACAAAGGTAGGTGTGTAGTGTAAACCTTAACTTGAAAGCAAGTACAGTTTGCAGCAACTTGCATGTCGTACTTACGCAAGCTAGTGTAAACTCCCCTTTATAGGTATGGTATGTCAAAGAAACTTCTTATGTACTGGAAACAGATTCCGTCAAATGAAGAACCTTATCGTTCTGAGAGATGTGTGAAAATCAATTTGAGCTTGTTGCTGTATACATTTAGAAAATTGAAAATAAACTGACAACGTATGCAACTCTGTTTTTTTCTCGAATATTTTAGGTCATATTTCCAGTTTTTAAGACATCTTATAACATGTCCGAATATTCTAGAATAATTTGGAGCATTCTTAGGACCTTTATAGAATAGTCTAGAGTCTAGATCATGCGAGAACATTCTGATAGTTATGTTCTCGATTGTTCCTAGATATTATGGAATACATAATATTCAAGAACTGTCTCGAACAATTGATGATATTCGCTTACGTTCTAAACTCTATTTTGCCTTTTGGTTCCCAGACCATCAGAGAACATACCTATTCGAATATTCCACAATAATCTGGAACACCCTGAACAACTGAATTGTCTATAAATTGATAGTAAAGCATCAGTTGTTGATGACGGATCGAGGTGAGAGAATGCTGGCGAACACTTGCCCTTTAGTCGCACCAACTGCTGCAATATTTTGACTACATCGAACTGAACGGACAATGGATGTTTAAACTGTTCAAGATGGTATAAACTCTCTTTATCGGACTACTGTGTACAGCGAGAGGGTACGAGGTCTGTTAATTGAGTGATGAGACTGGAAACGTAGCGTTCGATCTGGCGCCCGGCTTGGAGCGAGACAGAAGAACATGTGATCTGCCTTCAGTACAAGTTTGAACTCGCTCGAGCGATTTGGTTGTCGGTAGAGATTTTTTTTGTGAAAGTTTTTCCTATTGTGTTCTAAAAATGAGTGACATAAATTTTGAGCAACGGCGTGCTATCAGGTTTTGCTTCAAGCTGGGGGACAGTGCAATGGTAACTCTTTCTAAACTTCAGCACGCTTAAGGATATAGTTTGTCATTGAAGCATTATGACTTTGTAAACTCAGGAATATAAATTATCTACTCTGGGGCCCAGATAAACTGCGCACAGCGTTTTCTAACTAAAAAAATCCCACCATTATGAAATTTCCATGTGGCCATTTTCATTAGTGCATCCGCTTTGATAGGCGATCTTGGTATCTTAAATCTACAGATATGATAGAATCTAATACGTGGATCTCATCTACAGAGATTATCCACTCACCTTTGGAGCACCATTCGGATCATCTTTATCTCTCAAACCTCAAAATCATTTTTGAAGTAGCTGGAATTTTCCTGTTCTGGACGTTTATTCGAATATGAATTATATAAAAATTAGATGTGCACTTCGCAGAATGTAATGCATGTTTGATAATGGCTCTTTTTCTAGTCCCATTTCCTGTTTAGATTACTAGTGCATTTGTCAGCTACTATCTTGACCAAGACCTTCGACCCGCAAATAAACGCAATGAAATTTTATTTGCTGCTGGTTAAAATTGAATCGATGTTTTCAAATGATAATACATATTTCTACTACGAGAACGATCTGTGTGAAAATGAAAATAGTTAGTGTGATGGTTTATATTGTTGACACCTGGAGATATCGCCAGTACGATGATTGAAGAAGGTTTGGCGTGTTAAAACTTATCGTTGAATATCGTATCGAACTGACATATAACTTTTGCATAGTTAGATAATATCGAACGGAAGCCCAGCGAATTCTTGTGTATATGCACTTTTTGTACATAAGGAATGATATCGAAATAAGACGGAAGTGAAAACATGGTTGGACGTCTATGGTCGGATGAACGGAAGCTGTATTACTAATAAGGTTTAGTGTTATGGAATATTGAGCACTTATTATACGTATATATGTTTGAACGCTTGCCATGCATTAATTTTAAAACATGGCGTCGTTCTTTGTGCCGCCACTGCTATGCGCCATCCTTTCTGGAAAATCGATACGGAAAAGTGGAAAAGCGCACGCGCAAAAATCCCCATGCTGATGTCCTATGCATCCGAATTTTCACGACTCAATTCTGTAGATTTTCAATGTTTTTACTTATCCTACTTGGTTAGCAAAATTAAACCGTGAGAATGTAACACTGGAGGATTAATTGGACAAACGGCAATGTAGTAAAATTAAAATTAACCAGATGTTTCAGGTAAGTGTACACTTTTAACATAAATTAGTAACAAATTACATGTTTTCACTCACTTTATTGTCATTGTTGGTAATGTGCCAGAAACAAAACACTTCTCCGTTTGTATATCTAAATAAATCAAATATATCTAGGTACTAATATTTCAAAGACTCAACGTAACGTTACAGTTTATATTTTTACTTCCATCATCAAAAATTTGGATTTAATTGACATGGTCATTTTAAAAACCTCACATTTCATCCAAAATGCTTTTATTTAGCTGTTGAAATGCGTTGATGCGTATTTTCGGCATAATCACGTTCATTTTTCATGCACTACTATACCGCGGGTACTTGATTGGGTAATTTCAAAAAAATTTCAATCCAACTTTTTCTTATTAATTTAAATACCAATGTTGAATTCACTGACTACAAAAATAAGGTTAAGGTTACGCGGGCGTATACAGGAGCCACTTTATTCGCTTTGCACGAAATGACTTATTTAAGAATTTTTTCTATCTCTACGAAAACCACTGATTCAATCCTCATCATTTGTACGACTGAGACAGTCCTTTAAATACACCCTACACATTTTAAAAAGCTGTACAAAAATGGAATTATACGCACAACACATATCTTGCAAAATAAGCTTCACTGTCTGCTAGTCAAAGAACCACGTGGACTCTCTTTTATAACCGATTGCCGATTATTGAAAGATGCGATTGAACGAATAAGTCTATGTATGTACTTCTTTACAATGGCTATACATTGTTTGGATATAACACGGATAATTCGATTTTCCCAGCGTGTTCGCTTTACCCGGGTTTCCCAAGTGTACCGTAAGGATACACGCAAAATTAAAATATGTGACATATTAAAGTCATTATTTAAAATTAGATACGGTTGCGTCATCTATGAGAGTTGTTTCTGCATTTACAATGTATACCTTGAAAATGTTAGTGTCTCATAGATGGCACTGTAGCCAAGTGTATGAACATATCGAAGCATATCGACAGCGCCATCTACGAGACTCAAACTCTTAGCATACTATTGAAATTTTCCAGAAATAATATTATTTGGGTCCGAAAATTATAAGGTCAGTGTTTCTCGTTAATAACTACGGCAAGACTTCCTAATTTAAATAGGGTTTCACGGTACTTTAATTTGTTTTTACTTCCTACGGAGACTGGCGCAGAACTATTTGTAATCGTGAAAAATTTCGAAATGGAGATATATTTTTTTAATGTTATATGATATGTACATCACGAAAAACCATGTCTCATTGCCACCGATCTGTCGGTCTATCTGTCTGTCTGTTGGTCTGTATACGTCCGCTAATGCTTGGTCCGTCTACGACTTGGAAAGTATCGGTCGAATTTTGATGAAATTTTCACACAAGGTTACATCTATGCCAAGGACGAAAAAGCTTTGTGGTTTTTAAGAATCGGTCCGGTGGAGAAAATGGCAAAAAACAAAAAAAATCGCACAAACTTCGTTTTTTACATTCCTGAGGATCCTGATATTTATGAAAAAAAATTGGGGTGGTGGAGAGTCTATCGCAATTTCTTGACATTAGAACATTAATAAACTTCCAGCCCCGATAATTCTATGAACCCCTAAGGCATATTTCACATAGCATATGTTGCTCCGTACATTTGCCCTTGAAACTTAGTACAATAGAAAAATGTTTTTGATAAGCGTCGCTGTCTCTGTGGACCTCAATGGCCGCGACCAGCGTGCCGGTATTCGTATGTGTCTGCAATGACTGGTGTTATGTGGGCGCTCTGCCGTGTACGAGGCATTATGCTTCCAGATAGTGGGGAGAGACGACGCGATATTGCTAGATAGACGGTACTAGGGGAACGGCAGGGAAATGCTGTTATGGACTAATGGTATGGACCTGTTTGATGGACTTGATCCGTTTAATTTCTCTGTCCAACCAAAGATAGCCAACCACAGACAGCTGATTCGTGCTTTTTTGGCAACTCATCAGCTTGGTCTAGGCTTGGTCTGGACAACAAATGAAAGCATAGCAACTAACCTCTATCCACGATATAAGGTCTCTGGTGCTGCCTTATTTCGATGTAGTCTAACTTGTGCTGAACATGATCCTTTATGGACTGATGACAGCGTTGCGTGCGAAGTGTAGAGTAACAACCTACTTGAGGCCATTTTTTATGTCAGCGCCAGCGTCCCCAATAATCCCGATTTGGGACGCTGTAGTCATGGGGGACGAAAATCGTGCTTGATGAAACTTTATTTTTTTCCAGATACAATGCCGCCTATGGATCCTGAGCATATCAGCAATTCTTCTTCTTTTCATCTACAACATTACGCTAACTTTAAAACTGATGTACACTCCAGTATGTCCTAAAGAAAATCCAGTTCAAAGACCAACTAGGATCATATACAGAAAATGCACCAAGGATATTGCAGGACTCCATCACAATGATCGTATCTTCAATGTAGACCTCAATTTGGGAAGATGGGACGAAAGAAGAAAGTACAAGCTATTCGACAACATTCTTATAGGAGATGAATACTCAACTCTGGGCAGCTCTTTCAAAACATGCCTCGCAAGTCAGAGTTCTGTAGAAAAGCTTCCCTCCATCATAGAAGTTTCTAGCCATTGGAATGGGCCTATATCACTAGCCACCTTCGCTGCCTATGAAGATGAACTAAATGCCTTGCTAATGTATATTTTGTATTTGAGAAAGTGTGATTTGGGCATTAGGCACAAGATAGCTTTCCATTTGGCTTTAGCGAGGGAACGACGACCAAAGTCGTTTAGTATTGACCTCGACCGTCTGGAGACGCTGGATTGTGGTAAACCCTTGGAGGTGTTAAAGGTAAGATTGTGTCTGTAGAATCTAGGATTCTACATACCACGAAATGTCCAGCCTGTGGTAGCAACTTTGTACATTCGAATGGTGCTTTTAATTTCCATAACATGCATCACTGGTCAGATGAAAATCCAAAAGTTTTTATTGATTTTAGTCTAGTAATTTTACACTGCTAACAATGTCAGCTTAACGTCAAAATAAGTCATAACAAATCAAAACAATTTTTGTTTGCAGTCATGGTTAACTATGTATAATCAACAATTCATTTAAATTCACAGTACATTTCCTATCATGTGACAAATTCTTTAGTTTGATTTTATTCAAAAATGGCACAATTTATCGATATTCAATAAGAGTACCTTTTTTATGTAGAAAACAGTAGATTTTCAAACTCTAAAATTGAATTTCAAAAATAAAATCACACAAAAATTTTGAGGCTAAAATAACCTGAGTCCGCCCCTGTTACATACGCTTCCAAACAAAACTGTCTAAAATTGTTAATATTTTTAAATCCAGCATAAAAAACTAGGCTAGACTACCAAATTTTATGTCTTTATGTCAACACGTTTCGGAATTATTAAGGAAAAACCATCTTCAGGGGAGCCCCTTTAAAAGACCGTAGCGTCCTTAGGGGACGTTTGTCGACCTATGTTTATATAAACTTTTCTTCCTATTTTAAGCTCTAGAAACCGCTGGTAGAATATTGCACACTTTTTTCGGGACACCCTGTATACTGCTGGACCGGGCATAATTCTTACATTTGAAGAAGGATCGGCACCACACGACTTATGGGTTCAACATACGAGTGGATATGATTCGGGCATGCAAAAGCTGACACAGCATTTACAAACATGGGACAGTTTTTAACCTTTATAAAGATGTATTGATTATTAGAAACGAATGCTATTTATATCCTTGAAAATATGTCTTACTATTAAAACTACCGTCATAGAACAAAAAAAATATTTCCGCAAGTTCCTGAGAAATGTTTCTACGGGGCTATCCTGAAGAGATACATACTTAAAAGATTTTACTTGCAATCAGTTCTTAAATAGCTTTTAACGGCACTATTGTGCCGTTGCTCTTGATATCACGCAAAAACCTTTGATCAGCTGTGACATGCTGCCCTCTTATGCAAACTTTCATCCTATGTCCTCCCAGAGAAGTTTTGCAGATAGGTGGCTGACTTCCTCTCTGCCCTCAAGATATTCGCAGCTGATTACATTGATGTCAAACAACCATTGAAACAAAATTTCCTAGGAAAGTCATTTTCATACAGAGTGTAAGAAAATACTACAATAATGGGACAACTTCATGTGAGGTCCCACTTGATTTGCTGTACAATTTTGTTAAATCTTGCAGTGCGGGTCAAAAATTATTTAAGAAAAATCGTTTTTACATATCACGTTCACAAAATTATTTTTCCAGGATTTGATTAAAGACATAAACAAAGGTCCTAATAAATGGAGGAGTAAGTTGCCTTATCCTCAAAATCACTTAAGGAATTTAGCAAGGAAGAACTGTCAAACGAAATATATTTTCCTAACAGATGTTGACATAATTCCCAGTAAAGAAATGGCTGAATCTCTGGATGTCTTTCTGGAAAAGGTGGATTGCAAGGTTAGTGATTATATGACATTCTTTTAATACAGGGTATTCAGAAAGCTAGGATTTTTAATCAGAAATAACTACGACTGGAGAAAACTAATCTGAGGTAAAGCAAAAGCAAATCGAAACAAATTACTCAATGTTCATTAGACAAATGTACCGCTCTGTCACTTGCTTATAGATAGTCTTATCAGTACTCACCACCCGTTTGAAAAACACGAGTCTTGTTAACTTCTTCAAGTTGCTGGATTTGAATCTGCCAGGTTTTCTATTGTGTGCACCTCGAGATTCCTACCAACGACCTTTGTGTGAGATAAACAAACCTAAGAGGCGCGAGATACAAACGTTGAGGAAAACGATCTGAATACACTCGCGAAGCATCATCATCTTGCAGAAACTTACGGTGCACTTACATCAAAGCAATCGTCATCGTTTTATTTTCAAATCCAATTTGTAAACAAACAGCTCTGTTTACCTAAATGAAACGCTAAGCCCCGTTTAGGTACAAACATTCGTCCTACGTCGTATCTTTTGCAGGTCCAGATATAATATTGCAGACTTTTTTGGAACCTAATAACTCGGTTACCTTGAATCTGCGGTGTATGAATTACTATCAAAATTTGCTTATTTTTATAAGAAGTAAAGGAAAACCCTAGCTTCAAGCACACCCTGTACATTAAGGGCATTTGATCGTATGTTAGATTCCAAACTGTTTTTGTTCTGTCATAGGGACAGTGTGCCTATGTTGTACCAACATACGAAGTGGACGAGAGGGTAGTCTTTCCTGCAAATAAGACTGAGCTAGTCCGATTGGCAAACAAAGGTCTCGCAAGACCCTTTCATCATAAAGTCTTTATTTATAATCAATATGCAACAAACTTCACTAGGTAAGTAAACGTTGCTGTGAATGTGACGATAGAATAAATTAAAAAGAAAAGTCTCAGCTAGATAAATTTGATTTTTCTGTGTAACAGTATAGAGGTTTGACGTCAGTAAAATTTAATCAACAACTCTCCCTCTTTCTTCTGCCCTTCTTTCCACGTGACACTGTCTGGTATCTGGTTCACGAATCCCGACAGACCTAACTGACCTACAAAAACTCAAGGTAGCAAAGGTGTTACGGACCGCTCTGAAGCACAAATAGAAAAAGAAGGTACTTACTATAAAATACAATGATTCCCTTGTGAATGTATTTACAAAGACCCGTATAGATCTTAAAAACATATGACTAAATTCCAAAAATACTATTCGATTTTTTCCAGGTGGCAGAATCAAGTAAATGAAGATTCAGCAGTTCACGTGAGTCACCCTGTAACAAATTTTGAGTTCCTCTATGAACCGTTTTATATTGCAACTGATACAGTTCCTCCACATGACGAGAGATTCATTGGTTATGGATATACTAGAAATAGTCAGGTGAGACGTCTAGGAAAAAGAGATCTAAACGGGATAAGTGTTCAGAAAAGCATCGTTGTAACGATCTCCTATCTTTAAAATGAAATAAATCCAATTATTTATCTTGATCTTAGGATTATTTTGGCCAGGAATTTTTGACGGTTATGGACTGTTGGAAACCTTTAACCAAGTAACATTGACGTACACAGCCGAGCGACGTCTATTGACAATTCAAAGCTTAAAATGATTGGTAGAATATGCCTGTTTTATAGCAAGTTAGAAGTCATGCATATATATATATAAAGAATGCTGTTATATAAATTTCCGTCCCAGCGAGATGCACAAATCTAAGCCCTCTTGATCACGTTTTCCAACGCTTTTTTGGTACGTTTCGGGAGAAATATTTTGAATAGCTGCCCAAATACTGGTCTTTATCTACTCTATAGTACTTTATTTGTTGACATAAATCTTATTTTTAATTAGCCTCACCGAACGAGTTCTGAGATCATTGTATCTGTTGATTTGGGAGCCCAAATGGCATGACCTAATGTTTTCAGAAAATTAAGGCCCACTAACATCCTGCTGGTTCCCTTAATATATGATATAATACGTATATGCGGCTTCTATAACTCGAAAAGTCAACCCGAAGAACTGTGGTTCCAACAAGATGGAGCAACAGATAGCTAGAGACAAAATAAACCTTAGGTTTTGCTGTAGAGCAGATGAAGGGCAGATTATGGAGATTATTCAAAATATTCCTGCCGAAACATAAATAGTGATAGAAAATGAAATGAAGACCTTGGAATTGTGCGGCATGCAGAGGATTATATTTATGTGATATCATTTTTCGTAAATACCTTCTTTCAATAAAATGTAGATAAAAAATGTCGTCAAGTAAGTTGAGTCTGCACTTCTTGTGCCACGTTGTCATCAATTTACAAAGGATTATCTTCGGCTCAAATTAGTCTGTCTTTATTGGCTACGAACATGTATAACAAAGGCATTACATGGACTACGTGTGTCAAATAGGCTTATTCGATTACTCCACAGTCCCCACAGATTTGAACAAAATGACGATCTAGAGACAAAATAAACCTTAGGTTTATGCTGTAGAGCAGATGAAGGGCGGATTATGGGGATTATTCAAAACATTCCTGCCGAAACATAAATCGTGATAGAAAATGAAATGAAGACCTTGGACTTGTACGGCATTCAGAGGATTACATTCATGTGATATCATTTTTCATAAATACCTTCTTTCTTTCAATAAAACATAGATAAAAAAATGTCGTCAAGTAAGTTGAGTCTGCACTTCTTGTGCTACGTTGTCATTAATTTACAAAGGATTAAATTCGGCTCAAATTAGTCTGTCTTTATTGGCTACGAACATGTATAACAAAGGCATTACATGGACTACGTGTGCTAAATAGGCTTATTTGATTACAGTCCCCACAGATTTGACGAATTTACGTTTTAGCCTACCGCCCTACTGACAGTACCCACGAGTTTTGTGGTACCGCAAATCCAGCACGACGTTGCATACATGAATACAAGTATCATCGTTTGGTTATCCCTCAGCATTCAAAGCAGACAAGCGTACGCTCGTTGATTCGTCCGGAACGCTTATATCGAAAATATATCACTGTCATTGAAGTTTTAAGGGCAAATGTGAATATAAATCTATGATATATGAAATATGTCTGAAAGCTGCTACACACAGTGCCGGCAATGCCGCCGGCACAAGCCGCGCAAAGCCGTCAAGCATCATTCCGGTTGTGACAGGCACATAGAAAGCTAGTGAAGTGCTGCATTTCTGGGATTCCATAATATATCATTTTCATGAAATATTTCAATTAAGAGCAGCACGCTTCGTCGTCCCAATTAAACGACATTTGAATTTGTTTAAACACACAAACCGCACAAAACTACCGCTCGAATGCCAGGAACGAAGTGACGCCGGTAAGCCGCGTAACCCGCCGGCACACCACGGCGGCTCCTTTGCGCGGCAATGCCGGCGGCTTTGTATGCCGCCGGGTGTACGGCGGCCCTGCCGCCGGCACTGTGTGTAGCAGCCTTGATAGGTGCGAAAAATCACCGGGGTTGAAAACTTATAAATTGTTGGCAATAAAAAATTGACAAATACTCTCTCCTAACCCCTACAACCTACAAGATCCAATTTTTTACCCCTGTAACAATTTTTCGGAAAATGATAAGGATCCTCTGAAACTGCAAAATACGAAGTTTGAACGGTTTTTATCTTTTTGTGTTTTTTACCTGTAGCTTTTCTACCACTGAAACAGTTTTCAAAAACTACAAAGTCTTCGTACTTGGCATAGCAGTGACCTTATGTGAAAATTTCATCGAAATCCGAGTTATAGACGAGCCAAGGATTAGCGAACAAACCAACGGAAATGAGTGATATGGGTTTTCGTGATGTACATGTCAAAAAAAAATATTTCATTTTCAAAATTTGTCGCCATTACAACTCGCCAGTGGCGTAGGAAGTAAAATTAGATCTATCTTACTTTTATTTTTAAATTTATTTAACATGTTGGCCATTATATACTTGTGGCATAGTGAGTAATTTATTTAAAAGTTTAATACTTTTGTTGCAGGTGTACGAAATGTTTGTAGCAGGTTACGAGTTCCTGGTACTATCACCAATTTTCACGTGTCATTGGGGTTTACAAGTCAAGCGCACCAGACCTCCTTGGCGGGAGCACCAGAATAATCTTAACAGAAAACATTTCGATGGATTTAAGAGAGAAATATTTGCCAAATATAATAAGGATCCACTAAATATGATGGCCAGAAAAACGTAATACTTATATTGTATAATATAATGATTCTACCATTTCTACTGTGATTAAACTTATTTTCATTTTCAAATACTAATAAAAGTACAACTAAGGAACATGAAGTATTTTATTTCAACTGTGAAAAGCTTCTACGTAGCGTCCTAAATCACTCCAGTGTAAACCATTTTAATCGCTTCCATCAATGAGAAACGGAAATGGAAATTTTGCACTGAGAAACACGTTAATGTGTACGATCGTACGATTTTCATAGGTATGCCAGATTCAAGATAACAAACAAAAATAATACCTAAAATACTTCCGAAGATCGAAGACACAAAATAAAACCAATTTTTTTCTTAAAAATTCAACATCCTGTAGCAAAACTTAAGCCATTGTTCATGTATCTTTATACATTTTTATTTAATTTTGCGGAATCATACTCTAGATTATTATTATATCATTAAAGTAACACTCTGTAGAGTAAATGGTTGATAAAATGATAAATAGTATTTCTTAGCTCTTAGATGACCCAACAACTTCCCAGCGACTGCAGTAACTGGTGAACTAATGTTGGGGGAAAAATAATCCCTGTATTATGAGAAGAATAATAAAAATCTTCGCTCAGCATTTCCGCCAGTCTACAAGTATTTTGCTTAAATCAATAAAATCACTTCTGTTAGTTGTCCCACTACCGAGCAATATCCGAAAATCGCGATTTCTAATAAAAATGTCCAAGTCTTTCTTGACGCCTGAAAAATGCAATGATGTATATTGTTGAGGTCAAGAACAAAAACATTTTTTCTTCACGCAGACAGCTACTTCAATGCGAAATAAGTTTAGTATGACGGATAATCAAGCGCAAAATGATCGTGTAACGATTTTGCAACCATTCTGGTGTTAAAAAAACGTTCTTTTGCATACGCGACTGGAAATTATATAAATATAAGAAATAGTCTGTTTTGCATTAGTTTAAAAATGAAGTGTGGTGTGGGAATTTTCGCAATTCTCATTATTAACTGTATGTATTACTTTCATATACTTACTTCTTACTGTTATTCGGAATACTTATGTATGTGCTATATACCGAATCATCAAGAAAAACTTTAAGTCCTCTGTTATACACTATAGATTAGTCAGCTGTACAGTTAAATGGATTTGAAATTTACATTACATTTTGAGGGTAACGCATAAAAATGTATGGCTTTAGAAGAGGGAACAAGATTAATTCGGAATCAAATCTAACAGACGTTTCCGTATTAGTTTCCACTTCCACACATCTGTAAATGAAAAATGGCGTCAAGTAGGTCGACTGTTTGGCACAAGTTGTGAAGTCTGGAAATAAAAATTAATGTAATCTGTAATAATTTTGTGACTTTTCATAAATATTCCTGTATACTTCACATTTTTTCACCTATTAGTTTTAATATACTTCACCAACCAGGGATTTTCTCTTCTTATCGCTCTCTTTTGTGAAATTCTGCAAAATTTGCATATGTAATTTCCACGTTGAGTAAGGAAAAGAGGATGCGCAACTATTGTTTTGCCTATACAATTCTTTTTACGAGCTTCCCAAATGTCAAAAACGAACTTTGAGCGATTATTGATTTTTTAGGTTTTTGTTCCTAGCTTTGCAGCTACTGGAATGATTTTCAGAAACGACAAAGCTTTTTCGTCCTTATAATAGTAGTAAGCTTGTGGGTTGTGTCTCATTTTTGAATCTTTTTGCGATTTGCAAAATACTTTCTCGCGATTATCTTAGGAAGCAATGGTAGCAAAACTTGCACTCCGAAGTTCAAACGTAAAATTTCACATCGAGGTTGTTTTCCACACGTTATCTTTTTCAGTTTCACAATAATTGTTTGATTTCTTGGGCAGAAAATCTGGAGGATTAAAATCAGTTAAGCTAAAAATTCATCCTACATCTCCATAGATTTTTGACATATGCGTTTTCTATTCAAGTTTGTCAATCACGGTTTATAGGTATGGCACAACGAAATTCTGGAAGGACTGAGGTTAGCAGCAGGATAGTAGGTGGGGTGCCTGTTACTATTACGGACTACACATATCAACTTTCACTAAGGTTTTCAGGATCTCACACATGTGGTGCCTCCATTTTGAGTTCAAGATTTGCATTGACTGCAGGTCATTGCACTTTAGGGTAGGTACCTTACAAGCTATAAACATCCGAATAGTTTACTCGTATGTGTGCTAGTCCCTGAATTTCAGTTCTAGATTATACTAAAACTCTAACTTAGTATAATTATCCAAATTCTATAAGGTCCTTGTCATCCATTTATTGTGTTATTTTGTAAATCGTGTTTTATTGTTGTAATGGTAATTCTTAGGGATTATTTCCAAGGTATTGTTTAATTCAGAATCACTTATTAGGGAAGAACTGAAATAAAGATAATTTTGATAACTAGGTTTAAGTTGGAATATTAGTAAAATTATATCATGTAGGGAACTTGAGAGGTGCTTTGGAATTGAACTGTTGGCCTCCCATCAAGATTGAAATGAAGTTTCGAAAAGTGTTTTTCAAATTATTATATACTAAGTGACATATAAATCCGAACACCCAGTTTAAATGGTTTTATTTTAATAAAAGTTGGTGAATGTATTTATCTTACTGTAAATAACAAGTGAAAAAATTTTCAGCCTTATCAGTTGGACCGGCTTTTATACTGCTTTTTTTTTAATTCACTAACTCTCTAAAAATGAATATTTCAGCCGCAGTAAAGAATCAACGTTGGCGGATTTTGGTTCTTGACATCCTTTACGATCGGTTACGATGCCTAGAGTACGGAGACCTGTACGATTTCGTCAACTTAGTGAGTTTGATAGGGGCCGTATAGTGGGACTTCGGGAAGCTGGACTTTCTTTTCGGGCAATTGCAGTTAGAGTGCAAAGAAGTGTAGACACTGTGGTTAGGTGTTGTCAGGCATGGCTTCGAGAAGGCCGTACGCAAAGAGCAAGGCGCACTGGACGCCGCCGTAGAACAACAGACCGTGAAGATCGCCGCCTAAGATTATTGGACTTAAGGGACCGTTTCTCCACTACCAGGTCCATTGCAAATGAATGGTTTGCAGAACACGGAAGACCTATTGGCATGCGAAGTGTTTACCGACGACTGAGAAGTTTTGGCTTGTTTTCATACCGGCCACACTGGGTCCTCCCTTTAACTCGAGAACACCGACGTAATCGCCTTGAGTGGTGCAGACAACGGTCACTCTGGGATCAGGAATGGAACAGTATTGTCTTTAGTGACGAGTCTCGATTTTGTTTAGGCATGCACGATGGTCGTGGTGAAAGGAGGAATCCACAGTTTTTTGTTGAAAGACATGTTCATCACACTGTTGGAGTTATGGTTTGGGGTGCTATAGCTTATGGTTCCAGGTCACCTTTAATCTTCATCAGAGGTAACATGAACGCGCAGCGTTATATCCACGAAGTTCTAGAACCCCATCTTTTACCCTATCTTGACACCCTGGCAGATCCAACTTTCCAACAAGATAATGCCCGACCACATGTTGCAAGAGTCACAATAGACTTCTTTCAACATAATGATGTCACATTGTTACCATGGCCACCAAGATCTCCCGACTTATCCCCAATTGAGCACGTGTGGGATATGACGGGTAGGAGATTGCTCAATTTGCAACGTCCTCCTCACACTCTAAACGCACTTCGAGAGGAGTTGGTCGTTGCCTGGAATGAGATACCACAGGAGGACATTGACCACCTGATCAGAAGCATGCCTAGGCGCGTTGGAGAATGCGTAGCACATCAGGGTGCATCCACACATTATTAAAGGTCAAAGGGCTTTAAAGCAGTGCAATCATTTTGAAATTTTTATCATTTACTTATTATGCTTCATTAAGTACTTATACAAAATTTTATTAAAATAAAACCATTTAAACTGGGTGTTCGGATTTATATGTCACTTAGTATATTTAGGTGAATAGGATGTATTAAAAATTCGAGTATGTCATGTTATTGTTAAGTATGAAAATTTGAAATAGTAAATAGTGTCAACATTCTAAGTTTTAGTAAGGCATCTATACTACGATATATTATTTTATCTCGAATAATATTTTGAACGCGGGAATATAACATTAGGTTAGGTATCTTCGGGTAGAATACGTTAATGAATGCTTAAAGGCAATACATACCTTGATTTTCCTGAATAGGCGTAAAATTTCGACCCTCTACAAGAAGAAACGAAAATAGCTACTATGCCACTGCCTTTTTTGAAAGATAGATAGATGAACTTCATTTCAAACAGGTACAATCACCCAATTATAAAAAAATACTTCAAACAGCACAAGAGCAATTAACTCAAAAAGTACATTACTTGTCAATACTGGCCAGGAAACGTTGTTTGATCTCATTTCTGGATGAAGCATTTACATCACAATATTTACTTAAATAATTAAAGTTTTCGCACATAACAGTCACTGGCGATTTTCTTGAAACATTTGTTCGAGCTAGCTGGCAGTAAAATGTCATCTGGTGCCGCAAATTGCGTACAAGTACATGAAAATTAACATTACTTAAAATGTATTCACATGTCACATCATTGTGCAAAACAGCAGAAAGGAAATTTAAACTGCTTAAAAGAATGTGCAAATTTGAAAATTGTCTACTCTTCCGGATGATGAAACCCAACATCATCTATATGATCCCAAAATGACGGAGTACTGACAAAGAGAACACCGATATCTTTCATTTGATCGCACCTATTCAACTTAATTTTGTAGGAACATATTATTGCTTCTTTATTTTTGGTGTAAGCTAATTTACCTCAAAATCATTAGCACTGCACCAATTTAATGTCAATGTTGGTTTGCAAAATTTGACAGTCCGTATTTGAATTTGTTATAGGAAATTTTCGTTCGTTCACATAGAGCAATTTTTGCCAAGTAATCGTCATAGCTAGATTATTAGAACAATAGTGATTCTAAATCCGATCTTTGGGGAATCCCAGATATCGATCTACGTACTACAACTTCAAATAAGAAATCATATAGGTAAATTGTCTCTCTTGAGAAGGAAAATTAATTCTACTTTGAAAATCCGATAGGTCCAGTGAATCTTGGTCTTGAGAATCGTATGTAGTA